GTCGTGAGGTGCATTTCCCGCAGCCTTTCCTCATAACTCATGCCTCTTAGTTCTGGGACTAGTCTAGTAGCATACCTTTGGACTTTTTCCAGCTTCGTCTTGTGCTTGACAAGGTACGGGCTCCATGCTGGGGCCGCATACTCCAGGATTGGTCTTACATATGTGGTGTACAAGATTCTGAATGATTCCTTACACAGGTTCCTGAACGCCGTTCTGATGTTAGCCAGCCTCGCATATGCCGCAGACGTTATTCTCTTTATGTGGGCTTCAGGAGACAGGTTTGGTGTGATATCAACTCCTAGATCTTTCTCTCTGTCTGTTTCATTAAGTACTTCATCTCCTATTCTGTATCCTGTGCCTGGCCTCCTGTTTTCCACTGCCTAGTTTCATTACTTTGCATTTACTCGGGTTGAACTTCAACAGCCATTTGTTGGACCATTCACTCAGTCTATCCAGGTCATCTTGTAGCCTCCTACTATCATCCTCTGTTTCAATCCTCCTCATAATTTTTGCATCGTCGGCAAACATTGAGAGGAACGAATCTATACCCTCTGGGAGATCATTTACATATACCAGAAACAGTATAGGTCCGAGGACTGACCCCTGCGGGACTCCACTTGTGACGTCTCGCCAATCTGAGACTTCACCCCTCACACAGACTCGTTGTCTCCTGTTGCTTAGGTATTCCTCTATCCACCGGAGTACCTTCCCTCTCACTCCAGCCTGCATCTCCAACTTTCGCACTAGCCTCTTGTGTGGCACTGTATCAAAGGCTTTCTGACAATCCAAAAATATGCAGTCTGCCCACCCTTCTCTTTCTTGCCTTATTTTTGTTGCCTGGTCGTAGAATTCAAGTAACCCTGTGAGGCAGGACCTGCCATCCCTGAACCCATGTTGATGCTGTGTTACAAAGTTCCTTCGCTCCAGATGCTCCACTAGTTTTTTTCACACACAATGTGTGTGTGTGTGTGTGTGTGTGAGTGTGTGTGTGTGTGTGTGTGTGTGTGTGTGTGTGTGTGTGTGTGTGTGTGTGTGTGTGTGTGTGTGTGTGTGTGTGTGTGTGTGTGTGTGTGTGTGTGTGTGTGTGTGTGTGTGTGTGTGTGTGTGTGTGTGTGTGTGTGTGTGTGTGTGTGTGTGTGTGTGTGTGTGTGTGTGTGTGTGTGTGTGTGTGTGTGTGTGTGTGAGTGTGTGTGTGTGTGTGTGTGTGTGTGTGTGTGTGTGTGTGTGTGTGTGTGTGTGTGTGTGTGTGTGTGTGTGTGTGTGTGTGTGTGTGTGTGTGTGTGTGTGTGTGTGTGTGTGTGTGTGTGTGTGTGTGTGTGTGTGTGTCGTACCTGGAGCGGTGGTGGGGTCTCGTAGGAGGGTTCACACCGAAGCCCACAACGAAGCTCTGGTATTTCGGGTTGTCTCCCAACAGCTGGCCCATCTGGGCCCGGGCCCACTGTCTGTTGCTGTCTGTATTAATACCGTGCTTGGCGGCCTGCAAGGATAGAAAAGAATATATGAATTAATGCACAGAAGCCATATCCGTCTGTTGCTCCATGAGCTTCATGGTATTTCTAACAAAGTGATCCTTCTCTGTTAAAGTATAAGTTAGCTTCCACATTCTACTTTAGTTCCTGATCACATTACCTGCCTCGAACATTTCCATCACAACGCTCACAAGATAGTGCATAATCAATATAATAACCAAAAATTTTCTAGTTCTTCTCTTAAATCGAGGCAGAGATTTTTCCCTTCCTTTAATCTGTCGTAAGTGTAGAATTACTGCCTCGTAATATTAATATTGTCGTGGCTTTACAACGTATTGAAGTTGGCACTCACCCAGAGGGCCAGGAAGCAGGCGTTGCCAACGTCGCGATTGGAGCCCCACTCGTTAAGGAAGACCAAGCCCTCCGGGGTGTATGGAGCACTGTACTTCGCCCATTCCAGGAAGTTATTGATCAGGTTCTCGTACTCAGCATCGCCGGTCAGCAAATAGAAGAGCGACTGTAGGGACGAGGAGGAGGAGGAGAGATGAAGATTAGTGGACAAGCACAGATCTTATCGTTTCTTATAAAAGTGTCATAATAAATGACTCCAGCATACGTCTGAGGTTGGGGAATTAAAAGAGCAGTCATTCCCTAGACCAAAACTATCTTATCTTTGTATGCCAAGGTCAGAGGTTTCCTTAGATCCGTTTTTCCATCACCCGCTGGTGGTCTGCGAACATGTGGTGGAATATGACACACTCAACACCCACGCCACACTCAAATAAATAATACGTATGCTCATGGCGGTGAATAACATAACCGGTTCCAGTATCTGGCCCCAAACTTAAATCTAAACATAAGTGACTTACATTATATCCACCTCGTTTCTCGTCCCAGCCGACATTGCCTCCATAACCGCCGAGACCAAACTCGTCGAAGTGACCTCTGGCACGAGTGACGTAGTTGTTGTCACCGGTGGCTCTGGCCAACCACAGCGCCGCCCAGGCCAGCTCGTCCCCGTATCCGCTGAACGAGCTGAGGAGAGGCAAGACTACGGTCATTGTGTTACTGAGGAAGTAACTCCACTAAACATAACAAACTCACCGGGAAGTTTCAAGTACAAATAGAACACGTGCATGACTGGGAGGAATAATTATAATAAGGAGCTGCCTCGTATAGACCAACAAGTCTTCCGCAGATTATATAATTATGTCCGTGGAATAAAGTGACGTCACCCACGATTAATAGACCACAGTATCCAGTACACATAAGGATACATATAATATAACATAACTAGCAACAACAGTGCAATATGCTCCTATTGTCCTATTCACGAAGAGAGAATAAACTTCTAGCACAATAACCGTCAGCTTCCCATGGCATCATGCTATAATTATCACCATATTTAGGACCTACAGTTATAACAGAGATAAGACCTTAAACACTTGCAGTAATTAAAAATGTGTACAAATATTATACAATACGCTGATAATATTTAGCAATTTATTTTTTTTAATGTTTTCTCATATGGGAGGATGACGTTTTCTTTTACTTTTGCAATTAAAAATACAATTGTCATACACATTAATATTATATAAAGTACGACTTGAGATTACAGTCCACAACACGACAACGTCGCGACCTTCAGAGAGGAAAGGACAACCGGGAAGGAAGCGACGAGTCTACCTACAAGAGTACACAGTGACAGGTACTGGAAGGTGAATTACAGTGACAGGTACTGGAAGGTATATTACACAGTGACAGGTACTGGAAGGTGAACTACAGTGACAGGTACTGGAAGGTGTATTACACAGTGACAGGTACTGGAAGGTATATTACACAGTGACAGGTACTGGAAGGTGTGTTACACAGTGACAGGTACTGGAAGGTGTGTAACACAGTGGCAGGTACTGGAAGGTGTGTTACACAGTGACAGGTACTGGAAGGTGTGTTAACAGTGACAGGTACTGGACAGTGACAGGTACTGGAAGGTGTGTTACACAGACAGGTACTGGAAGGTGAATTACAGTGACAGGTACTGGAAGGTATATTACACAGTGACAGGTACTGGAAGGTATATTACACAGTGACAGGTACTGGAAGGTGTGTTACAGTGACAGGTACTGGAAGGTGCATTACACAGTGACAGGTACTGGAAGGTGTGTGACACAGTGACAGGTACTGGAAGGTGTGTTACACAGTGACAGGTACTGGAAGGTGTGTAACACAGTGACAGGTACTGGAAGGTGTGTAACACAGTGACAGGTACTGGAAGGTGTGTTACACAGTGACAGGTACTGGAAGGTGCATTACACAGTGACAGGTACTGGAAGGTGTATTACAGTGACAGGTACTGGAAGATTTATTACACGTAGTGACACGTACTGGTAGTAGTTGTAGGCGTCGCTAATGGACACATCGTAGTTCTGACGATGGTTGTTGGCGAACTCGTAGAGCTCCTTGGCAACGGCCAGAACCTGGGCGGAATAGGACGAGTCGGAGTCCTGTGAGGGGTAAGTGGGGTCGTGAGGTTAGTGCAACAGAGGTTCACGAAGTAGAGCTAAAGGATAGAGCGTAGCGAAAGAAGGCAAGAGGCGGAGATTAGCGAGTGTATGTTGTGTCTCAGGGATACAAAGCCTTTCTCTCGCTTATTAATTGACTAAGAGGGAGTGGATCAGCAGGTAGTGAACACTGGCTGACTCGCCAGTCTTCTCGCGACCTCAGCCGAACAGTATAATACGCACACATCAGCTGATACCATGACCACATATATTTAATGTCATCCGTGAGTTTATAGAGCTAGGACAACAGCAGAATAACCAGCACTGGGAACAATTTTTGCAAGGGATTGATCATTGAACAACCTCACCCCAAATGTGGGAAAACATTGTAAACATTTTTTCACCCTTAACACCAATCACCTTGCTCACCGACACGTTGCTAGAGCAACACTTAAGTACTGCCGATATAACAAACCTATCACTCAATATACAGCATCTTGCTACCACCAATAGTACCTACGGGCTCACCATAGCCCGTGCTACTTGGAATTGTTTGTTCCAAGTAGCGAATCTTGAACAACAACAACAATACCACTAATATAAATCGTAACTTAGACATTGAAACTGACTGAAGTGAAATGACTCCTGATGATAACTATGACATAACTCCAATAGTCTAGTAAGACCGCTGGACACTGCGACTCATCCATACACAAGCTAAAATTTACAAAAACTCAAACCTATTTGAGTTTACAAACCCTTGATGCGCCAATTCACACTGTATACAAATGTAACTGCAGCAGGGTGGAAGCAAACCAAAATGGACTGCATGGGTTGCTCTGCGGAAGCTCCAAGGTCTGGCATGCAAGACACAACGAGATTAATGACGTCTTCAAGAGGAGTGTCTCAGCTCAGTGCCCAGCAGAGAGAGAACCTCGCATCCTAGTGGACCAAAACCCGGATGACCCCGCACTTCGCCCTGATGGCATCACCATATACCCCTGGAAGAGGGGAAACAGCTGGTGTGGGACTACACGTGTGTATTCACCCTGGCTGACACCAACATAAACTTCGGCGCCAATAACAGTTAAAATCAGTCAAATACAGGTGATTGGAAGGTCAATACACCTTTGTTCCCATAGCCACTGAGACGCTTGGCCCCTGGGGAAGGAGTGCCTTTGAATTCCTCAAAGAATTGGGTTCCAGGATCCGTGACATCACCAGAGACCCAAGGGCTGCCAGTTTCTTGTTTCAACACCTCAGTGTGGCGATCCAGAGGGTTTCAAATGTTATAATTTCAAAATAACAGAAATGCAAAGAAGCTTGAGCTCCTTTGCATTTGTGTTACTCACGTGGCCCCAACAGCGAGGTTATTCGATGAAATATCTGTACCCTAAAATTGACCATAGAGTGCTGTTGGGAGGGTGGCTTAATAGTCTCACGACTTCTAACTTTTTTTGTACAGTCAATATGGTCTAGTTCGTATAGTACTGGATACGCTTAGGTTCATGGAGCTCTGGTTGTCTGGGTTCGAATCCTTCAGGGGGGGAGGAGTTTTCGGTTGCATATTGGATTGGGGACCAGTCAAGCTTCTTCGCATATATACACTAAATCTTAAAAATAAGTTACTATTTTTAATAAACTGAGCTACTACAACTCCCCCGCCAATTTCTGCTTATAAACGTTGAGGCAATAACTACCTTGAAGACTATGGAGGCGGCAGCGAGGGCAGCAGCGGTCTCCGCGGCCAACTCGCTTCCTGCGGGAGAGACACACAGATGGTCATCGCCAGGTTAGGAAGACTTCGAGCGCCTTAGCCAAATAAAATTACTTATGAAGGCAGTGAACATAAATAATTTGGTGAGGAAGACAACTAACCTGGATTTGAGTCATCGATCTTGTAGGAAGGTCGCTGCATGGTCATCTCCTCAGGGCGACCCCAGTAAGCGTGGTCTACGTCGCCTTTGCCCACCTGGAAAATGATTTTATATTTTGTTCTTAATTTAAAAGGAGTTTATATATATATATATATATATATATATATATATATATATATATATATATATATATATATATATATATATATATATATATATATATATATATATAATATAACATTTCATTTCGCTCATACTAATAATGATAATCTTATGCAACACGTGTATTGTTTTCATTCTTATCTGGTATATCTACGCCACCTATAGACTAGATGGTTGTGTACAGTACGGAAGGAGTGCTCACCTGGCCGTATAGTTCGTCATAGTTAGTGTGAGCCTTGAGGAAGTAGTCAGTGGCCCACTTGACCCCTGCTCGACCATACCCTGTCTGACCTGTGGGCACAATCAGGAAGATTAATCTCACGGACAATTGAGGAGGGCTGAGTAGGTTACTAGTCTACTGTGACCCTCAAATGTGGTTTCCTATTTTCGGGGATAGGAAGCCTGATAGACTCATCGATGTATCCTCGTAAACCGACTGCTGATCTTCACCATAATGTACCCCATAACAGTTGTCTAAGCCCCAGGTACCTATTTACTGTTAGGTGAACATTGCAATGCAATACTCACCGGCTTTAGCATATCCATCAGCGAAGTCTATGAGGCCCCAAGCCAGCATGGTGGTGGAGAAAGCCATTGGGAACCCAAACTTGACGTGATCACCAGCTGCGGATAAGAAAACAGGAATTATATGTGACAACTTATAAAGAATTTGTCAAAACGTGTTTTTCACAATAACAATCCCTATTTCACAGAGTTTTCCTCAATTTTCAAAGATCAGGGTTCTATACGCGTAATATTAACATTCATATAGCTTCCTCGCTGAGGGTTTTCGAATTATTTACACAATGCTCTTTTGATAATTACTTATTTATATGGTGTCAGATATAAGTTATGGATCAGTCGGAGATTCAAGTGTTAGGAATGACAGAGTAGTGTAGAGTACGATCATTGCTGGTGTGTAGCATAAATACCATTCTCAACGCTAGCACACCTGATACAGAAAATATTTGCATCCTGCACTGTCAACATAACCCAAACAGTGTCATTTAACCCACACAGGTGATCACGGGACAACATGCTCAAGGGCTCGGCCATATATAATTTTATTATTATTATTATTATTATTATTATTATTATTATTATTATTATTATTATTATTATTATTATTATTACACAAGGGGGTGCAGGAACAGACGATTTATGACTCCTGTTAGCAGACTGAGAACTTTCCCTTCCCACAGCTCATGGTAAGCCTTACCACTAGTTTTCCTGGAACACGACCCGCCAATCGGGTAACAACCAGGTATCCAATTACTGCTGGGTGAACATAGGCAAACAGTTAAGGATTGGTGCTTAGTCAATCTTCCCTGGCCAGGATTCGAGCCCCGGGAGCAAATCGTTCTTTTTTCTCTCTCTATTTGTGTTTGCCTTACCGTCGTAGTAGCCGCCAGTGAGGTCGTGGCCCACATCGGAGCCGTCGCCAAGAGCAGAGTCGTGTCGCCAAGTGATGCGCTGGTCGGATGGCAGAGGTCCTGACCGCTGGGCCTCGTAGAACAGGTACGACATGCACAGTGCCTGAGGGTCAAGGGATCTGAGTTTGAGCAAAAGGAAATTGCTTCTATGGAGTGCGAAAAATGAGTGGAAGATGCACATCCAAAATATATATTACAGTTACTGAAAAAAAATTAATATAAGTAGATACCAAAGATTTAACTGCAGGAGCAATATATTCAACTAGATAACACTGGCTGGATTGGGTGTGTTCAAAGAACATCAGTCTGCCATTGGTTGTCTTGGAATGAACCAAGGAAGTGAGCTGTTGTATCGACACAATGTAGTGTCGTTGTAGTGTCTTGTGTAGTGTAGTGTAGTGTCGTGTTGTAGCCCGTTTCTTGTAAGGACGTATTCTGGAGTCTATTCTCCAGAGTAGTGTCTTGCGAGGCTGTATTCTGGATGTATTCTCCACAGTATCTTGTGATTATCTTTCAGGAAGAAACTTAGCATGGCTCATCAACCAGGCGCGGGACTGAAGTACTACGTTAAATCTTAGTCTTGTTATTCTAGTCAGAAGCTGACTGTTGCTGGGCATTGTTTTAGGAAGTTGTTGATAGTAAACATTACTTTCTTAGAATTGAGATATTCAGACCCGGCAGATATCAACGTGCTTATTTCTATGATTGGACCGGTTAGTAACCATATCTGTAAGCTGAGCTCAAGAGAATCGTGACTTCGTTACACTACGTATATAAAAGACTGAACGTAAAAGGTGAGAGTTTAGTGAAAGTTTAGCATTTAGGCGTTTTATCAGCACTGAGGCCTACAGATGTGTATTTTCCGAGCAGGCAAAGTTTCTGATCTCTGCGGGGAAGCTTAAGACTTTTTGTGTGCTCGCAGTGTGTTATGTCTTACTGATTTCCTTACATCTGAGGTAGGGAAAGATTTCTTGGATATTAAGATTATTGGCCAACTAGTGTGATGGTTACCAGAAGTGTTGCCCTCCCTGGTAGCTGACTGTCAACTAGTGTGACTGTTGATACACGCTGTTGTACTGGTTTGTCATTGTTAAGATCCTCTTCGTCTGTACCATTTATTTTCTTTAAGAAAGTGCATCACAACTATCCTTCGAGGAATTTGTAGCAGATCTACTTTGTGAGAGTCGACGGTCCAGTCACCAGGTCTGACTGTCTTACCCCTCTAGCCACCACTGTCGGTCAGTGACTGTGACTACCGTCTGTCCCTCGTCGTGACGAATATGTGTGGTGTTTTAACTGTCAAGATTCTGCCTGTAGGAACCATAAACTTGTATATACACTTCACAACTACTGAACCTTGTCTCTGCTCTGTCTCCTGACCATTGTGAACCTTTCAAATGTTTGTAAATATACTGTCCCTCGGTGATTTACTACGCAGTCTTCTGCGTTTCGTGCTATTACTAGCACTTTGTACCGATAGGTAGACACGGATGGTGTAGTCACTGACCTGGCTGTAGTCGTAGGGCTGCATGCCAGTCCCGGCACAGGGGTTAGGGATGTCAGCGGAGACGATACCCACACCTGACAACCAAGGAAGCAAACATTAGCATTCGTCAGAGTTATGAAAGAGATTAACTCACCACACAGCAGGTGGTGAGGGAAGTGGTGGTGTGAGGGAGGTGGTGGTGGTGAGGAAGGCGATGGTGGTGGTGGTGGTGGTGGTGGTAGTGGTGAGGGAGGTGATGGTGGTGGTGGTGGTGAGGGAGGTGATGGTGGTGGTGGTGGTGAGGGAGGTGATGGTGGTGGTGGTGGTGAGGAAGGTGATGGTGGTGGTGGTGGTGAGGAAGGTGATGGTGGTGGTGGTGGTGGTGGTGGTAGTGGTGAGGGAGGTGATGGTACATACCTATCACTACCTACCAATCGGTGACTACGGGAACAGAGCGGTCGTAGAGAGACCACATACAGCCCTCTCATGTGCCAGGTAAGTCCACTACGGGCTCACCATTACCCGTGCCACTTGGAACTACTTTGTTCCAAGTGGCTGAATCTAAAACAACAACAACGACTTCGGGAAGTGAGTGTCGTAGTCTACTTGCCCCTCTTTATGCCCCGCCTACTAGCCTTGTTGTACCTGTTGCCCCTCTTTATGCCCCGCCTACTAGCCTTGTTGTACCTGTTGCGTTATAATTTAACTATTCTGACGTTCGAATTCTTTGTCTAATCTGCCTTAAAGCTGTGGATGGAGGTGGCTTCCACAACTTTTTCTTTCAGTGCATTTCACTTATGGACGATTTGTACAAGGTCCTTACATTTCTTCGACTCATTTACTTTTCCAGCTCCCACTTATGTTCTCTCGTTGTAGTTTCTTTAACTTTAAAAAGGCTGTCCTTATCCACCTTATCAATTCCCTCAACATCTTGCATGTTGCTATCATGTCCCCTATGTTCGTACTCTCCTCCAGGGTTGGGAGGTCTAGTTCCCTTAACCTATTCTCATAGTTCTACATATCCCTTAACCTTATTCTCATAAGGTTAAGGGAACACATATCTTAGCTCTGGCACTAATTTTGTTGCAAACCGTTGTGCTTTTTTAATATTTACTTTTATGCTTCACAAGGTGTGGATTCCAGGTAGATGTTGCATATTCTAGAACTGAACTAACAAAGGTTGTGTAGATTGTCTTGGAGCTCTGGTTAAGCTTTGTAAACGACTTCCTAAGGTTTACCAGTGTCCCATATTCTGCCGATGTTACTCTGTTCATGTGTGCCTCTAGAGATAGTGTTGGAATTATTTCCACTCCCAAATCCTTTTCTACTTTCGACCCTTGTGGCACTCTACTTGTTCCCTTCCTCCAACTCGAAACCTCATCTCTGGCTGAGTGTCTGTTTTCTGTCCTTCAGGTAGTCCCTTACACAGTTCAGTGTCTTCACAGTCATACCCTGTTTACTTCTTTATCTAGAACACCAACCTTTCATGAGGAACAGTATAAAATGTTTATTGATAATCAAGGAAAATAGTCCACACAGCCTTCTTTTCCTGTGTTAGTAACCTCGTCGTAGAACTCGGTCAAGTTTGTCAGGCACGACGTCCTCTTCTAAACCTATGCTGACCATTTCCTACAAGGTTTATCCTCTCCAAATTTTAAATTGTTTTCAGACTGATTATTTTTTTCCATTACTTTACACAGAATACTTGTCAGTGACACTTGTCTGTAATTTAGTGCCTTTAATCTCCCCACTTTTTGGGATATTGGGGCTACATTTGCCTGTTTAAAAAATCTGGATGGTGTCCAGTCTCAAGAGTTGTATTGAACGGGTGACAAAGTTCTCCTTGCAGCCTCCTTCAACAGGCACGGTGACATTAAGTCTGGTCCTATTGATTTTGGTGTATCTAATTCTTCCAGATGTTTCTTCATAAAAGAAAAAAGTTTACTTCTTCATAAGAAGTAAATGTGTTTTAGGAGGGAACATGAGTCATGACAGCAAATAAAGGCTTCGTATAAATACAACTTTGAGCTTACAGGGTTAAGAAGCACAAGCTTCCTTTAAACATAATTAATTAATTTTATGTAATTCAATGTGAAATAGCATGCAAACCATAATTTTGAATTCTGCATTTTGAAACTGTTTGATGGACTCAAGTGTGAATGAGCTATCATATGTGTACCTGAGAGGAGGGCGAGGGCCCCCAGCAGGCAGGTCTTCACCAGGACACCGGCAGCCATGTCTGCAGCAGAAGAGACTGTGGTACTGGACGAGTGTACCCGACCCCTAATATACCTGCTGCACACGTGATAGCTATGTGACACCCGCCTCCTGACGCCACACACAGGCAAAGCCAGGAATTACAAGTTGCACTCGAAGGGTTGGAAACATTATTATCTTTGGCTTCTTCAGCTGCTATTTTCCCAGTGTCAACTATCGTCAACGGCACCGAGCAATAAGGAACTTAGTTACGACCATTAGTTACGACCATTAGTGGGTCGTCGCCTTGTTCTCCACGAAAACTACGGCCGGAGGGAGTTGGAGGATGCCTCGACTTGCTTTCTAACGGCTTCCTGGTTAAAACAGTCGCTTAACCTTTGTGTGAGCAACCCGGCCTCAGGATGTGTTCAGTCAATCCAGCGACCGAACACAAAGACGCTGGATTGACTGATTCATCAGTGTTAACATGCCGTTCAATCCAAATACAGAGAGAGTGAAAGAAAGCAATTAAGAGAAACCGATACAAGCAGAGACAGACACGAAGAGAGAGGAAAGCCAATGAACAGTTTCTATGAAAGTCAGACAAGCCATCCTCAGATTCGTCAGATGTATGGTCTGTCTTTAATTACCATGGGTGTGAAGCACTAAGATTGGTGAGATTGGTATGCCACTTATATAAATTATTAGGTAATAATACAGTGCAGGGAGCTGCATAACCACATACTTCACAGTGCCACTGCTCAGTGCCAACCAGCAGTAAGATCATTCAGAGATAGTCTAGAATTTTGTGCAAAATCTAAGATATTCAATGTTCTTATTAAATGTGCCATTTCCTTATTTCAGAACATTGTGTACGAAGACAATTATGTAAGAAAAATTTTGAACGATAAGAAAGGGAAAAATAAAATATAATTTGAATACGCCAAAGACCAATTTACACCAGAGAAGGCAAGGAAGTTGCAGTTGTAATTTTCATGCAGTACCATAATGTGTTAATTAAAACACCAACGAACTTGGCTTGTGTATTTTTAGCTGATGTCAGAGAAAAGTTATCTAGAAGATGGATGACAGATGTTTGAACAAGGGTGCAACTTCAGTGTGTTTGCCATAGATCGTATTTTCTTTGTATATTTATATTTTTGTTTCTTTGTATTTTCTTTGCAGGAGAAAGACGTACAAAAACAGAAAGAGACCGGGCCGAATGATTACATTTACTCCTTCCTGTTTAGTGCTGACAGGATAATGGTATCGACTCTGCCCAAAATGAGCGTTAGATCGTGTTTAGGGAGAACATTAGCTACCAATTGTGTTACTATTAATTTTGTTTAATATTGCGTTTCAACTTGTTAGGGCGTTGTGAAAGTACTCGTTGTCTTCACTGTTATCAAGCGATGAATCCCAAATTTTGGTCATAATTCAAGGTCCGTTTTCAAGGTCATAAAAGTCATTCGGGAGATAAATATAATTTTTTTTGTTCTTATCTCGCCAGCTGTTCGTGTTTCTTACCAGGGGTAACAGGGCACAAACCTACAGATTTTTTTCTTATTTTATTTTATTTTATTCCTGGGGGAGCTTCTGATAAGGTGTGACCTGGACGGGTGGTGGAGCGATATATGAGGAACACTGACCATAACTCGACACGGGAGACATCTCCTGTCACTCAGGGTGCAGTCGCACCTCCACAGATCTCCAGTATCAGCTCTTGATAGTGGTAATGGCTCAAAAGGGCCACCATTTACGGGCTATTCATGCCCGTGCCACCTTTTGGGTGGTTTAATCTTCATCAATCAATCAATCAATCATAACTCGACACCCTTCTTGGACTTGGGGGTCGACCTGTTCTCAGGCTTAATGCCAAGCAATTTTGGGGCTGCCATCTGGTATTGTAGTGGAACTAAAAGAATCGCCATATATATTATTTGTATCTTTTATTTGTTTTTGATTTATTTATATATACAAGAAGGAACATTGGGTTTGTTAGAGTACATAACTTTGGTGTTCTTACACCAATGTAAGTAACAGAATTTTATTTCAACATAATAACTACAATAAAAGTTGATAGTTTTGACATACTGGTGATGTTGCATGTTGTTAGTACTAAATTTGAGGCAGTGGGTAGCACAAGATACAGCGTGAGTTTGAAGCACAACGTAGGAAACTATGAGGATGTAATTATGTACTTTTTTGTTTTACTTTTGAATAAAGTATAGATTAGACAAGTTTTTAATTCATTAGAGAGAGAGTTCCATTGGCTTGGTTCTTTTATTTGCATGGAGTGTTTGCACAGATTTAGTCTGACTCTCGGGATATCAAAAATATATTTATTTTTCGTGTAGTGCTCATGGGTTCTATTACATTTATGAAGGAAGAGTTTCAGATCAGGACTAGCATTTAGCAACAAGGTTTTGCACATGTAAATAGCACAAGAGAATGTGTGGAGTGAGTGTATGTTCAGTATGTTCAGGAATTTAAACAGAGGGACTGTGTATTATCTGAACACAGAGTTTGTTATTTTTCTAATAGCATCTTTTGCTTGGTGATGATGGGTTTGAGGTAATTTGCAGTGGTTGAACCCCATGCACAGATACCGTATGTTAGACAGAGATAGATTAGTGAGTAGTATAATGAGAGAGATCAGAGTGAGAGAACATAATATCTGATTTTAGAAAGTATACCGAAAGTTTTTTGAGACCTTTTGTTTGAGACTCAACGAAAGCCTCCACCTTTACCAACGCCTTGGCCACTACCAGCCCCAGCTCTACCACAGCTGCACCCACCAGCCAGCCAGAAGCCTTTCCAATCTTACCAAGTCTGCGAAGTCTCCCAGACTATTGGAGGCCCACCGTCCAAATAGTGACCCAACCGGAGCCAACACCAACCCAGCGCCCAACATCGTCCAAGGATGGTGTTATCCCTGCCCAGCTGCGGTTCGCAGAACGGATTGTCGGGTCAAACAGCCGTCTCTTTGGCACCACTCTCAACACTCTGTATACTGTAAACGGTCTAACGATCATCAACGCTCCTGGCGCAGTGTTCGCTGCTCCAGCACCGACGGACGACTCCAGCGGTGGCGGCACATATAGCTGCTCCTCTGGTCCTTGAAAATTGAAGTTGAGTGATACTGTGCATGAAAGGTGTCACCACTTGGCACCCCGCACGATAACGTGAACTTGAGGGGTTATAAGATGTTAATCCATTGTTTGTTAATCTGTTCACTTCAGACAGTTAGTGATGTATTTCTCTCAGTTGTCTCAGATGTATTCCCCTAGTTGTGCTTGCGGGGGTTGAGCTCTGGCTCTTTCTGCCCGCCTCTCAACTGTTAATCAATCAACTGATTTTGCCCCCCCCCCCACCACACACACACAGTAAGGAGGTAGCCCGTATCAGTTGTCTAACTCCCAAGAACCTATTTACTGCTAGGTGAATAGTCCATCAGGGTGAAAGAAACTCTGCACATTTATTTGCGCCGCCGCCGGGGATCGAACCCGGACCCTTAGGACTACGAATCCCGAGCGCTGTACACTCAGCCGTCAGGCTCCGTCAGGCTGTGTCAGGGTACAAGTGACAGAATGGACTGAATTGAACCCAATGAATTTTCTAAAAAAAACTAAAATTCACAGCTTAAATATATAACATTTCTACTTGCACTCTCCACTGAAATATGTTGGTTATGACATGGAACAGCCGTCAGCGACCCTCGCCTGTTGTCCCCTGCACTGAGCCAGTTCCCACGCCCTTGGCAAGGTTCCCAATGGGTGCAGAGACTGACGTCACTCACACACTGCTTTACCTCTTCATTAAACTCCTTTTTATATGTGTGATCATTTAAATGAATATTGCTTTATTACCTTCAACATTTCTTTGTTTTATTCCCTTATTATATTTATATACTTTCTATTTATATATTTTCCCCGTATGTCTATTAAGGCATTAAGTATTAAGGCAATTTTATTTGTTTAGCAAATAAAAAGTATTATTATTATTATTATTATTATCATCATTATTATTATTATTATTATTATTATTATTATTCATCGGTGCAACAAGTTCCTTGGCCTATACATAGACAAGAGACTCAACTTCAGCACCCACATACAACACAGCCAAAAAAGTCTCAAAAACGTTCGGTATACTTTCTAAAATCAGATATTATGTTCCAAACTCTGCTCTCCTTTCATTATACCACGAGTTAATCTATCCGTGGTATAATGAAAAGTACAGAAAGCCACGAGGAACGGCTAGGATATATGTTTAAGGCCAGAGCGATGGGATTGCGTTCATTCAAAGCGACCAGAACTCTGAAGTGACGGTCGGGTCTCTGAGCTCGACCAAGGCGACCAGAACTCCGATGAAGTGAAGGTCGGATCTCAGTGCTCAACCAAGACAGCCAGAGCTCCGGTGGTCAGTTAAGGTTTCTAACTGAGCTCGACCAAGGCGGCCAGAGCTCCGGTGAAGGCAGCGTTGTAGTCGCAAGCCACCTCGTTGTGCTGGTAGTCGGTGCGAATATCCGTGTAGGAGCCGTCCTGGGAGAGTAAAAGTCATAATAATTAATGGGAAGCCGCACACGAGGACAGTACACTGTATGGGATCAGACTATATAAACTAAGGAAATGCTCTATAGATTAACATAGTAATTGGCCACACTTAAGTAAACGAAGATAAATAATAAACCAGGCAAGAACTGTAGCACAATTGAGAAACAGAGAACATCAGGATTTATTCAAGCCAATCAAAATGCAAAGCGTACGAATCATTGCGTAAAAGCGATCAACATCGTACAACATGTTGACACTGTTGTCTGGAAGCATCACCAACCCTCACAATGTATAACGATAAAGCACAAAAGCTGCCGTAACTGACCCCAGCTGGGCCGCCGACGAGGGCCCCGAAGAGCGTGTGGGGGCTTGGGTCTGGGTTGTCGAGGGCGCCCTCACAGCTCTCTGGTGGGTTTGGACAGGAGCTGAGGAGATGGGAAGTGTTCATTAATTACCTCGTGCGTTTGAGGGTTTGGTGCATGTAAAGCTCCTTCCAGTGACAAAGAAATATATCCATATACTCATAGGCTAGTTAAATTGGAAAAAAAATAGTAACAGAAATAATCTACAGTAGGATACCATTTATCATGTCAATTAAAGTCATAGAATAGTCATAAGTCATAGAAAACGTACAGCAATGAAAGACTAAGAAAATCTTTATCATGTCAAAGATTTTCTTAGTCTTTCATTACTGTACGTTTTCAATGAATTGCATAGAAAATTAGACGACTATTTATACTTAATAAGAATTTTTATCCTGAGAATTTATATTCGTATTCAAGTACGTTTATTGAGACAATAAAATACATCTCAGAGGGATAGAGTAGCTTAGGCTATTTCTACCCCTGTATTCGTATTCAAAGAAAATGTGAGCAAAATCTGTGCTATAAGAGAGAACAAGTAATGGTAATGTCTTATCACAGACATAATAACATACGATAGAAACCCACACCTATGAATTTGTTTTATGTAAAGATTTGAACTACACCAAGTCTTTCGCAATCTCCTGAGTGCATTATCAAGGTCTGAATGTCCGGTTAGGACAAGACTGATATCTCAAAGACTGATTAGTCGTTGAGATATCAGTCTCGTCCTAACCATATTATCAGACCTAGATAATGCACTCGAGAGAGTGCGAAAGACTTGGTGCAGTTCAAATCTTTACATAAAATATACAAATACATAAGTGTGGGGGTTTTATCCTACAAGAGAGTGTCTGTTGTCCGTTTGTTTCTGTCCAAAGCTGAAGGCCAGACACACAATGGCCAAATTTGTAGGGTAAATGGTGCGGTGTGAGGGACGGACATAGGCTGGTCGGAGCAGGCCTAAGTTAAATGCTTTAAGATAGATTAGCAATATTGAGACACCCTCATCAACCTGTCCTCAGTGAGGAGATCTCCCCAAGAGAATAATTCACTGTGTCAGGGGACAGGAAACCAGAGTGTGTTCATACAGGTTTGGGTTTTTAACGAGGTTTATAACTCACACTGTATCTTGTACTACCCACTTCCCCCAATATCAGTACTTAAGACATATATTTACCAATGTAATCACCTCTATCAATTTATATTGTAGGTATTTGTTGATATAAAACCTTGCAGTAATGTACCTTTTCATCTTACCTGATAGGTTAGATTAAGGACCTGCCCGAAACAATATGCGTGTTGGTGGCTTTGTAAGAATGTGCAAACAGTAATCTTATGTAATCTCACCAACCCATTGTACCTTCTTATGAATAAATATATAGGTGGATAGGTAGATAGATGGATGGACAGATGAATTGATCGACGAATAGATAGATGAATGGCTCGACGGATATAGGTTTATGGAAAGTTGGATGGATAAATGGATGGATGGAGTGATAGATGTGTAGATAGATGGATAAATAAATGGATAGATAGGTCGTCAGATATATGGATTGGTGGATGCTGGTAAGCACCAGCTTTACTGGTCTAATTAATTTATATGTTTTCCTATGATGCGGTATATGGTCCGCTGTCTATACATTTCTAAGATCTTTATCTTATCCCGATGAGGGTCTAGTATTCCAAGAATGTCTATGGCAGTTCCTTTCTCTATATGTATCTAGTTAACTTTGTATTTACCTGCTGGCTCAGATTGGTATACTGGCATAGGAGTATTTGCAGAAGGAAACCCATTACTTTAAGGTACCACCTGCTTCATCTAATGACTCAATTCCAGCATGTATCTTATCTCATTTGCTTCAGCAACATCCACTTCTAACCCATTCTATTTGGTTGTAACTCTTACGCTGATCGGTGGTGGGGCCTCTGAGGAGGATCCTGGCCGAAGCCCACAACGAAGGACCTGTGGTAACGAGAGTTGTCGCCCAGCAGCTGGCCGATCTGACCTCTGGCCCACTCCTGGTTGGCTTCTGTATCGAACCCGTTCTTGGCCGCCTGTAACGTAAACATTTATTACCGATTTCACTCGAGAGCGTCGTTGCCTTAGACTTAGGCTAGTGCACATTCCAAGTTCGTAAGAGCTTTTGTAAGAGAGCAGCACCGAGAAAGGACTGTTATTAATTACAACAAATTAAATATGAACCTGAAAATACTAAAACAAAAAAGTGCCTACTAAATATATATACCTTCGTTAAAAGGTGAGGCAGATGGACAACAGGAATCTGAAAGAGAGCTGTCATAGCTCTCCCATTTCAACTTAGTTTCAGTACTAAGACAAAGATTCACCTTTTGAGTTAAATTATCATGAGTGCAAGTAACTGATTTCAGACTTCATCAGGATGACGGAATGTTTTACAAGAATATTCAAGCTTAAATGATACGGTGACTGTCCGGGATTCTGGAGCAGACTCACCCAGAGGGAGATGAAGGCGACGTTGGCGGCGTGACGGTTGGCGCCCCAGGCGTCCAGGTAGACCAGACCCTCCGGAGTGTAAGGGGCATCGGTCTTCAGGTAGTTGAGGAACTTGACGAGGTAACTTGAGTACTCGGAGTCACCAGTCAGTAGCCAGAAGAGCGACTACAATGATGAGTGGGGATGAAAAGGGAATTCATCTAGCGGACAAGCAATTCTTAATAATATATTAAAACTAAAATTCTTAGTCAGTTTTGCCTCATGAGAAATGCGTCACCACTCAAACTTGATTTGCCAATATAATAGTAAGGTTCAGTCCCTGAATTTACAAAATGTCCCCCAGTAATAATGCACAAGATGATTTAAATTACGTGGTAAGGCATCAAATATGTCTTTTTTTAATCCACAAATTATCAGACAGGACCAAAATACACTACACTCTCCCGTTGCAACGTTTCCTCAAATCACCATTGGCAGGCAACTTACATAGATTCCAGCTCGTTTGTCGTCCCAGGAGAACGAAGCCAAATAGCTTGTCAAGTCAAACTCGTCCCAGTGACCCTTGGCGCGGGTGAGGTAGGCGTCGTCGCCGGTGGCTCTGGCCAACCACAGCGCCGCCCAGGCCAGCTCGTCCCCGTAACCACTCCACGATCTGAGTGGACAAAACTGCACTAACTGGTGGGATCCGACACAAGCACGAGGGATACAAGCTGACATTACAAGGTGAACAACCCACTCATAAACCACAGGGCTTAGCCTTGTGGTTAGGTAAGAAGAGACAGGTTTTAACATTACAACAAACAGTAATTATGGGACAGCGCACAGCTTGAGAACCAAAACTCATTGATATTACGGTGCAAAACGTTTGTCGATTGATTGATGAAGATTCAGCCACCCAAGAGGTGGCACGGGCTTGAATAGCCCGTAATGAAAAACGTTTACCACTAGCTGTTATTATATATGCATGGTGTGTGCAGATCAGATGAAACTGTACCCGTTGAGGACTCATTAAAACCTTTTGTGCCATCTGTAATCCTCTTTTGTGCTAGTACTCAATGGATGACTATGAGGTACACAAAAACCTACCACTTAGAGCATGAATATGGAGTGCACAATAAACTACCGCTCAAAGGATGAGTGTGAGGTACACAAAAACCTACCACTTAGAGCATGAATATGGAGTGCACAATAAACTACCGCTCAAAGCATGAGTGTGAGGTGCACAAAATCATGAAGCCCATCTTTACGAAACGTACTGGTAGAAGGCCTTCACGTCAGGGATGGAGTTGTCGTACTTCTCGCGGAAGTTGTCAGCGAAGTCATAGAGCTCCTTGGCCACGCCCAGCACCTCGGCGGAGTAGACTGGATCCACGTCCTGAGGACACAACGGAGAAGGTGAAAGATAAAGCTCATTACAGCATGACTTAAAAAAAAAAATCTTAAACATTTTAAGTAAATAGTTTCCCCTTGTCTCCCAGGGCCAACTATTGATCTTTCTCAGGATGCAACCCACAACAGCTGCCTAACTCCCAGCCACCTATATACTGCCTGGTGAACAGAGGCATCAGGTGACAGTAAACATTCCCAAATTGTTTTTGTTTTTTTTCGTCCTCACTTGGGAATTGAACTCGGGACTTTTCGGTTTGTATGCGACTGCCAAGATAGCATGAACATGGGATGTAAAGAAATGAGATAACATGAGTATGGAATACAACACACGAGGCAACAGAGACATTTATCCACAGATGCAACACAATCCGCATGATAACAAGACCAACGGGAACTAACAGTCTCTACGATAACATATGAGACAACGTCAGAGTCTACAAGCGAAGCTTACTACAGGTTGACGCCCACATGACCGACTGCCAGAGATGATCACACACATGAGAAAACAGAAGAAATGTGCAGGACATAACAGAAGAAATGTGCAGGACATAACAGAAGAAATGTGCAGGACATAACAGAAGAAATGTGCAGGACATAACAGAAGAAATGTGCAGGACATAACAGAAGCACTGGAGGAGAGACAACAAAAGCACTGGAAGTAAGACAACAGATGCACTAAAGAAGAGAAGGAGGAAGCAATGAAGATAAGACAACAGATACACTGGAGGAGAGACAACAGAAGCACTCGATAAGAGACAACAGATGCAGTGAAGGAGAGACAACAGATGCAGTGAAGGAGAGACAACTGAAGCACTCGATAAGAGACAACAGATGCACTGAAAGAGAGACAAGAGAAGATCTCGACAAGTCTATAAAAGCACTGGATGTTCATCCTATGCAGTACAATGAGACGACGGGACAATTTAGATTAAACAAAAAAGCGACTTGAGAGAGGCACTAAACACTAAGCTACAAGACTATGACAAACCAATAATATAACGTTAGGAACAGTCACCACATCAAAGCATTCAATACAGCAGACAACACCTGTTTTTAATGCAAATGGACGCGATAGAGACCTTGAAGACCATAGAAGCAGCCGCGAGGGCAGCAGCTGTCTCCCCGGCCAGCTCGCTTCCTGAAAGAGACGCGCGCGGTCATAGCCATGTTGGGCAGCCTTGGGGCACTGGTCAGCACTTGTAAAGTGATACATTTTTATACTTTATGATACCAAATGACGTAACAAATATATTTAGAAATAGTGATCTTTAGGAAGATTGTCCTAGTTCTCCCCAGCGCCCTGTTTCACTTATCTATATGGTCTTCTTAGCGCCCTGCCCCACTAACCTCATGGTCTTCTCAGAGACCTGCCACACTAACCTGCGTTCTGTTCGTCGATCTTGTAGGAAGGTCTTTCCATGGTCATGTCCTCAGGGCGGCCCCAAAATTGGTGATCTGCGTTACCTTCGCCCACCTGATAAAAGAACCCACTTTTCCTTACACATTAATAAGTTAACATTTATTATGTGCCTAATTAAAGGATTTGTACATAAATAATCAGCATACTCTTTAACATTGTTCAATATTCATGTTTAATAGAAATTAATTATTTTTATTTTGTCATTATTTAATATTATTTTTATTCACGTATGAAAATTTCAGTAAGAATTTCTCATGAAATCAATAAAAAAATCATTAACTTTAAAGACAATGTTGCCACTGCGGAGATAACACAACAAAAATAGTCAAGCATCTGGCTGACTAATGAGATAATTACGCCCTACTTCCAAAATATTTGGTTATGTCATCATCTGTGTCCGCAAATGTAGTGCTGTCCTCTCCATCTCACTTACACATCCACCATCATTAATTTATATTGTCATCAAGGTGCTGTAGAGTGCGGAACTAAGATGGGATGCTCACCTGGCCGTAGAGTTCGTCATGAGCGGTGTGCGCCTTGAGGAAGTAGTCAGTGGCCCACTTGAGAGCTGCCTGACCGTACTCCAGTTGACCTGTTGGGATCGTAAATATTAAACAAGCCCCCTTTATTGGATTATTAATTAAGAAAGCGTCTATTGTTACTCTCTCAAGAACATGCTAGGCTGCATATTGTGGTTCCGAGTGGGACATTTTAATGACGGAACATTATAAGCAAAATATAGTAAGACTCACCAGCGATCTCGTGCCCATCAGCGAAGTCTATGAGGCCCCAAGCCAGCACAGTGGCGGTGTAAGCCATCGGGAACCCAAACTTGACGTGATCACCAGCTGCAGATGGAGAAAACATGATTTATATTCAGGTAAAGAGTAATGGTGTTATTTAAAAGGCATATTCCACACTTTTTCTCTCCCTTACCGTCGTAGTAGCCGCCAGTGAGGTCGTGGCCCACATCGGAGCCGTCGTCAAGAGCAGAATCGAATCGCCAGGTGACGCGCTGGTCTGCTGGCAGAGGTCCTGATCGCTGGGCCTCGTAGAACACATAGGACATGCACAGCACCTGAGGGTGAAGGCAGACGTGCACAGTTCCTGAGGATGAGAGCTAGCAACTATTTTCTGTACTTAATAATCAGGCTACAGCCACTAACCTGGCTGTAGTCGTAAGGGGTCATACCCGTCTCGGCACAAGGATTCTCCATGGGGGAAGGCGTGGTGAAAGTTGCGTCTGGAAAACAGAAAATCCTTAGAAGACATTGTGTGTCAAGGTACGAGACACAGCAGTAGCATGAACATGTGTCAAGGAAACGAGACACTAAAGTAGACATGAATATGTGAGAAGGAAGAGAGATACTACAGTAGACATGAGAGTAAAAAAAATGAGTGTCAAGTAGACATTTGCCTCAAGAACAATGAGAGGAAAAAGTAAGTGTTGTGATGCTGGTTGTTGGTGCTGGGGATGAGTGCAGTACCACACGAGATGCTTACTATATCTTAATAATAATATTGCAAGTAGTGTGAGACTAGCGAGAGAGCAGTGTGAGACTAGCGAGAGAGCAGTGTGAGACTAGCGAGAGAGCAGTGGGAGACTAGCGAGAGAGCAGTGGGAGACTAGCGAGAGAGCAGTGTGAGACTAGCGAGAGAGCAGTGGGAGACTAGCGAGAGAGCAGTGTGAGACTAGCGAGAGAGCAGTGGGAGACTAGCGAGAGAGCAGTGTGAGACTAGCGAGAGAGTTGTTGTTGTTATAGATTCAGCCACTCGGAACAAGTTCCAAGTAGCACGGGCTATGGTGAGCCCGTAGTGGACTTACCTGGCACAGGAGCGGTGCCAGCGAGAGAGTGTTATGAAAGAGTTATATTTACTGTATGATTTAGAGTTACGTGTTAGTATATTAACGTAAATATCAACGCTCTCCTAGAGTTTACAGAAGCACAAATACAGTTTCGTAATTAAACAAGCGATGAACAATTACTTAACTAATTGTTCCATGTCAGCAATTACTTAATTGCTGGTATGGAAGAGTGACCTCACACACAAAAGACTTGAACTCCGGTAATCACCTTGCAACAGCCTCTTGCTGTCCCGATGTACTTGTAATTTAACTCTAGTCATTCATTATTGCTCTCCTGCTGGAGGACCTTAAAGATCTTGCTAGTTTAATATAATTACAATATTTAGTTTACTATAAGAGCAGTGTGTGAGTAATGAGGAGCGTGAGAATAGTGAGAGACTAGCGTGAGTCTTGTGAGAGTACGAGAGAACTGTACATAAAGTTCAAGTATGTTTATTGTGACAAGAAAATACATCTCAAAGAGATAGAGTAGCTTAGGCTAGTTCTACCCCCCCCCCCCTCACTGTACATACCGCAGACCTGCACGTTGTTGACGATCTCCGTGACCACGAGAGGCATGAAGCTAGTGTAGGTGACATGGATGGTGACCTTGACCTCGTCCCCAGCACTGGCCACCAGCTCCGGGTCGCTCAGGATGAAGTGGGTGTCGTCCACCTTGGTCACTTCTCCGCCAGAATACAACTACAGACGACAAGTAACAGTTCAGCAACAAATGCAATTGAATTGCAAGGAAATATGCAACCCGTCTTCGATTCATTAAGAACATTACATCCAGCGGTCGACTCCCACAGACGCATTCATTTTTACTTAAATGCTGTTCATTCAAAACGGGAATTTTCTCAAATATGCACCAATATTATACTATATTAACATATTGTGCATATATAGCATATGTTAAGTTAGGTTAGGTTAGGAGTTTAGGTTCTGTTGGCGATTATTTGTATTTGTAGTACGCGGGTTAATATACATTTACAGCGTTGTAGTTCGAACAAAATTCGTCAGTGAAGCACTTGTTCCGGAAGTGTTCGAACAAAATCAGTTGAGTCGTGTGTAAACCGTTTTTCATTCATAAACAGGGGGTTTGGCGGGTGGGTGGAATCACTTTTGGGTCTTTGCTTGGAGGACGGGCTACATTTACCAACCCGTCCTCGACTCAAGTCCATTACATCCAGCGGTCGACCCCACAGACGCATTCATAAATTTTAACATGCTGTTCATTCAAAACGGGAATTTTCGCAAGTATAAATTAATATTATAATATATTAGCATATTGTGTATATATAGGCATAGGATAGGTTAGGTTAGGTGTTTAGGTTCTGTTGGCGATTATTTGTAGTACGTGGGTGAAGCATTTATAGCGTTGTGATTCGAACAAAATTCGTCAGTGAAGCACTTGTTCAGGATATGTTCGAACGTCAGCAGTTGTGAGTTGTGTGTAAACCGCTTTTCATTCATAAATAGGGGGTTTGGCGGGTGGATGAAATCACTTTTGGGTCTTTGCTTGGAGGACGGGCTGACATTTACTGCGTTGTGGTTCAAAACAAATTCGTCAGTGAAGTACATACTTGTTCCGGAACAAGTGCTGTTTATAAAGCTGTGTAATATAATTAAATTTAATCAGCCTAGAAGAGTTAAAAGTTAAAGAAATGTAACAAATCTTATATTTACCTCAAGAGTTTCCACGGGCCTGCTGAAGGACACCTCCACACTGAGGCCGTTAATGTCAACTGGAGCCACTGTGGTTAAGTCTGCCTGGTAGTTGCCCTGCCAGGTGTTAGTAACCACCACGTTGTCACACTGAGCTTCCACTGCTGCCAGCAACATATACCAACATATAATTAAGTAAGGAAAAGAAGGTAGTCATTCAACTGTATAAGTCTCTGGTGCGCACCTACCTGGATCATTGCATCCAGGCATGGAGACCTATCTTCAGAAATACATAGCTGCTCTGGAGAAGGTGCAACACCGGGCAACAAAAATCATTCCAGAGCTATGTCATCTCTCGTATCAGGAACGGTTGAGGGCCACAAGGCTTACAATGCAAACCAGGCATGACAGGGCGGATCTCTTCGAAACCTTTAAAATATTGAACAATTTGGAGGATGTTGATTCGGACAATTTCTTCAAAGGGTCAGATGTAACACGAACGAGGAGTAACGGGCTCAAGCTTAACAAGCCACAATGTAGAACTGAGAACAGGAGATGCATTTTCACCCACAGGGCTATAAACCCATGGAACCGCTTACCCGCCAAAGTCGTAAACGCCAAAACTCTGCTGGGTTTTAAAATACAGCTGGAAAAGATCAGCAGGGCAAATTGGGGGGACCTTTGACAAGCCGCTTGCTTCCTGGCCTCGTCGAGGCCACAAGTATTAGTGATCCTCGGGTAAATTCAAGTAACTGTTGTTTTGCCTTAATAACCCTCCAGAGGCTGATTGACCTTAAGCCCAACACCAAACCAAGAAAAGCAAGTATTATATATATATATATATATATATATATATATATATATATATATATATATATATATATATATATATATATATATATATATATATATATATATATATATATATATATATATATATATATATATATATATATATATATATATATATATATATATATATATATATATATATATATATATATATATATATATATATATATATATATATATATATATATATATATATATATATATATATATATATATATATATATATATATATATATATATATATATATATATATATATATACACTAATTTGTTCACAGGATTAATTATTCCAGCTTATCCTAATGCCTAATCTAATCAGAGTGCAACTGTATAAGTTTTGAGGGGAAAAGGTGTTTCAAAGAATTCAGTAGATTATTTGGGTCTCAAAGTTATAAAAATATTAAGAAACTCTTCACGAGTGGAGAGTCAGCGTTGTTAAATTAAGCCAATAAGCAAGATATGTTTTTGTTAACATTATTTTAACTTACATATAATTGTGCTTCACTCACAATATCAGGCTACCTAAGCTAGCTCAACCCAACCCATATGTGCTTGACTCTGATGTGTGTGTGTGCATGTGTGTGGCCGTGTAAACTTTGCATGACTGTTGTATATGTATTCGTGTGTGCCTGAGACTGTGTCCTTACCTGAGTATAGGAGAGTGAGGGCGAGAGCCCCCAGCAGGCAGGTCTTCACCAGGACACCCGCCATGTCTGCAGAAGGTGTCGGATAAGGGTACCAGATTGTTTATATACCTCTGGTGCATACCTAATGGTCATACGTAATTCGATTTCTTGACGTCGTATGCAATTAACATCAATCCTCGCAGAGATGTCAGCCCTCGGGTAAATTATAAATACATAAATAAACCTTAATAACCAGAATTACATACGTCAAACAAAACGATGAACAATTTAAATATAGAAAGTAAAATATATGGTTTATACAGGTGACATTGTTCCCATCAAGTATTTACATCAACACCTCAGAGATAACAAGCTGACGCAAGTCGAGGCAATATATTTTCTCTCAACACATACCTTGGCCTTGCGAACGTTTTGTGGTCATCATTAACAACTGTACTCGGATGACTGAGACCAAAATATCACAGAATATACAAGGCATCGCTCCAGTGGCTGAGGTGCCGAGTTAAAATCTGCATTTTTTTAAAGATGTCTAAAGGTAGAGAGATGATTAAAATAAGTCATCTATCGTATCGGGAACGACTGAAGGTCACAGGGCTAACAACACTGCAAACCAGGCATGACAGGGCGGATCTCATTGAAACTTTTGAAATACTGAACAGGTTAGAGGTGTTGATTCGGACATTTTCTCAGGTCAGATGTAACACAAACAAGGATCAACGGTTTCAAGCTCAACAAGCCACAATGTAGGACTGAGAACATGAGATGCTTTTTCACCCACAGAGTTATTAATCCATGGAACCGCCTACCCGCCGAAGCCGTAACTGCCAAATCTGCGTCGAGTTTTAAAATATACTGTACCTGGAAAAGATCATCAGGGCAAATGGGGGATTTTTCGACAAGCTGCCGACTTCCTGTCCTCGTCAAGGCCACTAGGATTAGTGACCCTCAGATAAATCAGGTAAAAATGTGATTATGAAACCGTAAATCATCATAGGACAAATAAAGAAAATATAATGTAAATCAGTATGAATGCATTTCAATTGTATCAAATGAGGTTCACCGAGACCTGTACACCATACACAAAGTGCAACATGAATAAGGTGCATCATGAATTAACCTGAATTTACCTGCGGGTTATTATCTCTCTAGTGGCCTCGACGAGGACAGGAAGCCGGCGGTTTTCGAAAGGTCCCCCGTTTGTCCTGATGGTTTTATCTATTTGGATCTTAAATTGTAGCAGTGTTTTGTTATTTAGGGCTCCGGCGGGTATAGACGGTTCTATGGGTTTATAACCCTAAATTCATGCTGCTCCTCATTCACAGTGCACCTCATTCATGGTGCTCCTTATTTATTGTGCTCTTCATTAATGGTGCTCCTCGTGCAATCAGGAGTGATGATCAGCAGGTGAAAGCGGCCAGTCTAATTACCCAAAGCTTCCTAGCATTACTTACGTAATCCTAGGAAGCTTTGGCCAGCTTTGGGCAATTGGACGGACCGATGAAAAGGGTGTACTGTATCCCTCCCCCGCTAAAAACAAATTATACAAGAATACGGTGTTAATACCAAGATATGATGTGTTTTGTGTGTGTTACATATATTATTATACACTATAATATAAATACTGTATATAATATATATTAATCATACTATGCAGTAATGATTTATATTAGAATACGAGTTATGGCAGGAAGTTAAAGTAAATGTGGGTCCTGTAATGGTGGTTTAGGATCCCGGACAACTATCAGATGCGATAGTTGCCTTCTGATGTACCACCATAAATGTCTAAACATCTCAAAAGCTTTATGGGAAGCATTCAAATATTTGGAAACCTAAGGCGTGGGCCTATTTCACTGCCATTAAATGCAATGGCAAATCCAATAAACCTCGCACTACTACAGATGCCTTCAAGGCAGGATTGTGTGGGATCAGCAGATCATGATGAGAGGTCATTGAGCACCACACCTGATGGGGTATACTGTACTGTATTGTATTTGCTACTGGTGTGTGTGGTCTGCTTTGTATGGTATGTGGGGCTGGACGTAGCATCAATTCCCAGGGTTACCAATGTAGTGTCAATTGCATGAGATACTAATATGGTCTAATAGCCTGTTACTGAGACCAGAGTGAGTTTAGTCTAACGCCACTTTAGTATAACCAGACAGATGGGCACTGAAACACAGTAATAATTAATGATACTGTATAGTTACCTGGCACAGGACCGGGGTTTAAGTCCACTACGAGCTCACCATAGCCCGTGCTACTTAGAAACTTTGTTCCAAGAAGCTGAATCAATAACAACAAATGATACTGCATATATTCTCAACACACTGCAGTGGAACAAAGGTAATTTGTGAGTCAGTATACTGTGGGCCAGTCAGGCTGTAGGCAGAGTTCAGTGTTGAATACACTGTAAGGTGAGGGAGAATAATGCATAGAGAGAAAGGGTTGTTTTGATGCTATTAGGAGGCTGAGTGTTTGTACTCACAAAGTGTACTTGCAGAGTGAGAGACATTGCTCTTGGACCCTGCTTCTCGACCCTTAATCGACTGGTCTCTAGGTCTGTGGCCTGTTTATACAATTCTAGCAGCTCAGCTAATGCAAACAAATCTGAGGCTTTCAGATTGGTAAGCCATAGGCCAATTGGAAGTGCTGCTGTGCCAGTCCCACTTAGGCAGTGGTGAATGGCTGGCACGGCTTCCTGGCTCCTAATTATAACAGTGGAGCAGGTAGGAACAGTTTTAGTATATGACAGGTAACTAGACATAAAACAAATGGAATCTATGTACAATATATTTTCCATATTAAAGTCCCTGTATTTTATGCTCCTACATTGTGGAGGTCTGATGTATTTCCTCTTACCAAATTCCCTCAATTGAAATTTTCTTACTTTCCAGCTTGCATACAATTCGCATTACAATTCTAACTGTGGCAAGTGCGTAACGTAAGCACAGCCAAAAGCCAAAACGAGTTAACATACATAAGATAATACTGGTATCAAATGCTTCAGAGCCAATTTAAAATAGTTCATATTACTTTTCAGTTTTACTATATTGTATATCTTCTTCTTTTCAAGATGTATTATTCATCCTTTGCTTGCTAATTTTAACTCTCTGGCTCGAGTATAAAGACTAAGGAGAGTTATTACTTCCCAAATACCTATGCACATTGAAATTTCTTGCTGATGTTGAGTATTCATGGGTTGAAGCATTTCAAGAAGTTTAATCAAGCTATTCAGTCTCAAACATAATAGAAGACCAAAAAGGTGCTAGCAGAAAAAATATTACAAACAAAATTAGTCAAACTTTAGACTAGAGCATTGATAAAAAGTATGCATTAATTCCTTTTCACTCACAGTTGTAAAGTGCTGTATATCATTCGTATATATATCGAGAAACAAATGGGCAAAGTTTCTTTCACCCTGAATGCCCCTGTTACCTAGCAGTAAATAGGTACCTGGGTGTTATTCAGCTGTCACGGGCTGCTTCCTGGGGGTGGAGGCCTGGTCGAGGACCGGGCCGCGGGACACTAAAGCCCCGAAATCATCTCAAGATAACCTCAAGATTCCTTATAAACAATCTGAAAAGTGCATATTTCAAAATACATAAATATGTATCATGCACAAATGTCTTTTACAATAACCCCTCACCTCCAAGTCACTTTAAAACCAGAATATGTTATTTCCCAGAAAACTAGTCAGGATGAATGCACCCGGTTGCCATGACAGAATAAGGCGTGAAAAGAATGGGCTTTATTGAAGATGTTTTGTGTGCCAAGGCATTATCAAATGTCAATTATTTTTTCCCGGAAAACTGGTCAGGATGAATGCACCCAGTTGCCATGACAGAATATGGCGGGAAAAGCATCGGCTTAATTGAAGATTTTTGTGTGCAAAGGTATTATCAAATACTGGTAGCCATGATTTGCATGAGAGATGTATTCCTAGAAAGCAATGTCAAAAGTAAACTTGCACAAATCTAAGTTTAAGTTAAAACATTTGGATAGATAGGGCTGCATCCCCGACTTTTGTTTAAAGACCAATTTTTTGTTCTTCTTGCAATAACAAACCAATTTCATTATTATAATCATGTCACAGGTACTTTACCAAATACATATTGAAACATTATCTTAAACATTTCAATTTATAATAGTTTACAAATGTTTAAGTCTGCAGGTTGTATTTAAAAACTACAATTATTTTTAAATTTATTATGTAGAAATTTTAATTACCATATAAATGTTTCAACATTTTATATATAAATTTTAATAATTTAACCATATTAACTTTTATAAGTTTATTTTATACAAAATAATCCACATTCTGCTGCACTACCAAAGATCCATAACATTGCACTACAGTACAATAGATCTCTATAACACACTTCACTAACAGATCCATAGCACACTGTACCACAAGATCTATAGCACATTGCAGTACCTCAGGTTTGTAAAAACAACAGATACATACTAATTGCACCCAGATCCTACTATTTACAGATTAATGTTTACAAAACTTAATCAATAGTCACATTTTTATTACAACGTAAAATAGTATGAAAATCACATTCCTTTAAAGCATATAAATTTAATTTGTACCATCATTTTCCACGACCTGAGCTTTTGTTAGTCGTCGTTATTAAAGGTATTTGATAATAGAGGTACATTTGGAGAATGAATATCGTTTCATCAAGGCCTGTTTCAGCATCAAAGAGCTTGTCCTGCGTTGCAACTACCTGTTCCACGAGGGCACGCTCACTGGGAGTCATCATCTCTTCAACCTGAGAATGAGTAATATGACATTCTAAGAAAGTTGTAGCAAATCAATTAACTAAGAGATAAAAAATATAGACAATGATTAACATACTGACAACTTTTTTAAATTAATATTTTTTTATTGATAGTAATTTTTATAAATAGCATTGACAAAACTGACTATTCTGAGCACAATTTTAATTTTGTAAACATGCTACACCAACACTGACACCAATACTGTAATTTGTTTACTACCATATTTTTTAAGTTCTTTTTATATAACATGCATCACTTCTAAAGGGGAAAATTAAGCAGTTGTTATTTTTTGCCCATTTGGTATTAAAGTAACTTAAAAAATATAGCAGCAGATTATATGTTAAAATTGTCAAAATGAACCAAAATATTTACAAATCAGGAAAATTTATTCTTCACCATAAAATGCAACCCCAAAAATACTCTCACCTCCTGAATCTGTTCCTCGGTACCTCCTGTCTGTTTAAGATTTTCAACTATCGAGTCCACCCTTGTCCGCTTATCTAATAAGCGACGGTTATCATTAACCTTCGTCTCTCGTTGGACCATCAGGTTATATATGCCTTTATAGCACCACTCAAGAATCATGCGTACAACCTAAAAAGAAAACATGCAATTAGACATTTGATTTATCGCTATCTGCATGATAAAATTTAGGCCTAGGGAAATGTACTGGAACCAAATAGTTTGTCAGAGCATCAATATTGGGCAAAAAACGTGTTGAATGTAATGAAATGCAATGAAATGCTATTTTAATAGGTCACTGGCACGGATTCTTAAACAACCAAATATACACCACAAAGGGCAAGAGGCAGGAATAAAGGTGAGGGGAACAAGGGAGGGAAATGGGGAGGAAAGAAGGATGAGGAGGAGGAACATTAGGATTAACCCCCCCCCCCTGGAACATATTGGAAAATGATGGAAAAATAATGAAACTTTTGGGGTGAGGGAGGTAGGGAGGAGTGAGGAGTATAATCAGGTGAAAGGTAAAGTTTAGAATGAGAGGGAGAGAATGAGATCAAGGAGGAAAGTAGAAGTATAATACAGATAAAAGTGCTAGAATAGTAGAAAGATAGATCCACCATCCATTCAAGTTAGTTAACTATAAGACAAGGAATGGAATTTGTCTGCAAAACAATATTATCTGATGTTATTAACCAAGAAGGGCCCCCCCCCCCTCCCCGACTCGGGAAGTAACCAAGAAGGCCCCCGACTCGGGGAGTAACCAAGAAGATCCTGCTTAGAAAAAAATAAACAATCCCAGTGATAAATAACCAATGTTAGTGCAAATATTTGAATGTTTAAAATTGTCAGGTAGGTATTTAATATTTAATTTTCTAAAGATAAAGTACTGTAGCATGTTTTTCATTATTAGCTAAAGCTAAAGTTCTGAAGTGTGTAAATATTATTTACTCACAGAATTCATATCAATATGAAAAAGATAAATTATCTTGTTTGCAGGAGAAGGAGTTAAAGTTTTACGCAGCTCATGTATGCGTAAAAAGTTGTCATGAAGCAGACGATATGAAAGTAAGTTTGCGTCCTTTTTTCCAATCATGCTGACTTCACCAATCATGTCTTGTTCCATCATCTGGTTTTTGTGTATCAACCTGAAAAAAGGACATTATTCAGTTTCTTATAGTCATAAATTGGCTCAAGTTATTTGCAAATGTAATTCTAAAAACATAAAATTTAATGAAGCATTCATACTAACAGTTAGTTGGATTGAACAATCACAATCGGTTACGAGATCTTCTCTTTAAGACATGAAACATCCACCATAGAAGAAAATATATGCCACAAATAGCAGGTAAAGCCTATCAGAGTGTTAAGACAGTGATTTGAACTGTAGAATCAAAATATAAAATGGATATTGGAATTGGAAGTCAGTTTTAAATACATGGGAGCAGGTTTGATAAAAATGGAAATGTGGAAGGTGAAATATGAGTTTGTTGTCCTTTGTTGCCCCATTTCTATGGTTTCTTTACCTATCTTGAAGTTATCTTGAGATGATTTTGGAGCTTAGCGTCCCTGCGGCCCGGTCCTCAATAAGGCCTTCTTTTTGTTACACATCCCTAGGAAGCAGCCTGTAGCAGCAGTCTAACTACCATGTACCTATTTTCCTGCTAGGTGAACAGGTGCATCAGGGTAAAAGAAAATCTGCCCATTTGTTTCCCACCGGGGATTGAACCAGGAACCTTAGGACTGTGAATCCAGAGTGCTGTCCACTCAGCTGTCATTCCCCCTTACCAAGTTACCATCTGTAATTTGTTAAGTTACAGTAAGTAACTTACCATATGTACCTAGTTACCACCTGTCATCTCTTCCCCCACTTTCTGGTGGCCTGTCCTTGTTAAGGTGGTATACGATCCCCTGCTCTTTGTGCCTCTTTAGATAGGGACCAGGTTTTGGTCCCTTTTAAACTTGTATAATACCCCTTATAGCATGACATGGATTGAATTGGGTGGAGCTTGCCAGGCAGCAAGCAAGCACCAAAGAGCCACCTAAGGATCCTTTCCAGAAGCAAGTCTCCATGACACGAACTTATGTTTGCGTGCAAATGTTAAGTATTTCAGCTAGATTTGTTTTCATTACTTTTTCATAATCTACATATGTTCTAAATTTTCATAGGAATGAAAAATATGTATACATTTTTAAATATTTTTTACTTAAGTGTTTTTCTTTCATCTAAAAGAAAATTCAAACATGTTTTCTTAATTTTCTTTTTGTCAGGGTGCTCTAGGGTGTTAACCCACCTTTTGCAGTCTACCAAACTATAGCACCAAGAATCTTTTCTTATTTTTCCTGAACTTTACATAATTTTCTTTAACTGTAATTTCATAAGCTTTAATTAGACAGAATTTTGTAAAAGACAAAAAAGCAGCAAACGGGGAAGAAGCCCCTACTAGATGCCATAGTGGACAGGACGATTATCACAAATTAAAGGAAAACATTTAGCTAGCTATTTACATGTAATGCTCACCTGAAAATGCGAGCTGCTTTGGAGCCAAACCTCTCTTGCACTATGTTATAAATCAGAGTGTGGGTAAGGGACTGGAATGCATTAGCCATATTAAGCCTATATTCTCCACCACCAGCATCACCTACTCTTTGCACGCAATCTCCACTCTGCTCCTCTGGAAGACAAATACTATGGATTAATGTATATTTTTTTAACTTGTACTGTCAGACCAATCTATTCTATTAAAAGTACAGTATTGTAACTTTTCATTTCTTTTGCTTCAGACACTAGATTTCACTAACAAAAATCTTTTAAATAAATAGTAGTAGTTCCTTCTCTTATGTTCTATGCCATGTCCTGTCCACACAACCTCAGTAGGTCTACCACTGCTTAACTTATCTTATTACTATGCATTCCATAAACATGTCTATAGTAAGTGCACACCCTATTCACATTATTTATCCCCAATATATTATACTTTCTAGTTTTCAACATGGTTATATTCTGCATGAATATAACTATCTATTGACTCCTATAACTACATATCTGTCTACTAGAAGTATATTAACTCTACACTTTCAGCTGCAACTATCCTGCACACCACACGTCTGGATTGTCCAATTCCTGTAATGGGCCTTGGTTTAAACCCTAAATGTGTACTCAGTTTCAAAATATCACCCATCAAGGAAAAATATAGTTGGAAAAACAATAGGAAAATAAAAATAGAATTCAACTCCCGAAGAAAAAAGCAAAATTGCCAAAATTAAAAAAAAAATAAAAAATAAACTAAATCGGCATCTTCAAAACGTTTGCTTTGTTACTAACCAGCCAATTAAATGTTACGTTGAAAAATATTTTAAAACTTCAAAACACTGCAACAATGCCAACAGCAATATAGTTTACCTAATATCTTAAAATACTGATCAAGATACTTCAGATCCTTGAGTTGGTCCCTGACATCTGCCGCTGTGACAACATTCATAACTGGAGCCCAGGGGTCTGAGACTTTGTATGACAGCTTCAGCATGGCACCAAGGCATTCTCCTGCTAAGGGATCAACTCTTCTAACAATGCTGTTGCGAATTTCACTGTCCCTGGAAGTTTTTCACAATTAGAGTATTAAAGATTGACTTGGTCTATTTTTTTATTTATTTATATATACACAAGAGTTCTTACATTCTTGTACAGCCCCTAGCATGCATAGCATTTCAGGCAGGTAATTAATCTTAATTTTTCCCAGGAATACAACCTACCATATTGTTTAACAACCCATTTACTGCTGGGTGAACAGAGGCTACAGTTAAGGATTGGCGCCCAGTCAATCCTCCCCAGGCAATACACGAACCCCAGGCCAAAGTGCTCGTGAAGCACCGGGCAATTGCTTTACCACTGCACCATAGGGACTTTTTTTCTATTATTTTTTTCAATCACTAAATGTAATTACATATTATAGAAAGACATCTACACACTAGTGATTCAAAGTACAGCACAGTATTGCACATTGATCAAGGAAAAATCCAAAATTATTAAAGCCTTATCACAAAATGTCATATAATTCAAAATAAAAAACAAAGATTTAAAAAATGCTGAAGCTGAATTTTCCAGCAATAAGTTAAAACAATATTCAATAATTCAACGAATGGGAAAAATCTTATGAACTACTTTGTCCTGTTGAAAATATGTAAATCAAACAGTTTTTTTTTTCCAATAAAAATAAATCCAAAATTATTATTAACCTAAACTCAATGTGGAATCTATCATAGTTGAGTCTCCAGAACACCTGACTGTCAGGGTGGGTGAAGCTGGGGTCGGTAGTTTCTGTATGCCGATGTTGTATCTCCTGCTGCAAGGCTTTCAGGTCAAGTAAATCTGCAGGTAAACTGTTAACAGAAAAAAATAATTCAATATCTTTTTTTAATTATTTTATTGAATCTCAGCTCATGTATAAGCTACTCATTAACAATAACTCTGGACTCCAAAGTGTATATCAATGCATGAATATAAATCTATCATTTTGTTTTTATATTAAATTTAGTAAAGATTATAAAATCTATACACAAGATCTTCCAAACTAAGCATTTTCATAGAAAGTACAGTATTAACATTCATTATAACATAGGAGTGAATATTATTTGTAAATGGAGTTTGTCAGAAATACACAATATTATTATAATTTCTGGCTTTCAACACATTTATATTCTGCATATATATAACCATGTGTTGACTCCTACAACTATGTATCCATCTACTATAAGTATATTAACTTTACACTTTCAGCCGCAACTATCCTACACACCACAAGTCTGGATTGTCCTAGTCCTGTAATGGGCCTTGGTTTAAACACTAAATGTGTATTCAGTTTCAAAATATCACCCATATTTATAATTAAAAATAATTAAAACACTGACTCTTGATACTGATGACTCGCAAGTAAGTGCACAAGCGAGAGTTGACCAAGTCAAACTGAAAAATGTTCTCAATTCTCACACAGTTTTGAAGCACTGTCTTGGGCATTAAATCCCTTTGTGCAGAATATAAAGTCTGGTATAATTAAATTAAAATAAACTATACAACCCAACAATTTCTGATAGTGTTACAATCTTTCTCTACTAGCTATCTCTCAGGAGAAGGCTTGGAAGAAAGATTAAGGTGTACAGTACAAAGGCTTCCTGGACTTTGAGGAAGCATATGACAAATTTAACAGAAGACGCTTGGAAAGCATTGTGCATATAAAGAATTTTTTAATTTGTTAAATGTTCTTCAAAGGTTTTGTAGAAAATTGTACATGTGTAAGAGTTTATGATATAAGTTCCTAGAATGATATTAAGTTAGTTGCATACAATAGTTGTGTGACGTCCTAGTTACAATAAGAGTAACTGAGGGATATAAAAGATGATGTATGCAGATGAAGTAGATCTTTTAACAGCAAATTATATATTTATTAAGAATAACAGAAAGCTTTATTGATGTGTGTAAGAGAAGACTGGTTAAAGTGAATTTAGGCAAAGCTAACATTAAGATACAATGAAGAGAAGCAAATCCTGTGTAAAAAAGTGTACAGAGAAAAATTATAAAAGTGGTCAACCACTTTAAAGACTGCACCTAAGATGTGTGATTTATTAAAAGGATTTGACACCCAGCCCACAAATCTGAAAATGGAGAAATGGCAACATTTCGGTCCGTCTTGAACCATATGGACCGAAAAGTTGGCATTTCTTAATTTCAGATTTGTGGGTTGGGCATCCTATCTTCAGCCACGTTATTGTAACTCACCATCAGGTTTAATAAAGAAACAGCCTCAAGAAGGAACTAAGGGTAATAACATTCATTTAAATATAATATTGTTTATAATATTATATATAGATCTACATCCACCAAAGGGGGATGTAGATACTATAGAGCTAAAATTGCTAAAAATTATTAATATTTACCTATACAGATCTTCCTCTTTGATAGAAAGAACTGGAACTCGTTTGGTAGGATCTTGAGGACAAGGACACCGTTGAATAAACTCATTCTCAATAAGTTTTAGAAGGTGATTTCTAATTGTAATGTGACGCTGTTCATAGCTGCTTCCACTGCCAGCAGTGTCTGAAATATTTTAATACATATATAAAACAGTTAAAAATACACCACATCAGCATCATAACATTTGAAAATACCAGTTCACACTATGTAGAACCTCTCACTAGCTGTCACGCTACAGCATTCCAGAGTGCAACGTATTCCCTCAAGTGAAAACAAAGATAAAAGTTTTCTTAAATGAAAACAAGTAAAACTAATAGCGTAACAAAATACTGTACTTCAAAAGTGAGATTTTGTTTAGCACATTCACAAAGTTGTGCTTGAAAGTAAATTTTGCAACTGATGAGCATATGAGGGCATTTTTATGTAGATTATCCAACTACAGTACACTCATTATTACACAATTAATGTATGGTATCTTATAAATCTAATGTAAATGCAGTGAGGCACCCCTACTGCTCACTACTGTGGTACAATCGACCTCACATCTTCCATATTATAAGGGTTGATGTTTTGGGCTGGAAACACATCTTCCTGAAATGTCTTCCCAGAAAATGCACTAATAGCCTCTTTCTCAATATCAATAACCATTTTTCACTGTATCATCATCCTCTTCTTTCCAGACCAATACCTCCCCACCCCCATGAAAATGGAAAACAATAATAATTACATAAATTTAATGTACTTGTATTCTGTTATTTAAGTAATTGGAAGAAAATAATACTACTACTATTCATAACAAAATTAACATTTGCTCACATACAGTATATTTTTTTGTTTTACTGTAGCTATTCACAATAGTTACCTATATTGATATCAAGGGAATGAGACTATAATGGGTAACTAAAGGTCAAAGTAGCAGTCCTCACATAGCCAGTCCACAACCGAAAGATCCCAGGTTAGATTCCCACTGCAGGATAGCCATTTGGGCATGATTTCCTTTCACCTGGTGCATCTGTTCACCTAGCAATATACAGGTAACCTGTAGTAAGACAACTACTGTACTGTGGGTGGCATCCTGGGATAACATTAGTTGGCCTAGGGGGACTACATTAAACTTAGCATGCTTTTTGTTTCTGACAATGGAAAACCATAGTTGTGAAATAATTCTAAAATTTAATTATTTTCACTCATCAGTATGTGATGAGGCAAGTGTACAGTGTACTTGTACTTGATTGTACTGTGCCAGAGCATATGAACCAACACCTACCCACTGAATCTATTGACGCCAGTTTTCATTAGTCCAGAAATACTTACATTTCTAGTGCATTTGCCATGCAAATACAGTACAATGATTCAGTGTGAAGATGGGTTTCATGTCTTGAAGATAATTTGCATACAAACATTCATCCCACAAATGTGTTCCACTTAAACAAGTTATTTACATTATTCAATTTTTTCAGTGATAAAATACATGTACTGTATATCACAAAAACTTTCATAGATTTGTAGGTGGCATTTTCATTCATAGAAAATTTCCGTGTGCCATCCAAGCAATAGAATGTTGGACCAAGATCTCACAAGTCAAGCCTGCCCCAAGGCTGGGCTTTGGGAGTAGAAAAATTCCTAGAACCCCATCCAGGTACAATCCAGAACAGCCCTAGGAATTCATTGCATAATATGAACATTATAGCATGTGTAAATTGGCAATGTAAATCAGAGCAAGTCTTTTTCATTTCTGAAATTATACATTTCTTATATTCCTAAGAGATCAGAATTATACTATAAGCACAATAGGTAAAATATTTGCTTGAAAGCAGCTAGTATGTCTATAAATAAGCTTACCACTGTCAGATGCCTCCAGTAGCTTAACACAGGATGTAATTATGATGTGAGAGGCAGTGGCTTGTCCTTCCTTTAACAAAACATCCACCACCATTTCCCCCTCTTCACCAAACTGCTCACGGACCAGATACACATACCTAAAATAACGATAAAAGTTAACCATATGCCAAGGTACCTGAAATAATAATGTCAGTCACAATCCCAAACACACTCTCACAAGCCTAACTCACTATGACTTCATACCTCGGAAAGCGCAAAATGAGGAGGACACGATCATGGAGAAGGGTATAGCATGGTATTCCAGGCCGCCATTTATCCCACGTGACAAGGTTGTGCTGCACCAGAACTGCCAATGCTTCAGACACCTGTTTTTAGAAATATAACAATAAGAACATAATAAGTCATAACTTAAAACATAAGAATAAAGGAAACTAGGGAAGGCCTATTGGCCCACACGATGCAACTCCTATTTCTATCCTCATTCAGTCAGTCTGTATATAATTTTAACATGTTTGAAAATATCCAGCGTACCACAAAGATACTTAATATAAGAAAGGAACTTAATATACCGAGCATCGCTGATCGTGTAATTGAAATTAACTGTCAAATTGGTATAAAAATGCTTAAGCTAGCTCACCCTAATCCTTACACAGAAGCCCTCTAGAATTTCTTTATTGAAGGCCAACACTGTTCCAAATATGGGGTGCATAATAAATTCAAATTTTTATTCGGTAAAAGTACATAGAAGATGAGCTACAAACATAATGTTGGATTTATAGATAGAGCTAGTACATACAATACCTAAAGCTACTAATACGCATAGCATTTCGGGCAAGGTTGGGAGGAACAAAATGAAATCAATGAGCTAACCTAACTAAACTTTGTGCCACAACCAATGCACCCTGTTAGGTTAGATTTGGCTAGGTTAGGTTCAGGTTACTCTGATTAAAAATTAATTGGTTAGAATAGATCTAGATCTGATTGCAAGAATTAGGATTTAAGTACATTAATTTTCTTTAAACATGATAAAATGTGATTTTCAAGATACAGATCCTACGGTACACAGGACAGTTCCCCAACGAATTTTAAAACCTACTTAACCTTACACAATCTAACCTGAACCAACTGTGCCTGGCCTAAGCTAAAATATTCTAACCTAACAATATACATGATTTTAATAATCATGACCTTTATCGAGCTGTCTTGTGTACGAATTGATCATACCCTGATTTTTCAACATTGGGAAATAACCTAAGCTTCTCTATCCTTAACGAGATGTATTTTATTCTCTAGATAAACTTACTTGAACTTAAGAGCATTGGTGAATAGAGCTTTTGACTAGTTAAACCATGATCGGGGTCCGTCTAATTACCGCAAGCTACCACAAGCTAGATAAGCTTCACAAAGCTTCCTGGCAAAACTTTAGTAATGAATAAATATATGTTAGGTTAGGTTGACCTGACCTGACCTGACCTGACCTGACCTGACCTGACCTAACCTAACCGACGCTTGGATCGTCGACTTTATTTGGCGTCACCAACTCTTTATTTTCGTCTAATTTCTTTATAAAAAGATACTTTTTCAGATTAAAATTGTGTTTTTTCCTGTTGTACATTCAGCACCAACATTATAATGAGTAAATCATATTTATTCATTACTAACGTATTGCCAGGAAGCTTAGTGAAGTTTGTTGTAGCTTGCGGTAATTAGACGGACCACATAATCGCCCAAACGACTAACCTTAGAGAGAGGAAGCTTGGTGTATGCAGCTATAACTCGCAGTGGATTACTTCCCTTCTGGAACAGCCCTTCTCCAACCTTGGCAACAATGTCCCCAAAGTATTCATTAAGAATTTTATAACACACTTTCTGCAAATAATGAGACATTTTTCCCACGAGCCCAGGCGATGCTTGTAGGTAGAAAGGGCAGCTCCAGCTCGAGGACGGGTCAAATCGTACATAACAGTTTCGGATAACGTCGGTTCGGTACACAAAAAGACCAGTTCATTCACTGACAATATTTATTTATTTATTTATTTATTTATTTATTTTTTATTTTATATTTGTATTTTATTTTATATATATAGGAACCTGTTCGTATATTCATATGCGCTGGCTTGTGTTCGCTGCCGTTTTCGTCTTCCAAGACAATATTGTGACCAAAGCCAGACAATGTAATCTGAGAATGTTAAAAATGTGAATAATTAGATGGCACATAGGCGTCTTATATTATAATAATGCATAAGTAATTTTCATATATGTGGAGTTATTTATCCTTATACAATTTAATGAATAAAATAATTTTATGGCCTAAAATCTTTCATAGGAACTGGCAGAAGAATATGCCTACCGCTGAAATTACTTTACACAAAATCTATGGACCCAGGGATAGCTCCCGTAGATTGGAAATATGCAAATGTCACCCCCAGATTTCTAAAAGGCAGAAAGAGCTCAGCGGAGAACTACCGTCAGCTCAGCTTGACATCACACATCCGCAAGCTTATGGAGAGAATCCTAAGGGTGGGACTCATTCACCATCTTTCAGTGAACACACTTGTAAAATCGACGCAACATGGGTTTGTTAAAAATAGATCCTGCCTTACAAACCTGCTCACATTTAGGGAAACAGTAATTCGGAAAAAGGACCTCCGGTGGATGTAGTAGTTTTATTTAGTTTAGTTCATATAGTATACACGGATTTTGCTAAAGCCTTTGATAAGGTACCACATGAAAAGCTGGCAAGGAAATTACAGGCACATGGAATAAATAGTAGGTTACTAGAATAGATAAAGCAATGGTTAAATCATTGGAGCTTTCCTTCTCCCCTGGTGTATGGGGCTCGCGGCTCTGCGTATATGTATATGTATTTATATTTATAATTGAGTTAACTTATTAGAACAATTAAAGTCACAGAAGCTAACTAAGCTATAGTCACAGTAGTAGTCTATATCAAAGTTACAAATAATTCATGAGTGATTCAGTTTGTAACGTACGTACTCGATTCGATTAAATGTAATCCAATTACTCAATACGGTGTTACATATTTAACACGGTAGATTGCAAGTAGATATAAGTATAACTATAATAAGCTAAGGTTATAAGCAGTTTATAACTTAGTTAACATATATAACACTCATTTCCCTCATACAGAAATTCTCCTGCAAACAGGATTATAAGAGGGGGTACCACAGAGGTTCCTTTTGGGACCAACCCTTTTTGTCACATACATCAATGACATAGAAATAGGGGGTAGAAAGTCAATAAACATACTTGAACTTGAACATAGATGAGAATATTACAAACCACATCATCAAATTTGCAGAAGACACAAAGATTTACAGTGGAGTGGGAAGTGGCAATTATATGGAAGCCTTACACAGAGATTTACATGAACTCCACAAATGGTCAGAAGACTGGCAAATACTTTTTAATATCGATAAATGCAAGACACTGCATATGGGGCATAACAATCCACGTCACACCTATCAAATTAACAGCACTAACTTACAACAGATTGATGAAGAAAAGTACCTTGGAATCAGAATCTCTCATTCACTGAAAGTTACACAACAAGTGGGAGCGGCAGTAAAAAAAATAACTAGGAATAACTAAGCGTACCATTGATTTTAAGGACGACGAGGTAGTCATTCAATTGTATAAATCTCTGGCGCACCCCCACCTGGATTATTGTATCCAGGCATGGACACCTCAACTTCAGAAAGACGTAGCTTCATTAGATAAAGTTCAACACCGCGAAGCAAAAATTATTCCAGAACTAGGTCAACTCTCATACCAGGACAGGTTGAGGGCCACAGGGAAACATATAAATTGTGACACTAGCTCTCCACATATGTCAGTTGCTTAATTTAGAACCTGTACTTGAGGTCGATCTCAAACCCATTGTTGATGTGACGACTTATATTGAATTTTGTAACTAGCTCATCAAGATTGTAACTTGCTTAGCTAAATGAATTGTGGGGTTCAGTCCCTGAGCCCATTATGTGCCTCTGTAACCCTTTCCACTACCGCCCACGGGATGGGTATGGGGTGCATAATAAATGAACTAAACTAACTGGTTCTTAAACAATTTGGCGGGTCGTATTTCGGAGAACATAGGATTAAAGACCTGCCCGAAACGCTATGCGTGCTAGTGGCTGTACAAGAATGTAATAACTCTTATTTAAAAAAAACGTCAGGAGATGCTTTTTCTTGTTGTTATAAACCAATGAAACTGCCTACCCGTCAAAGCTGTAAATACCAAAATTGCTGAACGTTAAAGTCCAGCTTGAAAAAATATATAGGACCAATGGGGAGGATCTTCGGCTAGCCGTCGGAATTTCGTGTCCTCATCGAGGTCACAAGTGTGTTAATTATTGGCCCTCAGGTAAATTCAGATAAATCCATGGAACTGCCTACCCACCGAAGCCGTGAATGTCAAGACATTGCTACAGTTCAAAAATCCAGTTGGATAAAATTATCAAGGAGGAAAAATAAGGGGGTTCGTTTGACAAGCCGCCGGCCTCCTGTCCCCGCTGAGGCCACTTAATAGTGTTCCTCGGGTAAATTCAGGTAAATAATACATGTATAAACATGTTTACAGGTAATAAAAACAGGAAAAGGAAAGCACAATTAGTGCCATGATGGAACCAGACCTGCCCACTCTATATCCAGCATAAATATTAATGGTCACTCTGTAATGGCGGATAATTAATGCCAAGTCATATGAGTAAATAATAATATTTTGAGTGAGAAGGAGAAAACGGGACTTCTGGAGAGGGTTACTGCTGGCTCAGGCTCGCCAACCCATGCACATTATTGACTAACATATATTTTAACCTATTTCTCAAAATAGTAATGCTGTATTCGCTCAATCCAAAGTAGATAATTGTTTGAGGGAGTATAATAGTGTGAAAATCTGCAAAGTTGCTTATGAGTCTCTTGGAAAGGCCATTTTTACTCTACAAAGTGTATTTATTTATTTTTGCGAGGTTGGTAGATCTGTGTGGTGCAAGTCCTGATGTGAAGGAAACCAGAGCCAGTTTTGCTACTTCTTGCCGTGAATTTTGTGAGTATTGCAATTAAATACAAGCCGGTGCCGGGAGGAGAGTTTACCTGGTGGGTGTGGCAAGACTAGTTCACAGTTGCCGTGGCCGGGAAGCGGTGGAGAGGCGTATTGACTCCCACCTGTACGGCAGTGTGAAGACGATGCAGGGGTGAACCAGGAAGGTTTGGGGGATGGTGTAAAGGTTACAGTGAACGTTACAATATTCCTTGCAACATTTTCCAACACGTAGATTCCCACACAAAATTACTGCATTTTAAAAAACCGTATGTGTTGTATTTTATAGCTGTTTGTACATAAACATTACCCTATCCTAACTTTTTTTTTTTTTTACCCTATGTTTACAAAATCTACCCTAACTATAACATACAGAAAGTGTAGAAAATCATGGTTAAATAAAATAACCCTAAATATTTTATTTGTAGATAAGCATTTTGCTTTGAGAATTTTAGTTTATGTAGAAGCTGGACACTTCAAAAGGTCAGATGTAACATGAATGAGGAGCAATGGGTTAAAGCTCAACAATGTAGGACAGAAAGCAGGAGATGCTTTTTCACCCATAGGGTTGTAAATCCGTGGAACAGCCTTCCCGCCAAAGTCGTAAACACCAAAACTCTGCTGGGTTTTAAAATGCATATAGAAACGATCATCTGGGCAAATAAGGGGGGGGGGAGGAGGGACCTTTGACATTATATATATATATATAATATATAATATATATATAATATTGCAATGCTTTTTGAGTGTTTTATGCAAAGTTATAGAAGAAAGTCATAAGAATGACAAACCAATGCATTATATATACAGTACAGCAATTTACCAGAGGGCCACTGACACATTAGTGGCCTCAACAAGGGTACACAGCTGGCAGCTTGTCGGAGGGACCCCCTATTTGTCCTGATTATTTTTTTTAAAGCTGGATTTTAAAATTTAACTGTTTTAGCATTTACGGCTTTGGCAGGTGGGCAGTTCCATGGCTTTATGCTATGGGTGAAAAAGCATCTCCTGTTTTCAAGCCTACATTGTGAGATTGCTTGTTTTTTCCTGACTGTTCTGCTTGCAACAGTCTCCTTATTTGCACATGGCAGATTCCTGTACTTGAGCTAGAAGTATCAGGTATTGACAAATTGCCTATAGTAGCAGACCTCACTTTCTCAAGTATTTCCTGTCAAATTATGAATCATCTGTAGGTGGCTAGATTGTGAGTCACATTAGTCATGCCATTCACCCTGTGCATGAGGTGCAGGTGAATGGTAGAGATTCACGTCAAATTTTGAAAGTTGATGAGTGCCAATATGGGGTCATGTGATGGCAGTCTAAATTATCAAGAGGGGAGGTCTAACAGAAAGATTCACTTATGTTCAACAAGTTTATTTTACAATGTAACAACTAGTTTAACTCATGAGACTCCTTTACTTTAGTGTCAATTAGCTATGCAAACCATACTCGGCAGTTGTTCCAACAGCTCTGGTATGAAGAGACACTAAAGTCTCGACCCCTCTTGACATGGTTATGACGACTAACTTAACACTGGTGGCATTCATTCTTGCAATCACTGCATTCCAACATGTAGTTAATCAGTGGGCTGGGTTATGTTATGTTACATTAGATTTGATTGTAAAATCTGTATGTGAGCTATCTTGTCCAACTGTATCCTACTTAAAGCTCGGGAATATATGTTGATTTGTTAATTTATTATGCATCCCATATCTTTCCCGTGGGTGATAGTGGGCTCATACCCATTCCTTGGGTGGTAATAGACCCTATACTCATCCTGTGGGTGGTAGTGGGAAAAGATTAGAGGCACATAATGATTTGAGTCTAAGGAACTGAACCCCAAATTTATTAAGCTAAGTAAGTTGCAGTCTGATAAGCTAGTTACACAGTTAATGTTCATATCAATAGTCTTTTAACAATTGGTTCAAGAACTGGAATACAAAAGTCTCTAAACCAAGCAATTTACATCTGTGGTAAGCCACTGTGGTAAGTTACATATTTATTAATCATGCACCCAACATTATCCATCGAATAGGGCAGCGGTGGAAAATTTACAATTGTGCACATGCACTGCCTATAATAAGCAAATTTTGTATACTGTATTTTGCTAGGATTTCTGGTAGTACAGTACGTGCCTTATTTTGAATGAAATACGGTACACAATTCACTAAATTCTTAACTTTTTCATTCAGTTACATAGTGATTTAAGAAATGTAATGTAGCAATAATGTTGACCGGGATTCATTCATCATCTGCATTTAAGATTGCCCCATGTTCACCCATTAGGTCCTGCCGTAATCCTTAATAGCTTAAGTCAGCTTTAGACAAAATCTGGGACTTATTTTTTTCTTCACCTTGAAAATGTTTCTAATTTTTAAACCTATTGTTTTATCTTAAATATTTTTAGCATTTGCATAGTCTATGTAAAGCTATTATGTTTGAAGATTTTTTATACATAATGCTTATCTGGTTCATTGTTTAATTAATTAGGAGTGGTCAGAGCAAGATGAGAAAAATAGGACTTTTTTTGCTTTTATGGTTATGCATGAGGGGAGACAAATTATGTACTGAAGAAAAAGAAAATGACAAACATGCAAGTTGAATTGTATAGCACTTTAAATATTTATTTTTGACAGATTATGGTGTGGCAATGGAGAAAGAGGGAGGTGTAAGCAAACTTGCCCCAGATGAACAAATTCATAGTAACAATAGCAGGTAAGTGCTATCTTTAGCTGATATCTTGTGGGCCAAAGTAATAGGATATATAGCATTAAGGTGTACAGAACTTTCAAACTGTTTTGGTTTTATTTTTTTTTAATGTATTTAAAATTAGCTAATAATGTAGTCTGATTTTGTCATTTATCTAAATTTACCTGGCATCTCATCATCTGAGCCACATGTCGATCATTTGTATCCACAGCTCTGTTGCTGTTTAAATATTAGCTACTGACAATCCTTAAATAGTTAAGTTTAGGGCCATTGTATATCCAAGCATCCATTTCCTCCCAAAAGAAGTATTTGGGAATAATTGGTGTTTGAGGAAATGCTTAACCTCTCAATAATAATAATTAACTATTGTATTGGTTGGATTTTTCTTTAATAAAGCATTGAAGTTCAGGATACATATGCCAGCAGTTACTAAATTGCATTGTCCAACTTGCATAAGAAAATGGACCAACATGATTGTGATATTTGAAATAAAGTTTGTTCACTATGGTATTTGATTTGGTGTATATTAGATTTAGGAGAATGCACATTCTAGCAGCATTAACAGCACCACCACCCTAGGGATCTTTCCAGTGTGTGTGTGTGTGTGTGTGTGTGTGTGTGTGTGTGTGTGTGTGTGTGTGTGTGTGTGTGTGTGTGTGTGTAATTACCTAAGTGTAATTACCTAATAAGTAATTGTGTGTGTGTGTGTGTGTGTGTGTATATATATGTGTGTATAATGACATATGAACTGTTTTTTTTTTCTACCACAAACATGGCCACACATTTACAATGCTAACCAGCATATATACATTTTCTTCTGTCCTCCATGGACAGAGTTAGAGATGTGTTAAACATATAGTTCAGGGGTTTATTGAACAATCAACCACAGAAGGTGATTTGGTGCTTTTAAAATGCTAAGCTAACCTACATACGTAAATACATAGATACACAGATTTATGTATGCCCTACATAAAGTGTTCGATGTGTCTTTTACATAGTGTCATCAATGTGCATTTACAAAGGTGAAATGTAATTCTGATCAGCTTCCATATATACTTTATACACATATGTACATATACACATACATATATATATACAGTACACACACATGCATTCACATACATTTGTCACATTTACTCTGACAGGGTGAGATAGCTGATAAACTAGTGTGCAATTAAGCACTTAATCACTGAAGGTGATTAAGGTGAAGGTGAGTGATAATAAAGGATTAACACTTTCGCTCGGGGATGACGCAGCATTGCGTCATCCGTTTACTGGCGGTAATGCCGGGGATGACGCAGCATTGCGTCATCCACTTTAAAAATTCGCCAAAAATCAGGTTTTTATCCGATTTTTTGGGGACTGGTTTTAAAATGTGCGCCGATGTCTTCCCATTTTCTTTGTTGAGCCTCGTGGCCCTCAGGCGGCTTGGCACATGCCATGGGCCCATTGTCTTTGCTCCACTGTTGTGACCAATGTCGCCTCCCCTCGCATCTCAAACGTGTGAACATTTCGGCTATTTCCCGTGGCTATATTTCTTACTGCGGCTTTAGAAACTATCTACGCTTACTCCACGATGGATAGTAATCATGAACAAGGCCCTTCCAGGAAGAAAATTGCGAAAGAAAGGCTTGAAAAGGGTGGGAATTGGGAGTGTAGCAGGAAGGCCTCTGAGCACTCACTCACGGCTAACGCGTGGCCCGTCTTCAACTCGTCGGCGGTTGGAGCGTGACCAGGTTTTTTTTTTTATATGCTAATGTTCCTATAGAGAATTTTATTACGAACCCATTGAGACCAAATTGAAAGACCTAGGACAAAAATTGAGGTGACCAGAGTGAAAATAGTGAAAACATTTTATCCCGTTTGCGCGCTCCCGGGTAACTCGTTCGCACTTTCTCTGTTTGCTGCGGGTAATTAGCTGGGCTTTTGGAGTTTATATGCATTTAGTGTTGTAGAGAATTTTATTGCGAACACAATGATACCAAATTTAATCTCGTAGAAGGAGAATTGAGGTGACAAAGTTGAAGAGAGTATACACTTTTCGAAATTAACGCGCGCTTCCGTGACACGCTGGGGCCCATATCGCCCTGTCGAGGGGTGGCGCGCGGGGTGAGCGAAAGTGTTAAGGTGGATTTGAATTGGGTGGAGGATTATTAAGGTGATATGAACTGCTTGATAGTCACTGAAGAAAGGAATGGTTTGGGTGTGTGGCACTGGTAATAGGTGTAGTTCTATTGTCTGCTGGTGGAGGCAGGAGTAAAAAAAAAAAATGTGTAGTATTTAGTTTATAAACAGAACCTGTCATTGACAGTCACACAGGTGATGTCATGAGGGCTCTATAAAGCTCCACTTTGTGTACAGACTAATCCAGCTGTCATTTGTGGTTGGATTAATGTTTTCTTCATGTACTGTACTCCCAATCTACCTATGACCCTGCGAGGATGTTTTGAAACGATCTCTGTGGTACCAGTCTGCCATATTACATCATTTCTGCCTGACTCTTCTGAAATTATCATAACACAGCACATTGTATACTGTACATATACGAACATTGGAAACTGACTCGGAAAGATATTTTTCCTAAACTCAAAATCTCTTTTATTTTTAAGCGAGTTATTATTTGCCCAGCTTTCAGTCATGCTTGTTAAAAAAAAAAATCAGGACACATGACTTTTTATTTTTATTTATTTTTTATTAGGTGGGAGGAGGGGGCCTGAGAAGTCGGTTAATTGTATTGAAACTTAGGGTCAGAATATGGAAGTAAATATGATGTGATTTGGTTTACATATACAGTACTGTACAGTAATTGGATTTTTCTAATAATGCCTTTCTTTGGCAGAATATCTTCTGATGGACCCAGTATGCCTAGGTCACCTAAAGCAGAAAAGGTAAGACCTTTTAAATGCATGCAGAGGACATTTAAACAAATTTTTATTAGTACATACATCCTAAAAGTTAGAGTATATTTAATTTTGTATAGGAAACCCCATTTAAAGTGAATAATAATGTATGATGAATATTGAATTTATGAATATTAAGGAGTGCATTATAAGTGTGTGGAATGATTTAGATATATGAATAGCATTGGCATGATTTTTTCATCATCAGAGTTCAAAAGGAGCTGCTGATAAACGATCGGACTTGGATTTTATCTTTGGCAAACTTATAGGAGAAGGAAGTTTCTCAAGCGTGAGTATTAATAAAAGGAAATGCATTGTTTGATAATTATCATAAGTCCATCAGTATGAGGGGTTTAGTTGCTGAAAGTTTTGTAGGGTGTTTGAAGTCTATCAGGATTGGTTTATAGTTGATTAACCAGCCATAAAAATGACATCTTCCCCGCCCCTAGTACTCCTAGTTCACACATGGTTAAAACTCTCTTTGGTTTGCAACAACCTCTTATACATTCTGACTGCTTGTGGCAGATGTGCAGACTTGTACCAAATTTCATGGTAAGTGTTGTATAAATGTTGCTGCATAAAAATCCTGCTAAGTGTTAAGGAGTAGTAGCTTGTGTGTGCATATGCTTGTAACCAAATGACTACTCTCAGAACTCACTAAGTGGACACTTAGTGGTAGGTTGCAAGCAGTAGGATCTCTTAGTGTGACAGGCATGCTTCCACATTCTGGCTGTCTATAAGGACCTGAATCCCTGTTACTGAATCTTGAGTTAAGCAAGTTGGTACTGTACTGGCTTTTGCCTCAGTAAGGGTTGGGGGGGGGGGGTCTTAGTCTATGTACTAATGGTTCTTAAAGAGCACCCTCAGGTGAGTGTATGGAGTCCTTATCAGTCTTGGGATGTCTGGCATTTGTTGTCTGTATCACCAGTATTTTAATGAAGTGTATATGCAGAGTTGTATTGTCACATTAAGAATTCTTCTTTCCCTTCTTGGTCAGATCAGGGTTAAGGAATTTGGCATGCAGAACTTTTGTTGTTGCACCTTGTCAGGGTGCCAGATAGTTCATAGCAGCCAAAGGGTGTGGTATAATATGTGTACCCCTTGACCCTGCATGTAGGAGGACTGTTCATGATGCACAACAAAATCTCATTAATGTGATGTATCAATGAGAAAATCAGGAGGAGCCCATGAGGAGGATTCAAACCCACTTGCTTGGTACTCCCAAGCAAACACCCTAGACCACTATACCATGACATGGTAAAAGCAATGCAACCTGGGATTTCACTGAATCTTGGGATCCTGAGGCTTCCAACTGAACCCTAATCAGGGTTTTACACATTGCCCCAATGTTCTCTGGCTTATAGTCCAGTATTTCTACCTTAAACGCTTCTCGTCAAATGCATTTTTTCTTTCTATTTGACTCGCACATTAAAAATTTGAGTACAGAAGTATGTAAGATCATGGTTATGGTTTCCTGGTATTATCTGCTTCTCTCAGATTACTGGCTTTCTGTCAAGAAAGCCCTTGGGTTTGCCCCATAAAAGAGCAGGGCATAAAAGAGCATAAAGAGCATAAAAGCCCCATAAAAATTGCCCCATAAAAGAGCATAAAGCTACTTCTGTTCTGGGAAAAAAGGGTTACTGATATCATGCATCTCTTCCTTACTGAGATCATCATTTTGATTTTTTATGATTTAGCATTGACAGGCATCAGTTCTCACTATCTTCTTAAGCTAGCCTGGATAAGATGCCACCATATGGCTCTTGGTAGACTCACCCAATATGTCAAAGCTTGGGCAGAAACCATTGCATACACTGCAATCTATGGTTCCACGGCCTCTGATGTCGACATACAATGGCCAAGGATGGTGGTCTGGGTACTAGAGTAATTTTTTGTCAGTATAGTTTGTTAATTACTGTATATTATTTCTATATACGAGCAGCAGTGTAATGCAGTTAAATGTGATGCATTTAAAGCTTATTTCTAAGCAAACTATGCTTGCTAGAAATCACTAGCTGATCCTGCATTCTGTTGGCATCTGCTTCAGAGTTTTGCCGTGAGTTAGGTTGCATAAAGGGTTTTTGTGAATATAGAGGGCCTGCCTTGCAACGGTGATGCCACCTGGTGTGGGCTAAGGGCACTGACACAGGCAGTGCATTTCAACCTGTGGCAAGACATGCTGGAGCTTCCATAGACAGTCATTATACTATAAAAGCAATATCGTAACTGTCTTAAAAAGAAATTTTACATAGACTCTAAATATATTTTATACATTTTCTGCATAAGAATACATGTACTGGACGGGTTTGGGTGTGCTATTTGGCATAGCAAAATTTTATTGTTTTCAGGGTTTGTGTTGAAGAACAGTAGTGTGTGAGCGACTCCCAGGTTTTTCATAGTACAGTACAGTACTCTCATTTTTGTTTTTTTGTTTTTGCTAGAGCATTTTCTCATACATTAGGACAATAAATTCATATGTCATACTCTTAGCCATTGTCACAAAGTTTCCAATGCTTTCCAATGGTTATTTGAATAATTGTGTACCTGTATCAAAGTTTTTATGAGGTACTGTACAATACAGTAGTTAAATATTTTCAATTATTTTTCAGGTTTACCTTGCAAAGGACATACACACAAATCAGGAATATGCAGGTAAGCTTGGAAGTACAGTAGTAGCATTTCATATGTTAAATTTAGTGGTCGGATTGTTTATTTTATGTTGTATTATTCTTTTTGCATTGGGCAGCTAGTAAGCAAGATCAATACAGTATTCAGAATAATAAATTAATTTACATTATGTGTGTTTGATAATGAGTGGGCAATTAAAATTTTTGTGTAGCACAATAGTAGACTCATTTAGGTCGTAACCAAATGGTTTTGGGTCTAATTCCAATATAAAGGCACTAACAGGCTTTCATGCAGTCCTCTGACAACCCAAAGCCCCACCCATCCAATTAGGGATGACCTACCTACACTTCTTGTACGGTATTTTTATGTGTGTGGTTATTTTCTTTGATAATTTCATTGCAGCATAGAATTATAGATTTCATGAATTCCTTTTAATTTTTCAGTTAAGGTTTGTGAAAAACAGTTAATTATACGGGAGAAGAAAGTGCAGCAAATAACCAGGGAAAGGGATGTAATGAACCTACTCAACAGCAACCAGAACCCTACGGCTCCGTTTTTCGTTAAACTTTCTTACGCCTTCCAAGGAGAGCACAAACTTTGTATCCTTTTGCGATATATTCTGTGAATTTAATAATGTGTACTGTTTCGTGGCACTGAATAACCAGCTTGGCTCCAGTGGCTTGCTTTGAATATCACAATATTCAGTCACAATATCACAATACCTAGAGATCCAAAACTAAAAAAAATCTAGAGTAGTTTGTAACAAATTATTAAAGTTTCACCTTTGAAGAAAATTTTGGCGATCTGCACTCAGTGATAACTTCTGTAAAAATAGGGAGAAAAAATAGGACAAATTATTCAGAATACTTCTCACACACACATTTGGTAAGGAACAGAGAGAATGAACAGGGGGTAAATGGGACTGTGAAGATAAGCATGTGAGAATATTAAATCTTGAAGAGGAGAGTAGAAGTTAATTTTATTGTAAAATGCTTTAAACTGTGTAAATGTTTTGTTAAGACAAATTTCTGTTTCTGGTGACTTGCAGAGAAAAGGCAAGTGAGCAAAATGAATACTTAAATGGATCATTGGTCAAGATTCATTTCCCTCTGAAGGAGGTTTTTTCACATGATCCATAAAGCTGTACTGAATTGTAGGTAAAATTACTGTATAATGTAGTGTAAATACGGTATTGTATATGTAAAATATTAAATACAAATGTTTATTAACAAGTGATGTTCCTTAAGCATGGCTACAGATTTTGTTATGACGTACTGCAAGAATGGGGAACTTTTGAATCTCATACAGCGAGTTGGTAATTTTGATAGAGAATGTGCACGGTTCTATACAGCTGAGCTTGTGAGAGCATTAGAGCATCTACACTCCTTAAACATAATTCACCGGTGAGTGTAGTCATCAGATTTTCTTTAGCCTTTTTCACTATATGCTATACATGTATAGAAACTAACTTTAATCTTAAAGCTCTAGTATAAGTTTATAATTGCTACTTCTATTATTTACAATTTATATTAAGTTATCCATTAGACCATTCCGAGTCAGAATGTTCTCACCATGCTCACTCCAACTGTTGTGATGTTCACCCTGTTTTTTTTTATGTTCTTGTCTACACCATAAATTTGAACGTCATCTTCCGACTTGAATAACGTGATTGTATATATTTTCCTGAAGCAAGATGCCAGATCTGCCTTCTTTCCTTTTTTTTTTTTTTGTGGTATGACTTGTGCTTGTGCATTACATCATGCTCCTCTACCCCTCCTTCCCTGCCCTCCTGAGGTTCACATCTGTTTGCAAGCCTTGTAAACTTTCCCCCTTGGCCTTCATTCTAGCACTATTACGCAGTGGCAAATGGCTTTGGTTAGGATGCGTATTGGTCACACCTGTTTACTCATTGTCACTTAATGGAATAACATTCTGCTCCTTTTTGTCCAAAATGCACTTTTCCCACTTGGACCTCCTTGGAGAATATCCCAATTTTAGAGATGATGGTATGTCATGCTTTCCTCATGTCCCTAGGAGTCATTTGTCCCTCAATCGAATTCTTGGTGAATCCATTACCCTTGATATTGATCACATAATGTTCATAAGTACTCATATTGGCATCTTGAATGATATTTGGTGCCTTTTGAATATCCAGCAACACACATCGAACTACATAGTCTTTGCAGCTTGGCGCCTTCTTTTAACGCTTGCTCTCTCGGGCAGCAACTTTTCAACATGATTCAAGTCTTTATTTGTTGTTATTTTTCACAATACAGAACATTTAAATACATTATCAAGGTTTATGCTTTTATGTTAATCTAAATGCCTCAAATTTGGGTTATTGAGGCTCTACAGTGCAATACTGTACAAATGTTTATTTGGTATATATTAGGTTAGTTGATGTTAAGATAGTAAAAAAGTATTAAATATGCTGTATTAGTTCTTATTAACATAAACATTATTTTTTCAGGGACCTTAAACCCGAAAACATTCTTCTAGATGAACGTATGCACATCAAAATCACAGATTTCGGTTGTGCAAAAATACTAACTCAAGAGGAAGTAGATGGCGTTGATGGTAAGTTTGCAAATGAGATCTCGGTGTACAGACTGTGCCACACATGCTTAGCACGTGAATATTATTCAGATTTGGAGTACCAGACCTTGGTATTTTCAAGTTTATTGAAATTCATATTGGTTATAAGCTAAAGTTGCTCATTGATAACTGTTTTTGATTGATACGAGTACTTAACACTTTGCGCGGCCCGGCGTGCACGCCCCAGTCCACCCCTAGGTCGGCCTGGGGTTTCCTGTGAGCGTGCACCCCACACTAAAATGTGCGTTCTCTTTCCAGTGTTCTGACCTCAATTTTCGTGCTATGTCATTCATTTTGGTATTCCAAATTCCAAAGGCAATTCATCATGATAACTATTGTTAAACAAAGAAATATTGATATTCTGTGCTTGAAAATATATGTTCCTTGTCACCATTCAATTTTCATTTAGCTATTTTTCTGCATTTGTCATAATTTCAACATTTGTTCACACATGGTATGTATGTCAGCATTTCAAGGAGCGTTTCAAATGTTCTTATGAAATTTACATGTCAGTGGTTTTAACAAAAATATAAATTTTTGTTTTATTTACAATAAAAATATTATGTAAACAAAATAAAAATTTTGTTTTGGACTAATGTATCCATGTGACAATTATTTTGAAGAATATCTTTGACAATGCACATTGTCTGCTCTAAAAGAATGTGCTGTATAGTTTTGGCACACAAGCTTTCAAAAGTCTTTTTCTCAATGTTGGTAATTAAGCTGCTTTTTTATTATATAATTCAAGAATGGTCGAAGAGAATAATTTCAAACGTTTGTGCATATGTTTTGGACTAGTTTTGTACTGTATAAATGTTGAGCTTTTAATCTAGTGACAGTTTTAACCCTTAAACTGCACATGGCATACGCCATGAGTAACATGTCCCACGGTGCGCATGGCATATATATACCCCATAGGGTGCCAGGCACGATTCAAATGGCCCGAGGCTACATGGGGTTCACATTAGCTTCCTCAGGACTCTTGTAAACAGACGCCATGTTTAAAAAAAACCGTGGGCAATATTCTCCGGTGTGAGAGCCACAGTACTGGCTGATGTATGCAGCATGAGTGAACAGCGTTGCTGTTTAGCTTGTGACCACAGTATCGCCAAAAAATGTCAAAATAAATATATAACTGCTATTATTTAACGATGATAATATTACAGATGACCCCTGACTGTGATAATAGCAGGATTGTTGTGATAATTAGCACTGTGGGAGGAGTGATGCTGAGGGACGGAGGGAGATAGCATAGTTTACCGACTGTGTGGCAACCTGTTATTGTCTGCATTCACCATACCAGCTCAGTGGTTCTCTATGGTGAACACAAATGTAGATATTTATATATAATGTGTGTATTAGTGTAATAACAGCAAAAGGATTATGTTGGGAGGAGCCATTTGAGTGACGGTGGTGGCGTTGTCTGCATGACTTGTCTGGCTGTGTGGAGGGTGGCCACTATACTCTTTGGGAACCTTACAAGCTTAGGTGTACAGTTACGGTGCATACAACATGTAGATATTTATATATAATGTGTGTATATAGTGTAGTAACACTGCAAACAGTATTGTTGAGGGAAAAATTTAGTACGTGTGATCTTGAATGAGTGAGGGAGGCAGCCACCAGCTGACTGTGTATAGCAACGACTCTTGGTGCCTGAACTAACTATATCAGATTAGTTGTACAGTTGTGTTGAAGAAAACGTCTAGATACTTATATATAACATCTGTATATAATGAATAAAATAAAAAACAGGATGGTGGGAGAAAGTGGGCGAGTGAGGCGGTGTTGAGGGAGTGGCAAGGAGTAGCTGGCTGGTGTGTGGCAGTCATTCCTCGTTGCTTTTCGACTCTCAATACCAACTTAGTGGTTCGTTATTGTGAACAAAACATGCAGATACTGTACTTATATATAACCTGTGTATAGAGTGTAATAACAGCAAAACTATTTGTTTATTGTTTTATGAACATAATAATTGAATCACTAATATGTACACCATACTTTTGAGTATAGCGATGATTCACCCTTTTTTATTATATAAATATATCACAATACACACTATTGAGTAATATTACTGCAAAAAACTAAAAAAATAAATCAAGAGACATTGAAATAATTAGGTAATAATATCTTTGTGGCAACTCCCAGCTGTCGGCTCGAGTGATGCTGAACGCCGATGACGACCGCTCTGTCAACGCCCACATTTTGCCAGACTTCCTCGGCCTATTGCGCCCAAAATATGTCTCCTACAATTTTTTTATTATTTTTCCCATGCTCGGGGAACACAAATTAACATTTTTAGAAGAATAATAATTTTTTAGAAATTTTTTTCTTGTGCACAGGGGTGTAAATCTCCTCAGGACCCCTTAGCAGCTTAAGGGTTAAGAAATAAAATTTGTTTAGTATATCATCAGTGTTCTCATTAAATTGCTTCAGACTTATAGGCATATGATTTTGGATCATATAATGTGTTACATTTATTAACAATTGTGTTGCTGATCACTCTTCAGAATTATTTATGGATTTATTTTTATAAAGTAATAAATTTTTATAATTCATAGAATTATTTTTTCCGTGCTGAATAACCAGTAGTGTTCCAGTACATGTACTTAACTTTGAATGCATTAAATTTGGATTTATACTTTACTGCAGTTATTACACAATCAGATGTGTGTAAAAGTGCATTTTAAATTCTCTAATGAATCTTTTCTGACTTGAAAATGTTCCATCAATGTTAATACTGCACTGCACTTGTATGTACTTATTATAAAGTCTGTTTTTCAATAGCTCTGTAGTTCAAATGCACACCTACAAAAAGCAAAAATTTAAAATCTAAAATAGAAAACAAAATTCCTAGGTTAGCTTATGTTAGTCCTAGATTATACAAGATTGGGCCTGGGTTAGGTTGAGTTCTTTCTTTCATTATTTTCCCTCCTATAAAGTGTCCCATTTTTAGAATACCTTTTCTGGTCTGGCACCCTCTGTGGCTGCCCCTCTGCTTAAGGGAATGATATACCAGTATTATATACCAGTAAATGAAGAAGTTTTAGCGTAAACAAATACATTATTTACTTATGTATCGGTAACTTCTAACCCCCACTCGCCAATTTGATAATTTTTCTCATTTGTATATTTTTCTTCAGATGGTAGAGGACGTAAAGGCAGTTTTGTTGGAACAGCTCAGTATGTTTCTCCAGAAATGTTAGAATCAAAAAGTTGTGGTCGGGCATCAGATTTGTGGGCCCTTGGCTGCATCCTTTACCAGATGGTATCTGGTCTTCCACCATTTAGATCAAGGTATGTGCAGTGTTTGTGTTTGTATGTTTCTAAATATATAAACATGCATAAATATATAAATGTTGTATAAAACAAAACAATTTTTAGTAATACGTTACCTGTCTTGACTAAAATTTACTAAAAATTACATGTATACCTATATGGAAATTGATAATGATTTTGAACAAATATAAGGTTGGTAAGTAAAATCTCTTTGGATACATTAGGTGATAGCAATCAATGGAAGGAAAATATAATTATGGCGCAAAAAGCTGCTGATATCGATTTGTCTATGAAAACATTCCCAAATTGCACAATGTTTCATGAGACCCTCTGGCTTTTAAAACATTCCCCTGGACTTCATAAATTCAGCCATGTGGTAATCCCAAAACTGCAATCATGCTTATGTCTAACCTTTACACCTCACAACTATTGTAACAATAACTAAATTCTTCCAGATTTTGATGGTTTCGGCCAGTTTGAGGTCCAGATTCTTGGGGTTACACTGTATATGCCGGTGAGCGTAGTAGACAGTAATAAAAGTTTGGCATATGACTGTATCCTTGAGCATCTTTTTTTCCAAGACACACACTATTCATTTTTGGCCAAGTAAGCTTTCAACCCATGAAAGTTGGAAAACTAGGGTATTGATGAAGGGAGAGTATTTGAAACATGATATGGAAATACTATGCACAGTTTATAGCCCAAATGCCGTACTTCCTCATGGGAGTACACAGCTGAAGTTTCTCCAGGAGGCTCTATCACACGAACCTCTCACTGTTCAAGCAATTATCCCTCCCCATCCGCCCACCCAACCTCTTTCATATATTGTTCCAGTCTTCTCTTTCAAGATACTGAGTGTCTTACTCAGTATCATATGAATCACATATGATACTTACCATATGAATCTTTTATTTTACCATTGTACTCCCTAACATGTCCATACCACCTCAGTATATTACATTTCACTCGCCATACAACTCCATATTTCATTCCCAATCTTTCAATTTACAGGAGTGAATACTACATCTTCCAGAAGATATTAAAGCTGCATTACGAATTTCCTGAGGGATTCTGCGAAGAAGCTAGGGACTTGGTTGAGAAACTTTTGGTAATAATCTTGTATTTTGTTTACCTTAAATTTATCTTGTTACTTCTCTTCTTTTAATTATAAATGAAATTATGTTGTTATGAACAGTATATTATTAAGGCTTTAGTTTGTGCACAATGTAAATGAATAAGAAATGCATAATAAATTAATACATTTGATTATGGATAAGTTTGTTACCATAATTGGAAAAAAATGTTCCCAGTTCTAAGCTATCCCACTGTTGCTTTGTAGGGCAAGATCTTCCTTGCTGCCAGATAGGTTAAGCAACAGCTAGGGTACTTTAATGTTCTTAATGTTCAGCACCCATCAAGTGATGAACCATTTTTACTTGGAGCATGGGATGATATTGCTGCTGTGGAATCACTGGGAAGTACTCGATCCAGCCCAGAATGCAGATGGGAAAATGTGTAACATAATGCCAAAATTGCATCTTTGCGCTGCCTGAGGTAAAGCTTGAGGAGTAGAAGAGCTCCCAGAACCCACTCTAGGTATATATCTGATATATCAACATTGTGGACTAGGGAAATTATTTATGGATCTGTCAACTAGCTCACATGGCGTTAATACTTTCAGCTCACGGCGACAGATGTTGTGTCCATTATGGACACAACATTTGTCGCCGTGAGCTGAAAGTATTAACTCTATGGATGTCCACTAGACACATTTTGCATCTAAAATGATAATATTTGTTAAAATTCCATTTATTGTTCGATTATTATGGGACTAGTTTTAAAATGTGTGCCTTTTGGATTATGAACATTGATACCAAAATGGACGATGAAACACAGAAAATTGAGGTCAGAACACTGGAAAGTATACCCACATTAGTGTATGCGCACGCTCCCGGGAAACACCAGGCCCACCTTGGGGTGGGCTGGGGCGCGCACGCCGGGCCATGCAAAGTGTTAATATACCCCAAAATATTTCTTCAACAAATAATAATATCCAAGAATCTTCTGGTCATCTTTCAAGGCAAAGAAAGAATTTAAGGGCTGCATTGGCAAAAACTATTACTGTAGTGTTTCTGGCAGTGTGCCGGGCTGGCTTCATTTGAAGCAAGAGAAGGATTTTATTTGTAGAAGAGCTCGGTTACTAGATGTTTTAATTTATAAATAAATCTTAAAGGTATTTTAACATTGTTAAAGTTCTTTTAAATGATAAAGGTAGTAGTATGTGTATAAGGAAAATTTGAGTTAACAAATGTACATCCTACAGATGAATGGAATTAGTATTAAAAGGGCAACTGCAAGTAGATGTACAGTACGATACTTTTGCAGAACTATGGAAATTTGGCAATATTCTTTGTCGATATCTTGGTGGCACGGTATGCAGAATATTTTCATATATTATGATAAATTAATACAACATCTAAACAAATTTTGGTAACTACTCGGTTCTTAAAGATAAATGTGCTTTAGTAAATAATTTTACAACTATTAAGGAGTCTTGATTGTTGTTGTCTTGCATATTCTGATGTTAAAGAAGGATTTAGCATCATTTCATTTTGACAGGTTATTGAAGCAGACCAAAGATTAGGGGCTCAAGACAGAGAAGGCTATCCAAGTATAAGAAGCCATCCTCTTTTCGCTAATCTAGATTTTGACTCTTTACATGAGATGACGCCTCCAAAAATTGCCCCGTTTATGCCACATGTTGACAATGAGGTAAGTAAAGTAGTCTTCGTCCCACTATTAATATTTCAGTCGGTTTGTGGTCCATAATATTCTAGAAGACCTCTTATAGCCATTAACATGATAGGTGAGCTTGGTGTCTTGATTCCAGTATTTTGCAATAGTGTTTTATAAAGCCTCAAATTAAATTTTTTTTTCTGGGGGGGAGCCCCTGCGATTCCCGAAGCTAACGGACTGATATCCATTATAATATTAGTCTAGAGTATGAGTTAATTGGAGTTTTGAGCCAACAGAGAAATACCAGCCAGAACCTGGTTGCCTCAGAGAGACAAAGGGAGCAATGGCTTATGAAACACTACAGTATGAGAGTCTAGTCATGTCTGCCATCGACCGGGAGTATCACCCAGAAAGGTAGGAGGATCATTACAAACCCAACTGGTAAAACATTGCAACTCAAGACTGAACAGAGCTCAAAAACTCTCCCCAAGAAGAAACAAACAAGCAAGCATCCACTCAACCAGGCTTATCTTGCCTCTCTGAGGCAACCAGATTCTGGTTGCCTCAGAGGTTCTCATGGTTCCTGGTAGGCTCAAAACTCCAATTAACTGATGCTCTAGACTAATATAATGGATATTAGTCCATTTAGCTGCAGGGAGCCTCCGGGGCTTAACCCAGAAAGTGGCGTTTCATTACATTCAACGCTGTTTTGTTTTTAACGTTCTTGCTTGCTTGATTGAGAAATCCCCTTAATATGAATATTCTATATTATAGACAACATTCTGTAAGCCATACATTGTTTCTTCTTGCCACTCAGGTTGAATGGGAATTTAAAAACCAGCCTGGATTGGGACCAATTGAGATGAAATTAATACTTGGTCTTGATTTCAAAGATGAAGAGAAATCCAAGAATGACAAGGCTGGTGACAATGAAATCTCTAAGAAATCAGGTTTTTTCCCTCATAGTTTTCTATTTATTTGTTGAAATATCTTGTAACAATTTAAGTATTGATTACATTTGAAAAAATATATGTAGCCCTTTTCATATACAGGCAGTTCCAAACTTAAGTACTGGATGTATTTTGAAAGGGCATTCAAATTTGACTTGTTCGTATCTCGGAACCAGATTTTCCCTATATTTTAAGTACTCACCTAGTTGTGCTTACGGGGGTTGAGCTTTGGCTCTTTAGTCCCGAGTGCAGTCCCTTAGTCTCTTAAGTGCAATGCAATGAATTGAAGGTTTCATTCTTTGACAACCAAAAATCAACATACCCCCAATGAATGTTGATTAGCATATGAATTTTTTAATATAAAACTCAAATTTTGTGTGCAAATAATTTAAGAAACATTGCTGTATAATTTACCTTGAACGATAGAATTGCCCTGCTTGTCTGATTTTATGCTTTTTAATGAGCAAACATTTATAATTATTAGAGAAGGCAGTAAAAGGTGATGATGCATAAGCACAAGTGCACCATCAACACACTTCTTATTATTGGCCATTATTGAAATACTTTTCCTTGATAACAACTGAAATAGTGCATTAGTATAACTCCTTTGTAGTGTGGGGACCTCAAAACTGGTTCCTATAGAGGGATGAGGAGCTAAATTAGAAATTTAGAGGCCATTCCTAAAATCAGATGCTCATAAGTCTGGGACCCTTGTACAGAATTTAGTCTTTAAAATTTAAAATAATATATATGTATATGTGTATAAAATTCATACACACGGCATATAAATAAATAACACATGTATAAATTTTGCAGTGAAAAAGAATATCGCAGATGTAAGTCAAGAAGAGTATATATTGCGGCTTGCTGTGCAAGAGCGGGAGAACAAATGGCACAAATTTGTGGAAGGCAACCTTATTCTGAAGCAGGGGCTCATGGATAAGCGAAAGGTGTGTAAGCAGTTATGATTTATAGATAGTCTTGGTCTCTGGTGGCAGAGATATGTTTATTGGTGATTATTGGGTATTTCCTGTTAGAATACATTGATTAGGTATCCATAGTAATTGATAAATTACAATTTGCCAATCAAACCAATTCTACAAACTCATTACGGAGAGCTCCCAACATGCCAAGAGCTTAAGGGTATCGGTGGTACTGGTGTGCGCCTTCACGTCTGTGGCAGTAAAATGCTGTGAAAAGTTAATGCCTGGACATACAGCTGATGGAAGGCAGTGTGTTGAGAAAACACAGGTGTATAGAAGTCTCGCTTAGGAAGTTTATTTTTTTTCCTGCCAGAAACAGATTGAAGACAGAGAAAACTTTCATTTCTCTACGGAACATTTTACCCAAGAAAACCAAAGTTTCGTGCAAGCCAGGAGGATACTGTAACCTTTTACCACATCCTGGTAGCTGCTGAAGTATCAAATATAAAAATGTTTGAACAGAGTAGGGCTCAGTTCAGACACATGGTTCCTGCTATGAAAAGAGAACAATTTCTGGTCCCGCCTAGCTTTGCTGGAAAGTAGAAGTAACTGCAACCTTTGCAGTTGCAGAATTTGGCAGCTGATATGAACACAATTTGCCAAGAAGATGGGTTCAACAAAGTCCTTTCTTAACCTATATCGATGTCAAGCACTCACGGGATCGTAACCATACCAGACCCAACAAGGTAAGTGCAGGAGAGAAATTGGATGATGTCAGCACAAGGGGCTGTTAGAAAATAATTAATTAGTTTTGTCAAAAATTATTTTTTGCCGACAATCTTGTATCAAGTTAGCTTATCGATGTTGTATGCTTTCAGGGCCTGTTTCCAAGAAGACGAATGTTTCTGTTGACAACTGGACCACACTTGTACTATGTAGATCCAGTTAATATGGTACTGAAGGGCCAAATTCCATGGAGTTCCTCGATCTGTCCTGATGCCAAGAACTTTAAGACATTTTTTGTCCATACGGTAATTAACATTACATTTACTTTATAGTTAATGGCACACCAAGGATAAACATAAAGAATTTATTAAGGTCTTGCAGCAATCCTTATAATTTTTATCCTGTGCCCATATTCATTATGGTTTTGAATCACCTGCATAAACAAGACTGAAAAATATCCTTGTATGGTGCATGTTAATTCTGATCCCTTGAAAGCAAGATGATTACTAAACACCCTCTTATTTGCACACATTCACTTCAACAGTGGTGATGTTATAAAAAATGTAACTACTATTAGGGGTTAAATCTCTAATCTACTTTCGGAGATTAGCGATTTTCAACAAATGAACATTTACATTTATATTTATATTTATATATATATATATATATATATATATATATATATATATATATATATATATATATATATATATATATATATATATATATATATATATATATAATAATATAATATATAATATAATACACACATACATATACACCCACAGCCTCAAAGAAGGGAACACAGAGTATTCAGAGAAAAACTTGACATTTAACTCTGAATATGTATGAGTGTTTACTTCTCCTACCACCCCTTTACATAGACAGATAATATATTATTTACATATACACATACTTGCATATATATATATTATAGGTGTATATCTTGTGAGAAAATCTAATAGTTAAAATTATATTACATGTTTTTGGTTTGGGTGAATTGACATAAGTAAAGCATAATAAATTCTGGTTTGAAGGCTTGGAATAAGATAATTATAAATTATAGTTCTTTCATTTATTCTAAAGTTATTCCATTCCATGAACTTAAGACATGTTCATTGAATGTCCCATTGAACAGGATTACAACAGTCAAAGCATTGAAATTTTGCACTGGTGCAGCTTAGATCTTTGGAACTATCTCTGCTAGGTCATACTGCTACTTGGGATACAATGGGAAAAGTTCATTTCAGCTTAGAATTAAAATAGCAATTTCATTCGTAAACACTAAAATCTGTTTAAAGTCTTACTTAGCATAAGAGAGCTTACTGGGGAGCCGGTCGGCCGAGTGGACAACACGCTGGACTTGTGATCCTGTGATCCTGGGTTCAATCCCAGGTGCCGGCGAGAAACGATCGGCAGAGTTTCTTTCACCCTATGCCCCTGTTACCTAGCAGTAAAATAGGTACCTGGGTGTTGGTCAGCTGTCACGGGCTGCTTCCTGGGGGTGGAGGCCTGGTCGAGGACCGGGCCGCAGGGACACTAAAAAGCCCCGAAATCATCTCAAGATAACCTCAAGATAGCATCACAATGGTCTGACCAAACTGCAAGCTTCCTGTCTGGCCACTTTCCCAAAGTGCCACCAGATTGTAGCACCCTTGCCAACACCAGGTCTCTGGGTTTGATCCCTATTGCATTTTTCCGACTTCTCCCATGGTAATTGTGCAGGCTGGTGACTGGATTAAGTCAAGTGCCTTGTTTTCATTCTTAGAAATCTATGCCTTTTGTGGAGTGGGCTCATATTTTATCCTAATTTAAGGCAGTACATATATTAGAAATGTTTATTACATGCATTATGTCCAGTTATCTGTATTTAATGCTTCAACAGCAAGTTCCTCCTATTAAGGTTTCCACTATATTTGTACAGTAGTTTGTAGTTGGTCTGCTTGAGGCCTAGATGTTTGTGCTGATCACTGCTTCATGGAAACATGGTTAGGTCCTGATGTTGGTGAGCTGTTTGTTTACCCCATAGGTCTGGCCTTGGCCAAGTTGTTTATGTTGGTGAGGGTTCTGCAGTGTGATGGCAATCAGGGCAAGAAACAAGGTGGGAAAGTAGTTTGGTACTGTTTTTTGGTTGGTCAGCGTGTTGTTTGGCAGTTTCTGTAATACCAAGAAGGGCTTGGAAATATTTCCAGTTCTCTATAATAAATTTGGGACGGATTGAGCTTTTTTTCCAGTGCCTTGGCACTTGTATGACCTCGGAGGTATGCTTAAATGATGCTTGCTGTGTCAGTGCAGAACGTCGCCCAACTGTATTATGAGTATCTCCAGTGGAACATTCAGTTTGCTTGCCTTAGGAAGCATCTAAACATCATACTCAGAACCCCTTTAACATTTATTCAATTGTCTGATTTTTCTTCCACAGCCGAACCGAACATATTACCTGGAAGAACCCGATGGTTATGCACTAAAATGGTGCGAGGCCATAAACGAGGTAAAGAACTTTTATTACCCAGAAAAAACGACGTGATTCTTAGTACTGTACTGGCTAACAACACTGCATTTGGGAGCAGCATGATTTTCACTAGGTAATATTATGTATGAACAGGCACTCAAGTAAGCTAGGAATTAGTCAAAGGTCATATAGAATGTACTGGTGAATGGAGAAGGTATATATAATAGTGTATTTAAGATGGTATAGTCAGAGCAGGACTCGAGACAAACACATCAATGACTTCAAGCTGATACTTTGCCTAAGCCAGTGGTTCTCATGATAGGGTTTCTAGAGATTAAAGTACTTAGTCATTCATTTTAAAGCTAATATAATGACAGTTGTTAGTAAATCACAGTAATTCCCAACACAGCCAAATAATATTGGGGACCCCGGATAGTTTTTGAATTTGTCTGCCACAAAGATGTAATAATGTACGTTCATATAATTGTTTTAAATTGGTTTTTAATACATGCTTTTAAATGCATTTCATATACTTATATAAATTGTGCAATCTTTTATTGAGTAATAAATTTTTAATGATTTTATTTAAAGCTATTGTCCGCTGGCAAGTGGGTATCCTGTACAGTATTTGGAAATAATGTATTGTTTATGATGCTGTAACATAAATTCCATATACTGGTCAGTATTGTCTTACTTTAAGATCCAAATTCATATTTTTGCAATTCTGTTTCAGATGTGTATCATTTAATATTTCACAGCAGAATAACATTGGGTAAATATATTGTCAATATAGCTGTACAACATAAAGTAAATGGGCTTAATTGCTTTGCTTAATTAATCAGCTTGCTACTTTTTTTATATATATATAACACTCCTAATCAAGTGTTCATACACTCACATTATAAATTTTTCCTCTAATTTTTCCATATTTGTTGCACAAATATGGTTATTGAACAATTGAAATTGTATTATCATAAAATTATTGCTTTTTGAAATATAAGCATGTGAAAGTTTAACTACAAAGTGTGATCTTTGATCTTTTATTGTCCATATTTCTAATCAAAGCTGATGTAGGGAAGTAAGATACTAAAAGTATTAGTACTGTACTCTTATTCCATTCGTATGTGCATTAACCCCTGAGAAAATGATCTTTCTTCAGGTGACTTTGACCATGAGTAAGCAGCAAAGCAAAAGGCCTTGTGTGATCAATTCTATCACTTGTGTTTTGGTACAGAATTGATGAAATTCCATTTGTTTCTGCAGAATAGAAAGTCTACTAATTGTTTCCACAGATTAGAACCTCTTTTTAATTGCTTCCACTGAGTATGAATTATATTAATTGTGTCCACAGAAGGGAAAACTCTCTTAATTATTTCTTCAGAAACAAACTTACCTAACAGAACTAAGCTTTTGTGTTTGTGGAAGAATTGCCTTTTGGCAAACATAAAGCTATCAGTTCAGTTTTTTATGCCCATGACAAAGGTCAAACTTAGCATGGTTTTACTATCAAAATTTGAGAGTACTTGAGGGACACGGACCGCTAAAGGCCTTGAGAACAATTCTACTACACTGGTCCTTGGAAGGCTCCTAAAGTTACAACAGGTTGCCAGAAGAGTTTTCACCATTGGTAACAATCAAATATGTAAATACTGTCCACAAGGAAATCACAGTGGCGTGTTATATCGATGAAAAACATTTGGAGGCATGGAGTGAGTGACTCGAACCCACATTTTGGTGAATCCCAGACACCTGGGATTATTTCATGTAAATGCTGTATTTGCATGGTTGGATTTAACTTAATTTTTTTTTGTGATGCCTAAATTTTAGATACACATACACTAGGATATCACAAAAGCACAATACATATATCTTTGCAAAATTCATTGCAGCTGGATAGGTACTGACCTCCCGTTACTACTTACTATGGTGACGATTTATATAATATAATCTCTCTGATTATTTCATCAGTTCTGCACCATAACATGTCAGTCATGAGCCAAACAGGACCTATATTCTTGTTGTGCATTCAAAGTCAAATGTTGAATGAAAAAAAAAAAGTTTTCAGAACCTGTACTTGCCACAAAATTGTCTAACCAGGTTTAGATGTTCGAGTTATTGAAGACGAGTGATCACACTTTGAGGAATATTTGTAATATTTTTAGTTCATGATCTCTGCACATTAAACACAAATTGGGGTTGGGGTGATATGTATAGATCAAGAGCAATATTGGCTTTTGTGGCATGAAAATTGTGATGAAGGCACTTGAAGTGACTGTTATAACTTAGAGAATTTTATTACAGTAAATGCTGTTGCTGTGTTATATACAGTATTACAGTTTTCAGTATTACAATACAGGCTGCTGTTGTTTTTTTTATATATATTATCAATAACTGCTGTACTGTATTTATAGTTATGATTAAGCAAATATAATTGTGTATCCTCATCAAGGGGATGCCTTACGGATTTTATATTTTTTTGTTTTGTTCACAGAGGATATCTTGGGATTGCCTCTAAGGGCTCAATTTCAACTTTAACACTTACAGGTGGATATATCAAGTGGGACTACTGTTGAAATATGAGAATTAGCTCACTGGCTGCCATTTTGGAAACAAACATTTTCTTGCAGTGAGATCTTCCTTGTAAATGTCATGACTTTGAAATCAAAACATTTCATAGAAACTTTGTAAAAATAGCTTCCACAGTTCTACAACGAAACAGTGAGAACGTATAAGGAATGAGATTCATTTTTATTAGTGTAATACAAGAAAATTTATAGCATCTTTAATTCATTTAAATTACACTTCTAAAATATACATTGATGTGTGTTAATTAACACCCTTAGAGATCAATATTGTTCAACTAGTATTAAAAGCAAGTACAGTACTCCGTTTATAAACAAAAAGCGTTCCTGCTTGTCTTTCTTGTACATTAAAATGTCATTGGCTTTCAACACTGTACCTAAATTACACCTTTAGTTAGTATACATTTTACAATGATTAATCTGAATCGTAAGACATGTAAATTTTGGTGGCACCTTACCCAAGTTTGCACACATTTCCCAGTGGCAGGGTAGTCTAGAGTTGTAGTGCCTGGGTAACCTCAGTTGAAGTTGCAATCCATAGGGTTTTTCACTTCAATTTTAATACGTCTATGCCCTGGGATTATTTTATATATTTTTTCATTAGCTTTTAAAAATAATTACATACAAATATTTTATTAGGGTGTCTTTTGTGATTAGATATATTTTCTCAACTATTTTTGAACCTCTGGTTGTCTAATATGTCTGGTGTCAAATTTACAACTCTTCTAAAAGTGTGTATACAGTAGTAGATTATACCAAAATCTCTCGGTGCATTTTCAAAGTTCAAGACTTTTAGTAACTTCTGTACTTTAAAAAAATACAACAAAATAATTCTAAGGGTATTTATTTGTTAGCTAAAAATTTAACAAACATAATTCCTTTGCACATAACATACTGTAAAAATTGGTTCTTATTTTATTACCAAGTTTGTCTTTCTTCTACTGATAAGTAAACTATGCTGTAGTCAATATTTTTTTACTGCTTCTTTATTTCCTGAAAAAAAATTTAATTTTGAAAATAAAATTGATTGAAAAAGTATAGGTCAGTTTAGAGTATATAAGTTTTGGGCTGAACATTCATGTGTCTAGGTATATATTTATATCTTTGGACAACTATATTTTATATATAAAAAACATGTATAGTTAGAAATTAATGTAACAATGATATTTACAATATGTTTTGTCATTAACACTCGTACTGTGCAATGTCATCGTTAATTATGTTTAGTTCCTACAGTTATTTTTATTTTAATTGTAAAAATTTAATTCCAGATTTAAATTTTTCCAGATTCCATTTCAACTAAATAATAGTTTCCTCATATATTATAGTTAAATTGTTTGATATTTTTACTTGTGTATTTTAAGATCCACAAAATTCTAAGTCATATCTTTCGATTTTTGTTTCTAGCACCAGTTGTATTTGAATATGAACGCATTATTTTCTCAGTTTAATTTTTTATTTTTTTTTAATTTTAATAATAATGAAACCTACAGTAAATATATTATAAATATTTTTCTGGTATAGTTGGGATAATGCGTTCCAAACTATATACAGTATTTATTTCTGGTGCAAATTGCTATGTATAGTATACGTAATGTACAGACATGCACCTGTAATGTATAGTGCACTGTATTGTACTACCTGAGAACTGTCTAGCTTCTTTGGTGATAGTCTTTTTAAAGCAAATAATCTAATTTTTGGATTATTGAAATTTTAATGAAAAAGTTTGCACAGTATTGTGAAATATGTTTTACTGAAAAAAAAGGTAGAATGCTTTTTGTTTCTTTGTAGTTTTGGTTTAATGATATTCTCAATTTGTTTGTTTTTCCTTTTAATTTCATGAAATCATAAAAATAATGAAACTATAGACTTTATCTGTAGGCTTTTTTTTTTTAATAGCTTGATAGTTTTGGGATATGTTGTAACTATTTGCTTATTCTTAACCACTTAAGTCTAACGAAGACAAAAGTCATACAGTGTAGACTGTGTGTATGTGGGTGTTGTGCATACTGTATTTGTTCCCGCCGGAGTATTATGACGTGTACTGTACTTCCCAACATTAGTCCATATATCTGTTGGGTGTGTCTACAGCGTTCACAGTTGCTAGGGAGCATTCTGCACCCTGGTGATAGTGCTTAAAATAAAGCCTACTTTTCTTTTTTAGGGTGGTGGTTGTGTTTGATTTCTAAATGATATCAAGAAAATTTGTCTTGAGATATACTGTGGTAGGACATGTGGATACTTTCCTTGATTACATTGATAAAAATGTTCAATATCTTTTGATAGTAAATAAAGCTATATTTCTTATTATAACCAGGATATAATAGTCATAAAAGATTTTTTTTTTTTTATGTATGTGCATAATTTTTTAGCTAAAGTACTGAAACATTTTGTTTGTCGAAACATGTTGCTTGCCGTGTAGCAGTTGTGACCGAGTTTACTGTGTGCTGTACTTGTATAGCCTGTAAGTTGTATGTAATGTTTAGTCAGTGGGGTAAATTTCTATTGTTTATGGAAATCAATGAATTAAATATAAATTTTTGCCAAGTATTTTGCTGTATCTCTGGATTAACTGTTTCCTACAGTCCATTTTTTGTTTATGAATGTTTATAATAATTTTAGTGCTGACATCATAGGTGTTGTCTTGTGTAAAATTAGATATTTATAAATTATTTGGCTTTTTGCACATAAAAAAGTCTGGAGTTTTGTTTCTTGTGCATAAAATGGACAAAAAATGAAGTATTTTCTTAAAATCTTTTGGTTATTGTATTCTAAAAATCTACTTAATTTTTGTACCAATCATAAGAGTATATAAAAAATAAAGCTGGTATGTTATCTCTGATTTTGACACTCATTATATTAATTATATGTCGAGTAAACCATCAACTTCTGTTTATAGAGTACAGTACATGTGTTAATTTTATGTAATTGTTGTATGTTTTGAATTTATAGCTTTATAAAACCAGTAAATTCACTCTATGTATTGACAAGGTATTAAGAAATTCCATACATACTGCTTGCAAAATATATGTACAATATTCATCATGTTGATTTACCCACACATTTCGAAAGCAGTCGTTCTTGCAGATATGTGTTTTTGAATACAGTATGGCCAAAAGGGTTCGATCAGTGATTCTGTAATGAATCTGCTCTGTATTTCTTTGATTTTCTTGATATGGAAGAAAGTTAAAAACATAACTCCAAGCTTCATTTTACACTTTCAATGGGCATAACATATTTCACTAAATTACAAAATACAAAGAGACAAATGCAGCAATATATATACTCTGTATATTCATGATGATAAGATAGGTGGTTACCCTGTTAACGGAGGCCAAGTAATCTGGTCCTGCATGCTTATTGCTCACTTGAAGAACAAACAACATGGTTCCATTCAAGATCATTTAATTTCTACACACACGATCAAACCATTTCCAAAATGTTCCTGGCCAGCAACACCAAAATATTAAACAAAGTAATATTATGAGGTCAGACATAGCAGAACACCGTCATATCTATTTATCAAACATGCTTCCAATAATCAACAACCAGCTTTAAACAAATACACTACACCCTTTAATTATCAAGAGAGAGAACTACCAGTTTACACCTCAGTGTCCTAACCAACCAATGAGAATGCAGTACCATTTTATTTAGCTGCCTTGACAGGATATTCTTCTCTCTTTTCATCATAAACACCTGGAATATATATTGCTGTGTGGTTTCCTTTTGTATTCACTTTTATTTTGCGATTAGGATACTAAGTTTTTACCTGAACTTACCTTAGGGTCATTAACACTAGCAGCTTTAATGTGGACAGGAAGCCCCCCGTGAAGTTAAATTTGAAGGTTAGTTTTTCAACTTTCTCTTTAAATAAAGAACCTACAAAGTTTGGTGAAGATTCGTTCTATAATTGTTGATCCAATTATTGGCCATATTCAAAACCATATATACATTGTATATACACACAGTACATGTGTGTGTGTACTCATATACATACATATACTGACTGCATATCCTGCATCTGATTTTTGTTTTTGTGTGTACACTTTACTGTGAATGACAGCCACACAGGATTTCTATAGGAAAACGATTACTATTTAAATGTAAAGAAGTCCTTATTGGAAAAAGCTTTTGGTAATTTCTTGAATTAAAACTAATATTGCATATATTATCCAATTGATGCTTATTGTGCATTTGTTCAGAGTACTGTGTTCTGTCTCACGTTTAAAATAGCTATGTTTCACATAATTACAGTTTTGAGGAGCATATGTTCCTCAAATATGTAAGTCAAGACTGAAGGGTGTTCCCCATAATTTAGTTACAAATTGCCTGCTATATGACAAACCTGTACTAAAATTTGTTACAGTAGTACAGTACATAGTGTTTTTAGAGGTTGGGTTTGGAAGTTTATAATGTTCAATAGCTTCAGAACTAAATTAGCAAGATACTTAGGTGAATATATACGCTAATGACCTCATTGTATTTACACAGCTGGAGGTAGCAAGAGCTGTCGCCTCATTAACGGATGCAATAGTGACGCAGTATTCAGATGTACATTTCTCTTCACAGCACTGGTAGAAAAATATATTTTTTGCACTACTGGATGACCTGTAATGTATATACTTTTCTTTTGCTGTAGAACCATCAATCAAATGTGTTGCTCACTTAATGTTGTTAGTGGAAACATTACTGATCTTGGAAGCATTCGGTGAATATTACACAGCAGATTATCAGTTAAATGGAGTTGTGTTACTTCAACATAGTTGCCAGGATAATTCATGCCAAGTGATGATACTTGTGATGACCATATTTTATGTATGTATTGAGATGACTGCTGTGATGCACTGTAACAAATTGCTAATAGGATAAGTTGTTTAGGCCAGCTGTATATAATGTGTATGAACTCATTATTCTTTAGTGCATTCCGAGTACCTATCACTGAAAAAGGTGAGCTTACTATTAAATGCTTGCACAATGCATTACTGATAAGTCTGCTTCATCACTTGGCTGGACTCCTCTCCAGTTAATGCAGTAGAATGGGATGTGTAGCCCATTTTTGTTTTATTACTGTTTCCAATTCTTCATATGTTAAAGACCAGGATGTGGTGCTCTAAATGTTAACTTGTCCATCATATGTGAAATAGAAAAAAAATTGATTGAACGAAAGTGTTGGCAAATTTAGCAGTATCTCGTTAGTACTTTACTTACTACCCACTTAAAATGGAATTAATATAAGGGCATATACTGTGGAAAGTAAATAAACAATTAAGAAATGGCAAATTAGTATCGTCAAGCAATAAGGAGTTAAGATGGTAATGTAGACTAGTGGGTGGGAGAAACAGTGTGAATGAGCTTCAAGAAAACATCATTTTGTGGAACAAATTGCATAATTTGAATTCTCTCATAAGTGCTTCCAAGAGTAATATGTATACTGTCCATGTGATGAAATTTGTTTTGAAGTTAAGAATGGAATATTTTAACTTGATAGCATGTACTGCATAATGTCTTAGCAATGGGAATATTCTATAATAAAGAGAATAAAGAAATACATTTATTGCCATTTAGGTTGTGTCCTCCCATTCCTTAACTTTCAGAATGTTGTGCTTCTATGTAAATAAAACTGGCTCCAAATTTATTTGACTTGTGATACTTTTATCCTGCACATCATTGTACTGTGTTTTGCATGAAGATCAGGATGTTTTGCTCATTTAAATTTCAATCTACTGTAATTATTAAATGCTGTTGCTGATTTTGTCTACAATTTACAATATGGTAATAAGCTGTCTTAATGGTGTAATTTTTGAAATAATAGACACTTATTATAATCAAAAACATTAATTTGTAAATTTTATAAATATCAGATACTGATTTCATTGAATATACACCATTGTTAATTTAATTAATAATTAAAATGACTCGTTATCCTGAGAATACAGTAGGCCTTCATGCAATTTAGGAGAGGCCTTCCAGAAAAGCCTTGTGTCACACTAATTCATGGACCTCCCAAAGGCACCCTTTATACTAAAGAAAGAAACATTGTGGCAACAAGTATATTGTGTTAAATAGGTTTTTTTTTAGGAATAAATGACAGATGAGAGTAAACACCATTATTTTCTTTATTGGAGCATCTTTGGTTGCAGCAGAATTGATAAAACTTTTGAGAAGTTCCATGATGAATGAATATAATTTAAAAATGGGCAAAATATAGAAAATCAGCACCATACAAAACACATTTGTGTTGGAGTTGGGTGGTGGTTATCTAGGTGCCACGTTGGCACCTTCCTTACAGCAATACTGCTTAGTGGGCCTTCTACCTAGCCCTTTGTTCAACATCCATCCTTTGTGTTGGTTTCCATTGGTGTTGTCATTTGTCTTCTTTTTAGATTCATCAGTTGCTGCCTATACTGTAGCCTTGGCAAAGCACCTCATTTGCTGAATGGATGAACCCTTGCCTGTTTTTTTCTGGGATCATTGTGCTCTGTCCCATGACCTGTGCTGCATGTTTTAGCACTTCTCAAACAGTTCGAGTTGGTGCTGTCTGTCTGTCAACCCTGTTTTTCATATTTTATTCCAAGGCCTATCTTTTCCAGATCCTACACATGATTTCCTCGAGTCAGCCTGGTGTTTGCTGCTTTGATGGCTTTCTTTGCCAATTTGTCCACAGCTGAGCTTCCAATTTGGAGCCTCTGGCAGCCTTGTTGGATGTCCTTTGGTGATGTTGCACATGGTCACTTGGGCCCTTTAGTGCTTAGCTGCCATTCTTTGCCCTGGGCCCCCTCCTCTCCTGTTGTTCTTTTTCCATGATTCAGCAGTCTGCTTTTTCTATATTTTGAAAATGTCAGCCTCTGCTACCAAGGTGCAATTGTGAGTAAGCTTTGGGAGCTTCTAAGGGATCCTCCTCAGAAATCATGTATTGAATGTAATAAAATGCCCTTTTCCAGTGGGCCCCATGAGCTCCCTGTCCTCACCCTCTTTCTTTCCTGTAATGTTATAAAGTTTCTCATAGAACAGCCCTAGTGGTGGAGCAGGCTAGCTGAGACCTCGGGTGATTTGGATTGCCATCTGGTGGCAGCCAGGACCTTTACAGTCAAGTTACTTACCTGCAGCAATGATTGTTCCCCATGCTTACTACCAGATGTCTAATTTCCTTTTTAAGAAGTCATCTTGTTGCAGTTATGCTTTCTGTTGGGTTTCCTCAGTTTTGTGATTTATCTACGATCTGCTCTCCTTGTTACCAAGAGTTCAGGTCAAATCTAATTCAGAATATTTCATAAACTATTGCTATTATTGTTTCCTCTTACTTTATCAACTATACTTAATTGCACAAAATGTACCAAGGTTAACATTAGACAAATCCAAATATTTCCAGAAAGAAAAAGCAGATGGTAATATCAATGATTATTTAATGCTTCCTAAAACACCACCTACATCAAACATAAGGTTAATGTTTAGTTCAGGCTATTATTTCTGTTATCAATCTAGCATTTACACAACTAAAATGGTAATATTTTAACCCTGTTTGTTTAAATTCTCCATGTGAAGGTAGCATGAAACTTGAAGAAGCTAAGAAACAGTCTCGCTTCTTGCAGGTCAGCATTTAATCCCCAGCATTCCAAGTGGTTGGGCATCATTCCTTTCCTAAATGCTTATCCTCATTTCCCTTTAAGTGCTACAGTCATAATAATTTAGCACTTTTTCCCAGTAATTACCTTACCATATATAACCTCTCTTGAACCATGACTTACATATTGCAATATATATTCTATTTTGCCTTTCAAGATGATGGTTGCCTTCCCATCACTAACCTCTTTACACATCTGAACAGTCCATCTGTGCATACTGAACAGATATACATCATACTCCTTCACATACATTGCTGCACAGTATTCTTCCATCCTGTTGAAACCCTATGTAATTTTCCCTTATTCATTTGAATATACAGTATAGTAAAAATGTTCAAGTATAAAATACTTTGACCATTACCTCACTGATGAAGTGACAGTAAAACTATTGTACCGTTTTTACACTTATTCAAGTGTTCACATTGTCTACAGTAGAATAATTGAAAATATTAACTGTTAAGTTTTATTTACAAGTCAGTTTACAAAATACATTCATGGTTTTTATATAATTATACAAACAGTAACTTTACTTTTTAGCTCTTTTACCCTCTCCCTTCTTTGGTTTTCCTTTTCCACGCAGAATTTTTAATCTTTTCATTTCTTCCTTAAAATCTTGGTGTTCATCTCGATACAATCCATACTGAAATGATGATAATGTTCAGAGTTTATGTGAATAATAGTTATGGCAAAGCCCTATTTATGCACAGAATTTCTTTAAAAGATATTTACAAAGTGTCTGCATAGTACATACAGTAAATCTCAAGCCAACTCTTAAATCTAATATACTGTATTATATGTTTTAATTATTATAGATTATAAGAAGCTGGTAAAAAGTACTAGAAATAATAATGAGATATGATTACTTTAATACTAAGAAAACGTACAGTACAGTAATAATAATTATGTTAGTAATGAAGTGAGAACTGTAGCCAGACACTAGTTACACGCCAGTACACACAGAAATCACAATAGCGTGATGCATCAATGAACAAATCCTCGTCACGGCCCTTGTGGATTTGTTACACGCCAGATTTGTCAAGCTATTGTACAGCAAAGAGGTGAGAAGCCATTGTCAACTGTTGAGCAGTAGTAGTGTAATCTATAGCTACATATTGGTCCATGTTGCTCAGGTTTGACTGAATGTAGACAAATTATGTGAGATCTGTTTCCATAGATTTGAGGTTTTCATGATCAATAGTGTCAAAAGATCTATAGTCTGGTCTATGGGTAGTCCAACTGGATATTCAGTGCCAAGAGCTAAACATATTAAGGCTAACATTTTCATAACATCCTTAGTGATCTTAAAATGGGCCTCAACCAAAATTGACATGGACTTTGTATATCATATTTTTCTTGGTATATATATATAGTGGTGGTACATGTGGAAGGTAGTATGTTTGTGGTATGTGGTAGCTTACATTAGTATTGTTGTGACAGTGGTGATAGAATGTAGTAGTAGTATTGTATGATGATGGTGAGTTGGTCAAATATTTTATTAATAAATCCCTAATAGCTTAACAATTAGGTCACTAGCAAAACTAAATACATAAAGATGATTTATATACAATGATAAAGCTAAATATTTTCACTGTAGCCGACTATAAAAGGTATTCCCAGGTCATCGTGTAGCAGGACACATTATCATTACCCATTTCCCACCTTTGTGAGGTTGGGAAGAAATTAGCCAGGAGAAAACTAAAAATGAGAAATAAAGTAAAAGAAAGTTAAATATATAACTCATTAAAAACATCAATCATTCATCTATTATATCTCTCAATACAAGAGCTAAAAAGAGTTCGGTAATTCATTTTCAATTTATTTTACCCACTGACTTGTTAACCCAAATAGGAATTCAAGTTAAAAGGTTATACAAACAAGAAACTTAAATAAATATGAGTGAGTGCTTGACTTTTGTCAAGTGAGAAACTAATCAATTTATATTTGTTAATTTTTTAATGTTTCTGGTAAAAAGGTTTACTAACTCAAATGGGGGATGGGTCCCACCTGATTCAGATTACCAAGAGTAGACAGCAATTAGTAAAGAATGATATAATAAATACAGGGCACTATGATGGATAGTTAATATAAGAAGTTTAGACTGATGTAATGAGCATAGGCTGCTGTAAGGGAAGGTTGTGATGGTGGTCATTAGCATTTGAGGTATAGTAGCAGTGTTGTAGTCTGGCCTGGTGAAGTGGAATTGTGGTAGTGGTATGACTGCATTGCAAAGATGGTGGTGTATTATAGTAAGTGTGGATGTGCTTGCTTATCTGGTTCATTTGAGTGTTTAGTTTTATTTACAGAGCAAGAAAATGGTTGTACAGTATTTACCTAACATTTGTTAAATTATTTACTTAAAAGTCAGTATACCATACCTTTCTGAGATTTTTCATTAAAATATAAGTTTCATTATGACGAGGGTAGTAGTCTGTAATCTCAGGCCGTAGGTCTAGTGGTTTCTCACTGAACATTTTTACCACACGCATTGACCTGGAAGTAATATTAGCTGTGAAATTTTAATATGTATTACAGGAAAGTCACATATACAATATATCTATTTATGTACTGTCAAAGTTCACATGCTGAATCATCTGCTCAAAAGGTAAGGTCAATACAACACCTTGAAAAAAAAATTATTACTCATCCTCTCTCAAAAAAGACAATAATAGTGCATTTACTTTACTAGCCTAATATCATTTTCCAATCATTTACCCACACTGTACCAATTGTTATATTTTTTTATCAATATAACATGAATGGTTCTAACAAAATTTTTCCATATTTCCATTTCAATACGTGAACCTGGTCATTATATTATTGTAGTGAGGAACCTGTACCCTTGTCTAACTCAATATTTCCCAGAAACTTGGGAAATATTATTTTATCAACATTCACTACCTATATTACAGGACAGTATTTGGCATTCACCACAAAATAACTAAGAGCCACTTACGGAGCAGCAGTCGGTCGAACGACCTCCCCAAAGATGTGATTGCTGAGGCGGTTCATACGCTTGGCATAATTGGTTGTGTTTGTTGCTAGCCGTGCATAATTATATATTCCAGACACAACTGGTAATTTTGATGCCATCCTTCACCCACTGTAGGGATGTCACTTTGCCTTGAAGTGCTGTACTGTAAATAGTATATTTATACATATAAATACAGTACATATACTAGAGTAGTGCACAAAGTATTAAAACTAAATAATAATGAAAAAGCTTAGTAAAAATACTTGGATTAAGAATAAAGTTAAAATCTACACTATGAATCAAAAAAAGAAATCCACATAAAATATAGTACACTACTGTACATTGCTTTCCAGTATCCCTGTAACTTATGAATCATTTGAATAATGAACCCTAAACTAGACTAACAAAAATGGAAATATCAATCCAGTTCTCTGTGCTACAAGAGGGTAATTTAAGGAGAGACCCAGCAGGTAGGTCGACGAATATTGGGTACTGGGCCTTCTCGGGTAAGATACGTAGACAAGGCCTCCCTAAGGCCTCGTTCAAGTTAGGCATGTAATAGGTGGTGAGTGTGTTTTCCCAAGGCTAGTATAGGTACAAGAATGTAACAACTTTTGTATATATCTCTCAAAAAAAAAAAAAGGTAACAGAAAACAGGATGGACAACATTTTATACTGGTAATGAAAATAAGCCTATTGTCTGCCTCTTGGTTGCAGGAAATATTGTTGGTAGAAGTCAAAGTAAAGAACTAATATATTCAAGTGCTTTATATTAGTACAGTATGAATAAATACAAGGTGTGTAAATATTTATGCATACATATCTGTATATACGTATATAGTTATACATAATGAACACCACCTTTGACACACAAATACAACCTGTTGGTACGAAAGACTAAATAAATAAATCGAGACACAATGAAAATAAATCGATAAAGTTATTCTCACGTGGCACTTCACTTCGTTTATACAAAAAAAAAAAAACCTTCTTTAGGCCACTACATTTAATAGGTAAACAGGGGAAGAAAATTATCAGGAGAAATTGCCAAGCCATTATGAATATATAGCACTTGGAAGGAATAAGGATTTGGGATGGGACGGTGGGAAGGAATGGTGGCCAACCACTTAGACAGTCGGGGATTGAACCTGCATGAAGGGAGACCATTGCCATCCAGCCCAAGTGGTTGGGCATCCTTTGAAGAAACATACTGCTAAAGCAGCATGTACATCGCCAAATATGACAAAGACCCACCGTGAGTTGTGTCTTGTCACTTTCACAGAAATGCAGTTGTGACTTGCTTAACTGTTTCAAGTGAACAGACTGTAAAACAAGGGATTAACATCTTACAACCGTCACGTTTCCATTATTTTACGAGTTCAAAGCATGAGGGAGGGGGAAAGGGGGCAGTCCTTTTGAGGACAGTATCTACATTTGAAAAAAAGGGTTTACTAACTTAATATGGGGATTATTTTACTACACTTAACCAAATAAAACCTAGTCTTGCCTAACCTAACCAAACTGGTCCAGGCATGAGTATCTAAAATAGATCCCAGGAGGCAAGCCGATCATTTCACACCCCTCGCACGGATTATATCAATGGATCATTAATATCCTCCAGAGGTTGGCGTATATTTAAAAACCATAATACCTATTATCGGACATAACGCTAATACTCTCTTCCAATACTTTTTATATCCTATTCAACCGGGTCCACCCTGACAAGTAGTTCGACGCTCAATATATTTAACCTCGTGCACAGTTCCCAATCTGTTCTGAGATACCAGTACTGTGTGGAGACCTCAATGACAATACTAATTAGTTAAGTAGTACACATGTTTAAGTAACAAACCCAGGTAACAACCAAATAATCAACAAGCCACAACAACTGTGGCAGAGCCTGTAACACTGACTTGTTCATGAACGCCACGGATACTAGACACGGTACAGACGGATACAAGACACTCCGTACATTGACAACATCGCACACTAATATTTTTACCACTTCGGACACCAGCTTTGGACGTTTCGCATATGTGTACGTGTTTCATATTAAAACGACAATATAATGCTATTAACAATTAAAATCTTCTACTTAACAGGCATATAGTTATTAAATGAAGTTTAGTGATGTAATAGACATAATCCGGAGTTGGTAAGGACGCCGCCCGCCAGCGTAAACACAACACACCCGAATGCCCACAAACACGATACAACGCACAAAACACAACACTTCTGTCAGTTTTTGGGTAAACTCCTTTTAAATTTATTATGTGATAGTTATACTTCTATAAAATGATAATTATTATAGGTAAGCGCCTAATATTTAATATTAATCAATAAATAAGAAGTCAGAAGCCACACGCCTGTCTGTACATGTCTTTTGTGTAAAAGTATTTTGGGCGCTCATGTACTTGTGCGCTAGTTGGCGTTCACAACTGTTCTCGCCTACAAGCATTAGAATTAAACAAACGAATTTATTTTTTCATTTATATACAAGAAGAGAAGGCTACCCTTGAGTCTGTAATATTCATCTGATCACTGGTCTCCCATTTGGTCCTCATTGCTTTATCTTACTATTATTGAATGTCAATAACCGTATTATGCAATTTCAATTTCTTCTATTGCTTTCTTTATTATGCACCCCATACCCATCCCGTGGGCGGTGGTGTAAAGGATTACAGAGGCACATAATCGGTTCAGGAACTGATTCGTTTAGCTTAGCAAATAACAATGTTTGACGCTAGTTACAAAATTATTAATGTTGTATACACATGTACACACACTCATACATACATGTACATATATATATATATATATATATATATATATATATATATATATATATATATATATATATATATATATATATATATATATATATATATATATATATATATATATATATATATATATATATATATATATATATATATATATATATATACATATATAGAAAGCAATTCTGATTCTGCTATTGAGTTCAATAGGTTCTTCTCTTCCATTGGGTCATCCCTTGCAAATGATATTCCATCATCCTGTACTGATGTTAAGGACTATCTTACAGGTAACTATCCACAGTCTCTGTACCTAAAGCCTACTAGTTCCACTGATGTCAATGAAATAATCCTTTCCCTTAAAACCAAGTCTAGTGCCCTCGAGGAGATACCAACTTTAATTTACAAAAAAGCCTCCAGATCTTTAGCCCCTGCTATTGCATTGCTCTTCAACAAGTCACTTGAACTCCAAACCTTTCCTGACATTCTAAAAAAAGCAAGAGTAACCCCTGTCTACAAATGTGGTGATCTCACTGATGTTAACAACTACAGACCTATATCAATCCTGCCTAACTTGTCAAAAATATTCGAAAAGCTAATCTACAAGCAGCTTTACTCTTTTCTAGCCAAACACAATATACTTAGCTCTTGTCAATATGGCTTCAGACCCAAAAAAAGCACTAACGATGCACTTATTAGTATGATTAACGTAATTCACGCAGCGCTTGATAAAAAGGAGTTCCCTGTTGGGTTATTTGTGGACCTGCGTAAGGCTTTTGACACTGTCAACCATCAAAACCTTCTTCTTAAATTACATCATTATGGAGTCAGAGGACACTCCCTGCAATACCTCAAATCTTATCTTACTGACAGGCTCCAGTATGTTTCTGTGAATAATACAATTTCTCCCACCCTACCCATCAACATTGGTGTTCCTCAGGGCAGCATACTTGGCCCTCTCCTCTTTCTCATCTACATTAATGACCTTCCAAATGCCTCCCAACACCTCAAACCAATTCTATTTGCTGACGACACAACCTTCATTTACTCCAGTCCTGACCCCCTTGCTCTAAATGCCACAGTAAATACTGAGCTAGAGAAAGTCCATCTTTGGCTAACTGCCAACAAACTCACCCTTAACATTGACAAAACGTTTTATATTCTGTTTGGCAATAAATCCTCTAATCAGATAAATCTCAAAATAAACAATACCCAAATTTGTAACAAATTAGATGGCAAATTCCTTGGCGTTCTCATCGACCACAAGCTGAATTTCCAGGGTCACATTCTAAATATATCAAAAAAAGTTTCAAAAACTGTTGGCATTCTTTCTAAGATCAGATATTATGTACCCCGCCCTGCCCTGGTTACTCTCTATTACTCCCTCATCTATCCATACCTCAACTATGGTATTTGTGCTTGGGGTTCTACTACCCAAAATCATTTACGTCCTCTCATTACCCAACACAAAGCTGCTATTAGGACAATAACCAACTCTGGCCCCAGACATCACTCGGTACCCTTACTCAAATCTCTGAATATGTTAGATATTAAGTCACTGCACATTCTCTCTTGTGTATTATACATATATAAAACGCTGAACTGTAATGCCAATCCTGACCTCAAAAGCTTCATTGAAGGTTGTAACAGAACCCATGAGCACCACACCAGGAATAAATACAGTTTTGATATTCCTAGAGTACGACTTAATCAAACTAGAAATGCTCTACAAATCAAGGGACCCAGAATGTGGAATGACCTTCCCAACCATGTTAAAGACTGTCCCTCTCTCAACCAGTTTAAGATAAAAACTAAACAATACCTAATAAATTCCCTGTAACCCACCTCACTCCTTTATTGTCAACCCATGTCTGTTATTTTATTTTATTATTATTATTTTTTTTTTTTAATCAACACTGTTTGTCAACCTATTGTATTTGTGCTGCTTTTTCAGTCATGTTCCCCCTTTTTTTTATCTTTATTTGTATTTGTTTTCAACACTTTTTATTCTTTATGCTCAATTAGTATTAAGTTCTAGATATTAATGTTTTTCTTGCCCGAAACGCATTGCGTAATAGTGGCTTTAGGCATTGTATGTACTAGCTCTATCTATATATCAATCCATTAATGTAACATCACTTGTATGTATGTACCTTACCTGAATAAACATATTTATTTATTTATTTATTTTAATTGAATTGAATTGGTCTGATTAAGACTTTATGACCATGTAATCTATGTTTTGCTCCACTACTTACTGGTTGAGTATGGGGTGCATAACAAATAATAGCCTCCTTCGGGGGCGCCTTGTTTCTAAACGTGTTAGTCTTAAATCCTTTAATCTCAAATCTTGCTACAATGTACCTCTTATTAATATATGTATGTACTCTCGCAACCCAATGTACCTTCTTGTATATAAATAAATAGATTTCAACTGTAAGGGGGTATGGTTTGCACCTTGTTATTCTAATAATAGATAAATAATTCTAATAATGGAAGCGCTAATTATATGAAACAAGTGCCTTGTATTTATGCAGACGAGAACAACAGCGAACACAAACCAGCGCATATACGAACGGAATGGTTTGTATGTACAAACTTCTCAGTGAACGAAGTTGTTTCTAGCCCGGTATCCGAAATTGCAGTATACGACTTAACCAGTCCCCTCCTGAGGACCTACAGTACTTACTGCTAGGCGAACATACGCATTGGGTGAAAGGAAATGTTCCCAACCATTTCTGTCCCGCCCGGGATTCGAATCTGGAATTCTTGATTGTACGCCGAGAACGAAACCGACTGTACTACCGGGAATACCAAATGTAGGCAACATGTTTGATGTCCTATATCCGGTCATATGAGTATGAATGAGATCCCGGGCCATGCTAAATTTAATTATTTTATTATTAACTGAGTTGGTTAAATATATATTTTTTTAACGTTTCTGAGGGATAATAAACAAAAATTAGAGGAGTCCCGTAGTACAGTCAGGTGCGTTCTCGATGCACAATCGAGAATTCCGGGTCAGAATCCTGGGCGGGGCAGAAATGGTTGGGCACATTTCCTTTCACCTAATGCGTCTGTTTACCTAGCAGTAAGTAGGTGCTCAGGAGTTAGTCAGCTTGACTAACTGAGGAGTCACCTTGACTAACTTATAAAATTATAAAGCTTGTTGTGGGATTACATCAATACAATACAATACAATTTTATTTAGGTAAGGTACATACATACAATAAATATTTACAAGGATTGTTTAACTTATAGGTATAGCTAGTACATACAATGCCTAAAGCCACTATTACGCAAAGCGTTTCGGGCATGATAAACTTAAATGACAAGCTTAATACTAATTGAGCATAATGAGTAGAATGAAAACAAGAAATGAAAACATAGATGAAAAAGCAGCACAAATACAATTATGTCGACAAACAGCGCTCTTTAAAGAAAAAAACAGACATTGGTTGACAATAGAAGGGTAAGGTAGGTTACAGGGAATTTATTAGGTATAGCTTCACTTTTAACTTAAACTGGTTGAGAGAGGTACAGTCTTTAACATGGTTGGGAAGGTCATTCCACATTCTGGGCCCCTTGATTTGTAGAGCATTTCTAGTTTGATTAAGTCGTACTCTAGGAATATCAAAACTGTATTTATTTCTGGTGTGATGCTCATGGGTTCTGATACAACCTTCTATGAAGGTTACATCCTGGGCGGGGTCAGTAATTCGACCTTGGGGGAAGGACCTCAATAAAAGCCTAACGTGTATGAATACACTCCGGCTTCCAGTACCCCGACACAGTGAGTTATTATTTAATTGAATCAATTATTGGAATTTGCCTTTTTGAATTTAGCGGGTGAGAGGAGAGGTGAGGATTTGGCAGTGGTTGTCGGGTGGGCGTCAGATGGCGGTGGCGTCCACAGTGATGGCGGAGACCCACACCATGACAGAAGGAGACGTGCCTCCCGCAGACCGCGACCATCAGCCGCATAAGGAGAAGGCCCTTTACACCCTCAAAGGTACAGCATGGGGCGTGTTCCAGCAGGTTATTGGTCCTGGCAGCGGCGGGGCCTAGGGAGAGGTTGGTGTCAGGGGGCTAATACATGACACCAGACCGCACATGCCATCAGGTGTTTGAGTATAGGATGTTATAATCATAAATACAAATGATAGGCTAGTTGAAAATGTAATTTATATAATTAGTTATTATTTCTGATATTTCCGTAAGATGACATCTCGATGTGTACCAATCATAAGGACCCTGGACCATATATATATAGTAGGCCTACTGCTGATGTTTGCAAGTTTGGTAAAATAAGTATATACTGTATATGTTTATTTAGTATACATATATTATTATTATTACTATTGAACAGCAACATTAAAATAAATTTTTTAGGTGGGTTACTGCAAAGATGGTGCTGTACTAAGACTTAGGCTTTAGCCACAAGAATAGAAAGTTGACCTGCCTTCAACCCTCATTATTACATTACAGTTATTTATAAATTACTTTGGTCACAAATTCCCTGTGGTTTTGGAAAGTGAGCCATACTGTAAAAACGTGCAACACTATCTGAGGAGTATTTAGGAAATGATAAGTTCTTGCCTAACTATGCATAGCACTATGAATGATGTGCGTGTCTGGCAAGTAAATGGATGGGTGACTGGGCAGGGTTGCCCTTGGATAGGGTAACTTTAGTAAACCTAACAAGGGAGCAATTCCTACGTTACCACCTCGTGGTGTTATCTGGGTCGTGCTAATAATGGGCAACTTTCGCAACATTCCTAGGTAAATATTACATGTATGGTTAAATTGTACTCAAAATGGTTGACAAAGCTTGTTTTTCCATTGTCAAACCCAAGTACAGTATATTGTATTAGCTTAAATTGGGCTTGGCTGGGTTGGGTTGGGTCGGGTAAATTAAAAAAAAAAATTGGCAAACAGTATGTTACAAGATGTGACTTTTATCTGTACTACGTATGTGGTTCAAATGCATCCAGAACATGCCCAATTCCAGTAACTGATCCCAATATGGCATAACTAAACCAACAGACAGATAGACCCTTCCTGATATTGATATACCAGTGTAGGTTACACCATATGTTTTGCTGTTGTCAGGGACAGGAACACATCATGATTTTTGGTGTCCCTATCCAGTGACTATGATGTAATCCTCAGTACTTGAATACTCCCAGGTACCTATTAAATGCTAGGTGAAACAAGTCTACAGGGTTAAAGAAACATGATTAGGTTAAAATGTTTGATGGTCATGACTAACACTGCAAACCAGGCATGACAGGGTGGATCTCATTGAAACTTTCAAAATACTGAACAAGTTAAAGAGGATGTTGATTTGGATATTTTCTTCAGAGGTCTGATGTAACACAAACAAGGAGCAACAGTTTTAAGCTCAACAAGCCACAATGTAGGACTGAGAACAAGAGATGCTTTTTCACCCATAGGGTTATAAGTCCAGTAGTACAGTCGGGTTCATTACCGACGCATGATTGAGAATTCTGGATTCAAATCCCGGGTGGGACAGAAATGGTTGGGCACGTTTCCTTTCACCTAATGCATTAGTTCACCTAGCAGTAAGTAGGTACTAAGGAGTTAATCAGCTTGTAGGGGTTGCATCCTGGGCAGGGTCAGTAATTCATCCTGGGGGGAGAGGGCTCGATAAAAGTCTATTATGTATGAATACACTATGGCTTCCTGTACCCCAACACAATGAATTATGAAATTATAAACACATGATTATTCTGCACATCTGATGGTGCTACATAGCCTTCCCAGCTTGGTGCCTTCTTTTGATAATTACTTACAAACCCATGGATCCACCTACCCGCCAAAGCTGTAAATGCCAAAACACTGTTGGGTTTTAAAATACAACTGGAAAAGATATGGGCAAATGGAGCGGACCTTTGACAAGCCGTCGACTTCCTGTCTTCGTCGAGGTCACTAGTACTAATATTAGTTTTTTTTTTTTTTTTTTTTGTTGTGGGATTACATCAATACAATACAATACAATTTTATTTAGGTAAGGTACATACATACAATAAATATTTACAAGGATTGTTTAACTTATAGGTATAGCTAGTACATACAATGCCTAAAGCCACTATTACGCAAAGCGTTTCGGGCATGATAAACTTAAATGACAAGCTTAATACTAATTGAGCATAATGAGTAGAATGAAAACAAGAAATGAAAACATAGATGAAAAAGCAGCACAAATACAATTATGTCGACAAACAGCGCTCTTTAAAGAAAAAAACAGACATTGGTTGACAATAGAAGGGTAAGGTAGGTTACAGGGAATTTATTAGGTATAGCTTCACTTTTAACTTAAACTGGTTGAGAGAGGTACAGTCTTTAACATGGTTGGGAAGGTCATTCCACATTCTGGGCCCCTTGATTTGTAGAGCATTTCTAGTTTGATTAAGTCGTACTCTAGGAATATCAAAACTGTATTTATTTCTGGTGTGATGCTCATGGGTTCTGATACAACCTTCTATGAAGGTTACATCCTGGGCGGGGTCAGTAATTCGACCTTGGGGGAAGGACCTCAATAAAAGCCTAACGTGTATGAATACACTCCGGCTTCCAGTACCCCGACACAGTGAGTTATTATTTAATTGAATCAATTATTGGAATTTGCCTTTTTGAATTTAGCGGGTGAGAGGAGAGGTGAGGATTTGGCAGTGGTTGTCGGGTGGGCGTCAGATGGCGGTGGCGTCCACAGTGATGGCGGAGACCCACACCATGACAGAAGGAGACGTGCCTCCCGCAGACCGCGACCATCAGCCGCATAAGGAGAAGGCCCTTTACACCCTCAAAGGTACAGCATGGGGCGTGTTCCAGCAGGTTATTGGTCCTGGCAGCGGCGGGGCCTAGGGAGAGGTTGGTGTCAGGGGGCTAATACATGACACCAGACCGCACATGCCATCAGGTGTTTGAGTATAGGATGTTATAATCATAAATACAAATGATAGGCTAGTTGAAAATGTAATTTATATAATTAGTTATTATTTCTGATATTTCCGTAAGATGACATCTCGATGTGTACCAATCATAAGGACCCTGGACCATATATATATAGTAGGCCTACTGCTGATGTTTGCAAGTTTGGTAAAATAAGTATATACTGTATATGTTTATTTAGTATACATATATTATTATTATTACTATTGAACAGCAACATTAAAATAAATTTTTTAGGTGGGTTACTGCAAAGATGGTGCTGTACTAAGACTTAGGCTTTAGCCACAAGAATAGAAAGTTGACCTGCCTTCAACCCTCATTATTACATTACAGTTATTTATAAATTACTTTGGTCACAAATTCCCTGTGGTTTTGGAAAGTGAGCCATACTGTAAAAACGTGCAACACTATCTGAGGAGTATTTAGGAAATGATAAGTTCTTGCCTAACTATGCATAGCACTATGAATGATGTGCGTGTCTGGCAAGTAAATGGATGGGTGACTGGGCAGGGTTGCCCTTGGATAGGGTAACTTTAGTAAACCTAACAAGGGAGCAATTCCTACGTTACCACCTCGTGGTGTTATCTGGGTCGTGCTAATAATGGGCAACTTTCGCAACATTCCTAGGTAAATATTACATGTATGGTTAAATTGTACTCAAAATGGTTGACAAAGCTTGTTTTTCCATTGTCAAACCCAAGTACAGTATATTGTATTAGCTTAAATTGGGCTTGGCTGGGTTGGGTTGGGTCGGGTAAATTAAAAAAAAAAATTGGCAAACAGTATGTTACAAGATGTGACTTTTATCTGTACTACGTATGTGGTTCAAATGCATCCAGAACATGCCCAATTCCAGTAACTGATCCCAATATGGCATAACTAAACCAACAGACAGATAGACCCTTCCTGATATTGATATACCAGTGTAGGTTACACCATATGTTTTGCTGTTGTCAGGGACAGGAACACATCATGATTTTTGGTGTCCCTATCCAGTGACTATGATGTAATCCTCAGTACTTGAATACTCCCAGGTACCTATTAAATGCTAGGTGAAACAAGTCTACAGGGTTAAAGAAACATGATTAGGTTAAAATGTTTGATGGTCATGACTAACACTGCAAACCAGGCATGACAGGGTGGATCTCATTGAAACTTTCAAAATACTGAACAAGTTAAAGAGGATGTTGATTTGGATATTTTCTTCAGAGGTCTGATGTAACACAAACAAGGAGCAACAGTTTTAAGCTCAACAAGCCACAATGTAGGACTGAGAACAAGAGATGCTTTTTCACCCATAGGGTTATAAGTCCAGTAGTACAGTCGGGTTCATTACCGACGCATGATTGAGAATTCTGGATTCAAATCCCGGGTGGGACAGAAATGGTTGGGCACGTTTCCTTTCACCTAATGCATTAGTTCACCTAGCAGTAAGTAGGTACTAAGGAGTTAATCAGCTTGTAGGGGTTGCATCCTGGGCAGGGTCAGTAATTCATCCTGGGGGAGAGGGCTCGATAAAAGTCTATTATGTATGAATACACTATGGCTTCCTGTACCCCAACACAATGAATTATGAAATTATAAACACATGATTATTCTGCACATCTGATGGTGCTACATAGCCTTCCCAGCTTGGTGCCTTCTTTTGATAATTACTTACAAACCCATGGATCCACCTACCCGCCAAAGCTGTAAATGCCAAAACACTGTTGGGTTTTAAAATACAACTGGAAAAGATATGGGCAAATGGAGCGGACCTTTGACAAGCCGTCGACTTCCTGTCTTCGTCGAGGTCACTAGTACTAATATTAGTTTTTTTTTTTTTTTTTTTTTTTTTTATAGATATATACAAGAGTTGTTACATTCTTGTACAGCCACTAGTACGCGTAGCGTTTCGGGCAAGTCCTTAATCCTATGGTCCCTGGAATACGATCCCCTGCCGCGAAGAATCGTTTTTTCATCCAAGTACACATTTTACTGTTGCGTTAAACAGAGGCTACAGTTAAGGAATTGCGCCCAGTAAATCCTCCCCGGCCAGGATACGAACCCATGACATAGCGCTCGCGGAACGCCAGGCGAGTGTCTTACCACTACACCACGGAGACTGCTACCCAGTCTCGAGTGGCCCAAAGGTAAATGCGGATAAATTTGTCCTGATGATTTTTTTCAAGCTGGATTTTAAAGTTCAGCAGAGTTTTAACCAGTGTAAAGTATTAGCAATTATAATTACTAATGCCTTACACTAATTAAATAATTATTTATCAGTTCAGCAAGTTGTATATCAAATGTTTTAGGTTGATATGCACCATCGCATAGGGTACAGTCACCCATCCCCTGACATTAATGCTGAAAAGAACCCATAGTATATGCAACACTGCACAGCAGAAACCCTAAAATGCTCAGAACTCTTCAAATATACAGTATTGGAAAGAGTGTAGTTTACTATTAGAACAGTGATAGTGTGTAACGACCCACAGGAAGCACTTCATCTAGGCTAGTGAAGCAGTGGGGTGCTTTGGAGGATTAATTGCAGTGTGGTTGTGCTTGTGCTCGTTTCTGTAGTGCTGTGTATTCCAGTACGTGAGATCTAGTGAATGGTAATGTTTCTTTTTGTATCTTTAATTTTTTCTATACACTATTGCTTTTGTATTTTCTTGAGCTAATGCCTCCCAATCTCACAAGTTGAAAACTGGGCAATGATGTGATTAAAATTAGGTAATGGTAATGTCTTCTTACATAACATAGGATAAAAACCCACACTTGGCTGTTGAGATGCAAGTCTCGTCCTAACCTTGTACGCCCTAACCCTACAATACAGTTCATGTACTGTACTCGCTTTGACAAAGCACTCAGGAGAGTGCAAAAGACTTGGTATAAATCTTTACATAACATTTACAAATACAAAAGTGTAGGTTTTTATCCAATGTGATTAAAATTTTGCATTTCATTGACAAAACAGATTTACTAGTTCAGTACTGCATTACTACTGCTTGGTTTTGTTTGATAGTAATAGTTTTTATAATTTCAGTTTTAAGTGCAGTACGAGAAGCTCAACTTACTCATGGATTACGACACAGTGATTACCAGCTGTATCGGCAGTATTGCAGCAGGCGAATACGTCGGTTACGCAAAAATCTTGATTTTATCCAGGGCGATAAAAAGAACTTTCGGAAGAAGATAGTAACAGTAGATGTCATTAAGGATGATAGGTGAGTTTGGCAAATTTTATGGAAGGATTTTTTTTTTTTTTAATCCTTTTTTAATGTTTGGAATATACAGTTTGGCATGCTTGGCCAAAGGACTCTTGAAGTGTGCAAATTTTACTAGACTGCTATGGTTATATTTGGACTATATTTTAAGCAAATACTTTTTAATAAAATGTAAATATTCAAACTTGCAAGTTTACAAATTTCTTTTAATTTGTTCACCACCCATACAGGGTATGAGTATTTCATTACATTTATGCAACATGTTTGCATTTCTAGCTTTCACTTGTATCTTGTCCTACTTTCTCTCATTTTAAAGAGGCTGTCCTTGTCCACCTTGTCTATTCCCTTCATTATCTTATGTTATATATTGTGATTGTATCCCTCTCCAGTTATTCTATCCGTTAGGGTTGAGAGATCTAGTTCCAGCAGCTTATCCTTTTAGCTTAACCTTCTTAGTTCTGGCACCAATCTTGTTGCAAAGCACAGTACTTTTTTTTTTTTTTTTTTTTTTAGCAGGTGATTAAATGCATTAGACAAGATGGGGAAATAGGATTGTATGCAATTGACAGCCAGAGGGAGACACATAAGGGAAAAGATGGGAGACTGGCAAGAGCTAACTGGAGTTCTCAACAAGGTATGGACGAGGAAGGTAAAAAAAAAAGGCATAAAGACAGCCTTGAAGGATGCAGCCTTGTTGTGGAAGCCTTCATCTCCAGGTTTTTAAGGGGGGGGGGGCTTTCCAACAATTAATGATAGATGGGGTACAATGTTGCTTGGAAAACAATGGAGATATTAGCGATGTATAAAATACATTTCAATTTAGCCATAGAGCATTAGATGCTTGTCTAACAGATGAACCAATATAAATGTGTAAAAGTACTTTAGCATAAGAAAATGGAATGAACTGGATGAGGTGGTATAGCAGTGAACTCCATCCACTACTTTGAAAGTTTAGGAGAAAGTAGGCCAGGAGCCACTGTATTAGATAACCAGTGGCTGGATAGATAATGTCTGAGTTGAAGCTCAATCTTGCAACTTCAGATAAGCAGTGATCACTATACACACTAACTCCTCTCATCTTGCTTGCCAAAGGAGCAACAAAGATATGGTTGAAACTTCAGTTCAGACAATAAAATGGGCTGTTTTTAGCTTGAATTGTGGTACAGTACTTGAGAAATGCAAATTAAATGTTTTAATTGTAATAATAACTCTATCTTGATTTTAAGTGAAAAATAATATGTTGCTTTTCAAATATCCACCAGGTTTCTCTATATTCCTCTTATGACAATAGAACGCTATTGGGCGTATGCAATGCAGTTAAAAGAGGAGAGCCAGCAAGATCCTCGGAAGAAGTTTTCCATGCGTAACAAACTTCGAAATGCTGCTAAATATGTAGCAAATTTTGAAAAACTTGTTGAGGTAAGTTTTTATATACAATATGTAAAATATTGATGAATTTCTCATTTGTATTGTTTACATTTCACTCACTTGCACCTGACTCGCTCACTCTTATTCACATACTCAACTGTCAGGCACTCTCATACTTGCACTCTCAAAATATTATTTAGTTGACACTGGCAATACAGTCGTGGGTGTATAAGGACAAAAGTTATTGGAATAGAAATTAACCATTGAGCTATTAAAAAAGGAATATTTATAATGTGAGGGTAATGAGCCAAACTTGAAAGCAGTGTAAGTTAATTTTGTACATGTACAGAGCTTAGGTCGCACGAGCCTCAGGAGGTGGACGTCCGAGCCCCACACCTATGGGGTCCAGACAGACCGTCACAACCCCCTTTCACCCAAGGCCAGTTTCCTTCATGGCCCAGCAGAAAGAAGAGTAATAATTATTTATTACAATTTATTATAATAATAATAATTAACATAATTATTACTCTTCCTTCTGCTGGGTCATGAAGGAAGCCGGCCTTGGGTGAAAGGGGAGGGTGCTGTGACAATCTCTTGTCTGGAACCCATAGGTGAGGGGCTCAGGCAGCCCAAGTTCTTCTTTAGGAGGCTGAGGTTGTTCTTGCCCTTACTTGAGTGGTTCTTCTCTGCCCCCAACCACTGCAATCTTTGAGTCCCTGTGCTTTTTTTTTTTTACCAACTTCCAGGTAAACACCGGAGCTGGAGCCCCTAGGGCAGTTCGTTGTTGCCTTCAACCTTGTTCTGACAGTTCCTGTGACTGCTCTGGAACAACTCGTATTGGCGTTTGCCTTTTCATTGGAGACTTTTGGTGCTGTGGAGAGGGGGGGGGACGTGCTACATGGGTTACAGCTTCATTCCCCATATTAACCTACCCTGGCTTTGTGCCCTGGAGAAGCCACTCCAGACTGATGGATGTCTACTACTAATATTACTACCACTACTACTGAGTATTTAAATGTACTGTACTGTAAATGGCAAATGCAGTGCTTTGCATCATTTTGATGCAAAGGAGTGACTTGAACCAGTTTCCTGGTGATCCCAAGCATCTGCCTTGGTGTGGAGTTCTAAGATAATATTTGTGTTAGAAAGAAAACAGAATGGGATATATTTATGGTTCAACTGGAAAGAGCAGATCATTATATATAAATAAAAAATTAAAAAAAAAAAGGAAATAATTGTTAGCCTTGTTTACCCAAGAGAAGTTTGGACCAAAACAAGTGCAATAACTAAAAGGTTAATATTATGAACACTTTGGGAACGTCTTACCCTGGATTATCGGTGATTTTAAGAGATCACATGGCTTTTTTATTTTTTAAGTATATTTAGCACTTGCTGGTTGTACCTTTTTTCACAGTTTGTACTTATTTTAACTGATCACTTTAACTATTAGAGGGCAAGGGCAACTCAACACAGCCATACCTTTATATTATGTATAGTGGAACTCCCTGCCAGCTATTAAGTGACCAGGTGTACATTTGCTCAAACAGCCTGAATTTCTGTATCTTTAGTGTTATCATCCAGCTTGGGTCCACAACATATACCTTGGATCAGTTTTATTAGTTTATGGTTAGGTATTTTTTTAGACTTGCACCAACAATGATTTACAAGTCAGATGACAGCCATTAATATATTAAAGATAAATTTCTCAAACTATATTGGATTTTATGCATTATCTGACATTAAAATAGAGGTAACTTAAGGCATAAATGACAAATAGGAAATAAAATTACTAGAATACTAATTAACAAATAGCTTTACTCTGTATACAACTGGGCACTAATGCACGCTTCCACAATACTGACTAATCTCGTTTATCTGGATCATATGGGGCCCACCCCTCACCAGATCATGTGTGTTCATTTACATAACCTAATACAATACTAAAATTACTGGACATGAGCTTGGCAAGATTAGTTTTGACTGCCAGCTGCTGAAGCATTTCTGGTTGATGTGGTCAGATCTGCACTTAGTTTTTCACCGAGAGTTTTCCCCTTCACGTTTTTTGAGCTTTGCTTTAAACCTGGAAATCCAACCATCACTTGCTTTGAAATCTGGTATTTCAAGGCTGGCTGCAAACCTGCTTGTAGCATTTCTTATTTCTTCACTGCAAATTGTCATACCCACTGTGGTGCTGTGCAAACCACTTATACAGCCTCATCCAACTGTGCCTTCTGTGCAGGCTTCAAAGTTTTTCTAGTACATCCTCTACTAGTGCATGCTCCCTCACTAGTAGCTATGTATTTCATATGATCAACTTTGTTTCCTTATACCAAAATCCTTGGCAACTCTTGGTTACTGGCCATTTTCACAACGTTCAATCACACGTAACTTTAATGGATAGCACAACTTTCTTCCTCATGACACCTCCAGGATAATTGCAGCTGCTTACATAGTCTTGGCAAATAATTATCATAGTTACTATGACAACAAAAAGGTTGAGACAATTTTTCACTAATGGAGCGACACTGGTATCACATGCAGGCAGAGAGCATGTTTAGGTTGACTGAGCCTGGATGAGTCAACTTGGAGCATTTTACGTAGGGCTGCCAGATGTAAAAAAAATTACACTAATTTTGGCAGGGAAATATGCTCTGCAGCTTTTACAGTTTTTGAAAAGTTATTATTTACTTTAATATTAGATTTCTTTATTTACTGTAATGAATGGTTTTAATAATTTTTTATAAAGTAATCACAGTAATCAAATCGTATAAACCTCCACATGCCTCTCGTTCCCCAAACTGTCCCTTTGAGCTATCCCCCCCATTACTTCCTACTTGGATAATTCTCATTCCGTGCATCTCCAGTGACTTCCATATAGGATTAATACAGTATAGCCTAATGCTATTCTTGGTAATCAGGCTAAATTACCAGTTACAGTATCCAGATTTCTGTCAGGATATGACAATGTTTGGCAGACAAATATCCAGACTCGATTTTAGCTGGATAACCCAAAGCCCAAATAAATGGGCTCTGGATAATTGAGCTCATACATTATAATCACTATGCTCAGACATGATTTATTGAGTCTGAGGAGCTTTGATTTTATATAACCTTAACCTAGATATCGACTTGAGAATGGTCCAGGACGGACCGAAACGTCGTCGTCCCTTCAATTTCTAGTGTGGTCTGGTCAACTTAACCTAGAATTATCCCTTCACCTCACACCAAATACTGTAAATAAAAATAATTATTCTCTTCTACTTCAGGCTGGGCCAGACAAGGGTAAAACCCGCTAAATTAAATACTTTACATTTACTGGTACTGCCTTTGTGCCAATAGAATACTGATAGTACTGCGTGTGAATGAATAAGCTTTTGAAGAACACTATTTTTAGTACAACTGTTTGCTCAATCAACTACTGTATAGTTCTCAGGGTTGTAGTTTTCAGCGTTAATGTCAATATGTCCAGTGATTGTTTTCCAGATATGAATAATGGCATACTCTTGTTGGCTAAAACTCACAGCTTGGGTGCCCTGATTGACAAAGCATTCTAAAGCACTTCTGGTCTTACTATGTTATTCACTGTATCTAAGATATCTAGTGTTAATTGAATTCTTGCCCCCTCCCCCCTTAATTGGAAACACCTGGTCTGCTTGAAACTCTGATCTCAAACCTAGTACAATATAATGTGATTCAAATGCCTACAGATACAACAGGTGACTACAACAATCTTTTTAACAAATGCACTATTTAAGAGGACTTGGCTGAATCCATGCAAATAGGCATTTCAAATGAGGTAGGGTACTGAGACTCCATGACACTTGTCATACATAATACAAGCATGAACATGAGTCAGTGAATCAGTCTTGATATTCCTTGGAAATAATGTAGTTCATGTATTTTAAATTGAAGAAACTGGTAATCCTAGAGTTAAATTGTTTGGGAGAAGTGTAATCTTTGAAAAAGTTTAATGTACCTTTATTGGCTTATGGAGTGAATGTTATTCTTGCAGTGTTTATAGTTTTAATGTGTGTGTGTATAGTGGGGCTAGTACTGTAATATTCAAATGCATGCTTGATGTGGAACTAGGTCTTGTTTTGATTTAGTGGAATAATTAGTGATCATATTACAATGTTTAATTGTTCAGGTTGAATATAAACATACTAGTTACTGTGATGTGTTACAATGTGTCAGTGTGGGAAAATCTACTGTGACATGTTAAACGAGCCGTAGAATGGCTCCGTGTAATAATCCTTGATTATGGCAATTCAATATGGTTTCTTGACAGGAGAGTGGCGTGTGTGATGCAAGAACTCAGCTGGAGGTGCAGGGGTACTCGGCGTGGCTGCAGGGAACAGTTCTATTTGAATTGGCTGATTGGACTCATGAGTGGGCAAAGCCAGTAGAGTTCTTCAATAAAGCCTTGTAAGTGCCATAATTTTTGTTGATATATTAATAATACAGTAGCTGGGGGGGGGAGTCGACTCAGTTGACAGAAAAAAAAGGGAGTACCAAATGAGTGGGTTTGAATCCTCCTCAAGGCTCCTACTGATTTTCTCATTGATACATCACGCTAATGTGATTTTTGTGCTCTTGGTTGACGAGTTCTTTCTAATAAAGCTAATAATCTAAGCTATCTGATTGCAATAAAAAGTATTAAGAAAATATATAGACATGATTAGTATCCGTAAAACTAATATGGGAGAAAACTATAAAAATGTTTGTGGTTTCTTACTGATTTTGTTTTCCCACCCACTCAAGATTTTTTTCAAGCATTACAAACATTTACTCATTATATAAATGCAGTACTGCTAAACCTCCGGCTCGGTTTTTAGTTCTTGCCTGTGTGTGTAAGTGCCGCATGAGGATAAATTTCAAACGGTTCGGTACAATACTGTTTGCTTTAAATTGCATCGATAATTATATTTTAATTACAACATGTAAAATACTGTAAAAATGATATACCATAATCATTGTTGCTGAGTAAATTGTCAGTGCAAGGATAATGCAACAAAGAATACATGGAAAATGATGCAGAATTTTTATCACCTTTCTCACATAATTGCATATGTTGATTGTTCATTAGAGTACTGGTAATTGGTTCAAAAATTAACCTTAGTCTACAGTGCAGGTCAGGCTTTATGGTGATAGATTGACCTGTGGAGCTTTTACAGACCTTATTGGTTATGGTTCACAGACTCACATGACCATTGCAGTCTGGATGATTATGTGCGTACTTGAGAACTGTTCACAGTTCTTGTGAATGCTCAATCTTTATTTTGGCACAAGATGCAAATGCCTGGCTGGTTAGGATGCCCCCTAGGTAATCCTAGTCTCAAAATCGGTTACAAGGGTAGAAAAACTCAAAGCTGCTCACAGATAAGCCACAAGTCCCAATTTCTAATTTATTTTAAATTGTTTGATAAATAGGTACACCATTCAACTGCTACAAGTTCTAATTTAGGTTACATTAGGTGGTGGTTGTGCGGTGATGGGCTCTCCAGGGCACCCAAAACTACTTTTTGCAGGGGGAAGGGGAGGGCCTGGGCGCTGAATCTAAACTGGATGCCCACATTCACCAAGTAGTAGTTTGTGAAGAAGTTGGCAAGTCATATTTCTGGGAAAACTAGTAGGGTAATGCTTTAGATGAGCTATGGAAAAGGAGAGCTCTAAACCTGCTAACTAATCACTAGTAGTTGTACCCACCTGTGCAAAAATATACTGTATATAATTGCACTGAGTACAATTGGTATCAGGCAATGCTAGAGAGCTAGGTATTCCTTCATTCCTATTGACATGGGGTATGCTCACATGTATAAGGTTGTGTACCTTTTCATATAAATGAATAAATCCATGTAAAACTCTAATTCTGCAAATTACATTATTTCTTCAGGGCGATCTATAGCAAGTTAACTAATGCTGTTTCGGAGGATGAGTCTGAGGTGTATGGAGGTCGGCTGCAAGAGCTGGAAGTCAAACTTAGGTTTTGCCGGCATCACTTGGGAGACAGGTCTGCCACAGATACCCTACTGGCTATGCGTGGCAATGAAGCTCTTGGTGACAAGTTAGATGTTAGTAATACTTTTTATTATAATGTTTGATATGTAATTAGATGTTTTGTAAAACATCAGTGTCCACGTTTGCCAAGCAAGTACTGTATAATACAAACTGTTTCGGAGAATGTTTTATTTATATTGTGTAGCATCGTGATTTATCTAGATTTTTAGTATTTGTTCTCCGATATACAATTTTGATGTATATTGCATGTGGCTAGGATGTATCATGATTAAAAGAAGGTAATATAATAATCTTCTGTAAGTATAACTCCATTGCATGTGTGAAAGTTGTCTAGAAGTAGCTCTGAGAATTCTATCTAAATGAACCTTCCCCCTTCCTTTCATGTGATTTGTGATATTTCAGCCTTTAGGCTGGGTGCTAGGGGTATGATGGTCATTCATTGTGTAATCTGGACTTTAGTAGATTTTCCTGGAGGGTAAATATTAGTGAAGATCTTGTATTTTATAAGCTTGAAGGTTTTAGGAACTTTTTAGCTTACATTCTGCACTGAAGTTATTTCTTATGTTTTGGAAATAGAATGGATTGATTGATTTACAAAGCTGTTAATTATTTTTACAGCTTATTTAATTCAGAGGAACCTCATTTAATGTTGGGGTTAGGCCCGTGATGGCCTTCACTTCAACTGAAATGATGTTAAGTGAAACTCAAAACCTCAGAGGTCCAGAGGTCGCGTGTATCATTACTGCCGAAATATCAGTAAGGGGTTGTGTTCCTAAGGTACTAAGAAAGGTGTTGTTGGGTAATTTTCCTCTTCTACACATTAGGGTATGGTTAAAAGAAGTAGTAAGGAAATGAAACAATGGCATGATTTAATTATAAACTTATAAAATGTTACATTCCAGATATAAAAATGTGAGAAAGAGAATAAAGGACTATGGTGAGTGGTGTAGTCGGTTTGGGATTATTCATCTGATTCAAGAATGGGCATAGGGTCATTTGGATCAAATGTAATGTCTTTTTTTTCTCTCTCTCTCTCCTCTGCTCATGACATTATTATTATTTTCTTTGTGTTCTTCCTCCTTGCCATTTTATTTTTTTGATCTCATCATGGCTGCCATCTTTTTTCCTTGCTCTTTTCATTTCTTGTTCTCATCATTGGCCGCCGTCTTTCTTTCATTCCTTATCGTCGTCTTTTATCTGTCCTAAAAGCAAAATAACTAACCGAGGCGATCTTCAACATGGTTCACCTGTACATGGTTGTGTGTACAGTTAAGTAATTGCCTTTGTCATTAACATTTAAGACTTGCCAGGGTTTTTGGATTGTTTATATTTTTATTTATATTCCTTCCTTTTGTTTGCTTGACAGAACCTGCTTGCATCAGCTCGAGAAAGACAAGCGGCTACCTTGAGCGAGGTGACCTGGAAGGGTCGCACTGTGGCTGTTAAACATGAGAAAGTAAGTATCTCTTATTGTAAAACGTTTAGGCATTCAAATATGTTATCCATAATTAAATGTGTGTTTCATAGGGGTATGATGTCCTTACATACATGATGTGATACTGGTTAAATGGTATCACATCATGCTTGTAGTTTACTTATAGATAAATATATGATTTAACTCTTGTGCAATGTTTGAGGTTACATGAGGAATTATTTGAAAGTGCACTGAAAAATAGTATACAAAACAAGGTTTGTCTTCTATACTGCTAAAAGCCATTATGCCCTAAGCATAGGAACAATATCACAAAAATTGTCACTTTTCAATATGGCAGATGTTTACTAGAGCCCTCATGTACAGAGTAGGAATTTCAAATGTTGCAAAGTTCCCAAAACATATTATGTGATGTGCACCAATGGTCGAACATCTTATGATGTCTTGCATGCCACTTGTTGAACATCATATGATGTCTTGTGCACAACTGGTTGAACATCAGGTGATATCTTGCGCACCACTGATTGAATGTCACACAAAATGCACAGGGCCAGGGATAACAATTGTGACCACTGTGGTGAATGTGCATTTTAATCTAATGTATTCAATGCCTGTTAAACAATTTTGCTACGGAAGTGGATCCAGAAGTGTGACACGCATAGAGGTTTCTTATTGCATATCGGAGTTCTATTTATCAGGTGCACTAGGATGGAAATGTAGAAGAGGTGATAAGTTCACTACAAATTTTGTGAAAGGTTATGGTAAAGTGGATTTGTTAAATCCTTTGAACAGGATTGGAACTGCCACTTTATAGTCATTATGTGCAAGTGTCATTATGAAGCAAGTGTGCAGAGTGTATCAAGCAAACTGAATAAGAACTTTTGAAGCGATGTGTGATGAACTAGAACAATGAATGGAGTGTGAAGGATTGGTTTTATATATAAATAATTTAAATCTTGATGCAAGTGGTTCTTTACATTATACAGGTATTAGTGGGAGCTTCAGCCAACTAGGTATTCAGCGTATTTATAGTGCATAGCATTAGAGCATAGTTTTTAAAGCTCCAGTATTTATTGGGTGGTGTTGCTGTTTTATGTATTGATGGAAAATTGATTGGGAATAACTAATTACAATACTACAGGTACATTAATTTTTTTTTTTTTTTTTTTTTTTTTTACATTTTTTAGGTTCGTCTATTTTTGCTCAATGAGGGTCTGATTCATGAAGAATTGGAGAAAATAAGTAGTGCAGATGAACGTGCCGAGATGTTAGACAAGCTGCTGATGGAGTGTAAGGATGCTATCCAGTTGGTGCGAGATGATTTAAAGAATGACCCTGTAAGAAGAAATTCATTCTCAGTTTCAGTGTATTGAAGAATTTTGTTTGAATATAAATTTTTAAGGAAATTAAATGATATCTTTCTAAATGATTTAAGCGTTGATAAGCTACATGTATTTAACTTAATTTTGGTCAGTTATTTGTTGGCAATTTTTATTTCCAGACCTTTAAACCCAGACAACTGTCCTCTGATGGCCCAGTTTCTCCTCTGCACTTCCTCCATACTTACTTGTCATATCACCGACTGAATCTTACTGTCCTGCGCAACGTTGCTCTTGTTGACACGTACCAGAAGATAGTCTCCGGGGAAATTGAGGTACGTCTTGGGTTTATATTTGCTTATCTCTGTGCTTGTGACTTTGCACGAACCTCATCTAATGCTTAAATTTTGCCACTTATTTAAATTCTATCCAGTTTTCTCATTTTTTATCATATGGAAGAGGAATAATTTATGTACCTGTTCATATAAAACTGCTATTGTATGGCTTAATATCTTTGCCAAGGAAAAATTTGTAATTTTTCCCCTCAAACTGATTTGATACATTAGAAATTTTTGCTCTAATTCACAATCACTTTGCAAATAAGCTGAAACAGTTTTCAACCACTTTTTTTTATTCAGAGAAAATAAATATAATATATATATATATATATATATATATATATATATATATATATATGTCGTACCTAGTAGCCAGAACTCACTTTTTGGCCTACTATTCAAGGCCCGATTTGCCTAATAAGCCAAGTTTTCCTGAATTAATATATTTTTTCTAATTTTTTTCTTATGAAATGATAAAGCTACCCATTTCATTATGTATGAGGTCAATTTTTTTTTATTGGAGTTAAAATTAACGTAGATATATGACCGAACCTAACCAACCCTACCTAACCTAACCTAACCTATCTTTATAGGTTAGGTTTGGTTAGGTAGCCGAAAAAGTTAGGTTAGGTTAGGTTAGGTAGGTTAGGTAGTCGAAAAACAATTAATTCATGAAAACTTGGCTTATTAGGCAAATCGGGCCTTGAATAGTAGACCAAAAAGTGAGTTCTGGCTACTAGGTACGACATATATATATATATATATATATATATATATATATATATATATATATATATATATATATATATATATATATATAAATCAATTGCACACATTTTCATAAATGAAATTTTGGATATAATTTTTTTCATCTATACTGTACTCTAGAGCATTGCTTTCCTTCCATTCTAACACAATTCATAGCTATGACACAAAATATATCTTCAGAAACAAGTGTGTGAACAAGACATCGCTGAATGGTACAGAAGGGCAGGCTGCTATACTGTAGTGTTAATATTTTCTGTATTGCTAGCTATTTCTGAGAAAGGGAACTTAAGAGGTCTCCTTTTAGCCACTGAAAATTAAAATTAGTACAGTATGGTCCTGTGTAAAATTTTGCACTTGCACACACACAGACAATTTTTACATTTAAGGTTGAAGACGGGAAAAAGGCCCCCAAGTTACAAGACCTGGTTCGTTTGCAAGAAATTATAATTCAAAATCTGAAGGAAATAACTCATTTGGCTGGATTAGAAGATGACTTGCAGCTAAAACAAAGTATTGAGGGACAGATATTGGCCTACAAAGCACACAGGTAGGTAATAAACTGGTGTACAGTATTTTTCACATTTGTGCAAAACAGTAGATGATGAATTTAAATTGTTTTGCATTTTGTAAAATGGATAAAACTTTTAATTTCATGAAAATTTATATATTGAAAATACAGGGCTTGGGCTCGAGTCAACACTGGTACCTCTTATACAATGTTAGGGAAGCGGAACTACTTGTGGGTGTGTGAAATATGATGTACATTTGTAAGTTGCTTCTCAGTTTGGGGACGAATTAATCACCGTGTGACTTGACACAGCAGGTTAAGGGTACTTCAGTGGTTTCTTAAGGTATATTGTATGTGTGGGCAAGTGTAGTTTTGTACTGGTAGCATTGAAAAGTATCGGAGCATTATACTGGGAATTATACACTATAATTTTAAGAATTATTAGTGATTAGACATAGGGAGCAGATGTACTTGTACTTGAAAAATACAAAACACACAACCATAAAAGTCTTTTTGGAAATACAGGGTTGAAGAATTGAGCATATACATATACAGAATTGAGCACCGTTTCAATATACAGTGTATATATACATATATAATTATTATGTAATAGATTTTTTAAGGTTTTACACTTTTTTAATATTTTTACAGGTGTTACTTTGTTGCTGAGAGTTTTGTCAAGATGGAGAAATGGGCAGAGGCACTTGTTTTGTACGAGAGAACATTATCCCACATTAAAGCTGCAGACAAGAGTCAGATTGAGGTAAGAACTGAATTATGTTTTCAATATTTGTGTTAATTATACATATTTGTTAATTTAAATTCAAATTTTTATTCAGGTAAAAGTACATACATAGATGATGAGTTACAAACATATTGTTGGATTTATAGATAGAACTTGTACATACAATATCTAAAACCACTAATATGCATAGCGTTTCAGGCAAATTTTGGGCAAATACATTTATATCCTGAGCAGTAAATGAATATATTAAGCATTTGTTATAAGGATATAATGTTTTAGGATCTTTATTCTATTCCACAGCCGTCGATGATAAAAGGACTGGATAATCTGTCTGCGTTGGTAGATAGTAAAAAGTTTACTGCCCATGCACAAGCGATTCTTGCTTCAGAATCTTCAACTCCTAATGTGTCTAAGCTTTCAATAAAGGATAAGAAGGTAATTAGGGGTGTGCTTAATTTTTTTCTTTGTATCTCTGAACTCTTAATTTTCCACCCTAGGAGTAAAAGCAGAAATTATAATTTTGAGCAATGTGTGCTGTTTACAATAGTTATTTTTGCATACAGTTTGCCATATTACTGTATATGTAAAAAGGGCAATATTGTTGTGCATTAGGTACAGTACTTCATTACTCTCTTGTATTTGTTGGGTTTAAAATACTATTGGGATATTGGCTGCTTAATTTCAGCAGTCTGTATAGGGAATTAATGTATTGATATTAGAAATTGCACAGATCTGTTGCCCATTTTAAATTAAGTTGTATGTAGTTCAAAATCCTCAGTTTTTTTAAAATGCTTTTACTTATTGTTTGAAGTAATATATTATCAAACTGATGTGTTAAAGCAAAGATATTTTGATTTTGTTATCCAATTTGAATTTCTCTACTTGATCCTAATTTTTGGCAGATGCTTGTTGACCGTTTGGATGAATACATTGAAGACCCAAGTTTAACTTCGAACAATCCTTGTGTAGCTCAAGTGCCCTCGCCCATGACTTCTGTGCCATGCAAACCCTTGTTCTTTGATCTTGCTCTAAACCATGTTGAATTTCCGTCGCTTGAAGATAAAATAGAGAGCAAGAAGCAGGCAGCGGGAGCATCTGTTGGTGGCCTTACTGGCTTGGTTAAAGGTCTTTGGGGTGGCTGGGGAAGCAAAAACTGAAATTTTTATTGTAATACAAAACAAATACCTTTAATTGTTGCTAGTATTTTTAAGGGTACAATGAATGCTTTGGAGTTGTAGTGTAGTAATTGCTTGCTGGGTGAATGTTGTGTGTAATAAGTAAATTCATATTGTAGGTTAGGTGCAGATTGGCTCATTAAGATACGAAAGATATTGTTTATAACGTGCCTTCTGCTGGATTTTTTGTAACAAAAGTTGAGCTTGGCTAGGAATCCTATACTTCATCTTTTACTGGAAATACTGTAATACAAATGTTCACACTATTCTGGTACATTATTAAAAAAGAATGGTTAAGTAACCAAGGTGTAGTTTGCATTTAAAGTAATAAACATTTTCTTTAATAATTTTTCAAGGATTTATTGAAAAAAAATTATTAATTTATTAAAAAAATAAATCAGTGATAAGGTTTATGAAATATGATTTTGGCTGGATGGCCTAGCAAGGCTGATGGTATCTGTTGCATATATGTAAAGTTGTTTGAATATTGATACATTATATGGAATCTTCTGAAGCAAGTTTGAATATAGAAATTGTTAAACAATTTATTTAAGCAGTTGACACATTATTTTTCTCTGGCATATTTTTTTTGGAAAACAAATATTTGTCAAATTATGTTGAAATGTTAAATTGTTTATTAAATGATTTGGACCATTTATAAAGATACCTAAAAGCATTTTTTGTTTAATTTACCTTTATCATACGACTTCATATTAAAAAAAAGATGCATTGAATCCTAGGAAAAGGACTATTTGGTGCCTTCTTTTGATAATTTCCCAGTTTGATGCCTTCTATTGATAATTACTTAATTACTTTTGATAATACTATACTTATGTTGGGTTAGCAAGTTTAACGTGCATCAAAGACCTAGCTAATTTATCTTAGTGTGGAGGACTAGGCAGTCATACTGATGTGCTCTCTGATAATTCTTGAGAGTAAATGGAATGATTTCAAGACTGATAATTAAATTACATTGATATATTGTGGTGGTTCTCTGATGGCATGTAGGAGTTGAGGATTTAAGAGATAAGCGAGGGGTATCAAGTGGCACCAATCTTTCATTAAAATTCTCTCTGGGGGACAGGGAAGGTTGCTGTGGGTCGTTGCTGAGCCACAGCAACGCATGGCCGGGTATTACTAGTAATGATGATAACCATGGGATGTGAAGTTCCGAAGCTCATACACTGTTTAATAAATGTAAACAAAGCTGTCATGATTGAGGAAAGACGAACAGGTTGTGTGAATGCTTGATGAATCCTACCCTGGTTCTCAATTGCTGCTGGATGCATAATGAAGGAATAGTTCCTGAAAGCTATCAGAATATATACAGCTTTGCAGTATATATTGGTCTGCCCTCCCTACACACATTCATGGTTCACTGGTGTTAGCTTCTCTGCCTCCCTCATCCTGTTAGAACTCTGCCTAGACTAGCATTCTGCAGCCAGGTCCCACCCTCCACCAGGTTGAAATAGTATTGGCGACTCCCTAGGACCGTCCCTACAACATGTCGGTAAATTAACACTTAGAAGAGATATCAGGATAGGATATCCTGGATATGTCCAATGGACAGGATAATAACTGGTAAGTGGACAAGATAAGAGCTGGGATTAGAGGACAAACTAAAAGCTGGAATTCGAAGGATATAAGCTAGGATAAGATGGCAGAGTGAAGGAACGGTCCTCAGTTACTTGGACCATCGTAGTTGGCAGCAAGAAGCAAGTCCACCATTGTACTGACCAACTGAAGTAGCTGGGCCTAGCAACCGACAATTGGATTATACTCTGTTGTATAATACGTATGTTTTTAGAAGCTGGTTTTGTAATACTGTACCTCTTGAAGGTTACAGAAAGATCAGGGAAAATGATTCACAAGCTTGTTTTAAAGCATTTATTTACAAGAAAATACAAAACTATTCCATTGACAATTACGTCTTGTAGTGCTGAATTGTTTGTTTAAAGCTTTATCATATTACTGGTCACTACATCAATGATCGTTTTAATAATACACTCCTTTAATGATATCATACTAAAGTTTAGAGATATACCCACACACACACACGCGCGCGCGCACACCCTCTTCAAGCTATTACTAGTAATGCTAGTACTAGTAATAGTACTAGTAACTAGCATATTCTACAGCTTTTGTCTCCAGTATGCTCGGTATGTCCACTCTGAGAGCTTTCAGTGCTCAATTCTCTACTAGATCAGTACATCCAAGTATATTGGGTAGACGAAGTGCACCTAAGCATTGGGAAGCCTAAGTGTACCCAAGCATTGAGTACCCGAAGGAGTAACTTATATAAATCGTCTTCATAAAGGCCCTGAACATAATGGCTTTTCCCAACATAATCTGGAGCCAAAAACAACTAATTTTGGGATCTGTCCACCCGCAAGGCTCCCCAAGTTGAATGTGCATGTTCCCTTTGACAGTAAAGAAAATATAAATATGTTTATTTTAATTAGTTGAGTAACAACAGTTGATCAGCGAAGTTGCAGAATCTGTGGTGAGAGTAATGGACACCGCCTTGACCACTATCTACGTGAATGTGAACACCTGAGAAACATCAGAATTATGTGTAGAATAATAAACCCCACATTGTTTGAGTTAGGAAAACACTATTTGTCAAATATTGATCCTGTTCTTAAAAGATTTCCCCATTTTGCACACGCAAGATAACGTAAGTTTTTAAGGGTTGATAGATATTAATCTTCTTGTTTCAGGAGCTGTTCACTTGAGATAGTTAAGCAAGTCTCAGCTGTGTCTGGGTACGAGTGATAGGATGAACAACCCAGCGGGTTTTCTTCCTGTTGGGGAGTGTTGTACATGCTGCTATGGCGGTATGTCCACTCACAAGACGAGTGGCGGTGCCCAATAAACTCGCCCCTCGGGGCAAAATTAAAAAAAGAATTATCATGCGGCTCTGGATACTATATTAGATGACATGTTGGCAATTATGATTCATTGACAAACATAACGCGTATTCCGAGTGGTCAAATGTAATGAGAAGATATATCACGCATACTGTGATTGGCCAAACACAATGCAAGGGTATATACCACGGAATATAAATGCTGGCTTCATAGCATGGGTCAAATACACCAAGACAGTGTACAAAACATAGTTTATATACGTAACGATTACAGTGATTGGTCGAATGTATTTAAGAGCGTATCACATAATTCGTCGAGACCAAAGCCTGTGCTCGTTTGTGAGAAAACACCATGAAATATAACGTTTAACATATGGAGGTAGTTGGCAGCAAAACAAGTTCAGGAAATTGTTATCGTCACAATATGGCAGTTTAACTGGCAATAATGTTACTGTTAACATGAAAAATACCAAATATTCGTTGAAGCGTAAAAATGTGTGCGTGTGTGTGTACTCACCTAGTTGTGCTTGCGGGGGTTGAGCTCTGGCTCTTTGGTCCCGCCTTTCAACTGTCAATCAACTGATGTATAGGTTCCTGAGCCTATTGGACTCTATCATATCTGTGTGTACTCACCTAGCTGTACTCACCTAGTTGTGCTTGCGGGGGTTGACCTTTAGCTCTTTGGTCCCGCCTCTCAACCGTCAATCAACAGGTGTACAGGTTCCTGAGCCTATTGGGCTCTATCATATCTACACTTGAAACTGTGTATGGAGTCAGCCTCCACCACTGTGTGTGTGTGTGTGTGTGTGTGTGTGTGTGTGTGTGTGTGTGTGTGTGTGTGTGTGTGTGTGTGTGTGTGTGTGTGTGTGTGTGCGTGCGTGCGTGTGTGTGCGCATGCGTGTGTGTGCGCGTGCGTGTGTGTGCTCGTGCGTGTGTGTGAAGGTGTTCACATTCCCTATGAGCATGACAGAATAATGACACCCCCTCACATCTCAGCCACGCTGCTCATACACCACCTATACTATAATTAAGTAATTACCAACAACCACAACGACGATAACGATGTACAGACACACAAATAACAATAAACACAGTACTCGCGAACAATATAAACTTAAGCTCTAGACTAGGGCCTGAACCTCACTTATGATCTGAAGTTCCTTAGCCAGCCCGTGGCCTAAGACTGTATCGAACCGTCCTTGGATATATATACATATATATATATATATATATATATTATACCCTCCCGCCTTATATATATATATATATATATATATATATATATATATATATATATATATATATATATATATATATATATATATATATATATATACTTTAGAACACTTTCCCACCAGGAGACTCGAACCCTAGCCAGCACAGAAGCCTTCCAGCAACTGGCATAACAGGTACGCCTTAACCCACTCCACCACCTGCTCAGACCTCTGGGTGATCAGAGTGGGTTAAGGCGTACCTGTTATGCCAGTTGCTGGAAGGCTTCTGTGCTGGCTAGGGTTCGAGTCTCCTGGTGGGAAAGTGTTCTAAAGTTGTATACTTCACTCTCGTGTTTAGGAGAGTTGTGCCTTATATATATATATATATATATATATATATATATATATATATATATATATATATATATATATATATATATATATATATATATATATATATATATATGTAATATATTACAATTCTCATTAATGTACATAAATTACATAGTACTGTAGTTTATTACGTTAGTGAGACCTTAAAGAGAAGGAAGGTACATCCAGAAAGATATATATAGCTAAGATGTAAACAAGACGTTAGACGTGAGAACGTAAGGTCCAGCAAGACAGACGTTTCGCTCATGAATTGGATATATAGACGGGGGAGAGCATCTGAATTACGACCCATTTAGACGAATAAGAACGATTTAGAAGGGAAGTCCCACTATTGGGTAAGAGAAAACGGAGAACCGTTCTCTTCTACGTGTCAAAGCGAGAGATATATTTGTTGAGGCGAGAGGGTAGAGGTGAACGCTCGTATAATTGCTCGGCGTGAAGCTTAATACAATGTAAAATAAGGTAGTTAGGCTAGACGTGGGTAGTAGGCCTATGGACAGTAGGTCTGTCATCTTTACTGGATACTTAGGTTGTCACAAGCCTCTTACTTTGTTGGTTACTAAGGCCACCACAGGCCCCCTGACCAACATGAATGCACACTGAGACGTAAGGCTCAATAGTTTCTGCTTACAAACCTTTGATTACAGCCATTACTAGTTTACTTACCAACCAACAAGTGCACATTAGTCTTCATCATACTGTACTTCAAAACTAAAGTTAACTCGGTATAAATGCTGAGAAAGTTGGGTATACCTCTCAGTGTACCTCAGTGTACCTGAGTATTGTGCTCCTGGCGGTCTGGGTTCGAGTCACTTCTGGGGTGTGGAGTTTTCAGTCTCATATATATATATATATATATATATATATATATATATATATATATATATATATATATATATATATATATATATATATATATATATATATATATATATATATATATATATATATATATATATATATATATATATATATATATATACATATATATACATACATATATATACATATATATACATACATATATATACATACATATATATATATATATATATATATATATATATATATATATATATATATATATATATATATATATATATATACACATACATAATATAACATATCCCTTGGAGCCAATTAGTAGGCATCCATCAGTCTCAGGAGACTATCGAATTACGTACTCTCCAGGGCGCAAAGCCAGGGTTAATTGATACGGAGGAGAAGCTGTTACCCAAGCAGCAGGTCTCCCTCCCTGCAGGCAGCAGGGTAGGTTCTGAAGTATATTAGGTAATGCTACACTGAGGAATAGGTACTTCTACACTGAAGTGTACGTACTGCAACACCGAGGTGTAGGTACTGCAACACTAAGGTGTAGGTAAATAACAATAAGAAAAACATGGATAATAATTATAATTGATAACGTAGACATATAAAATGAAGTGTTGAAACATCTTATTGATATAAGATGCTCACGCAGTATACTTCCCAAGACCAAACACTCAGACACCCAACTTCATTATCTCCGAGTATGTACACACGAGACCACAATGTGCCAATTGTTTCTTAATTCAACTTTTATATTACTGAATTTCTTCTGAATTTCACTCAACCATCTAAAATATGCCTGAAGAGTCCATGGTCTACGTAGCAGAACGACATTCTCGTACTTTTGTGGCCTGGGTTCCAGTCTCCAATGTTTTAAGAGAATGAAAGTAAGCTTACACTACGTTATGACCAGGAAGACGCTTGTGAGAGGACCCGCTAGTGCTCTGAAGATCTTCATCCCCAGTGTGGCGGGCTTAGTGTCTTGGTGGAACGTGACTTTTGTTTGTCCTAATGCGGCCTGAAGCGAAGCAGGGTATGGATTACCTGTAAAATATATTGTATATTGTATATATTATATATATATATATATATATATATATATATATATATATATATATATATATATATATATATATATATATATATATATATATATATATATATATACCTCTAGCTGGAAGAAGGGGGACCCATAGCCTCGGAGGAAACCACGCATAACGCATTAGAGGGAATGTTTAGATCCCCTCCAATACAGTTTCTGTGTGCTTTTCTCCTACCACCCCCTTCCTTTTTTATTTTTTGTTCTTTATTATGTATGTGATGGTTACAAGTTATACATGGGTCGATACAAAAATAATAATGCAAAAGGTGCTTAAAGGTTATGGATCTCTTGAAAAACACAACAATGGGAAACATTGATGAATGTCACAGACGGTATATATATATATATATATATATATATATATATATATATATATATATATATATATATATATATATATATATATAGTATTGACAGATACGTATTGCAAGATCATAACAAACACATTTCCATCTGGGTTGATAAATGACTCGTTTCACTAAAAACATGAAATATTTCAAGTGTTTTGTTTATGAAGTGTTTACTGGACATATATATATATATATATATATATATATATATATATATATATATATATATATATATATATATATATATATATATATATATATATATATATATCTCAGCACTATATATATCAGCACTCACAAGTTTGACCACCACAGCTGGACCCTCCAGGCTTGTGCTGCTTATAGAGGGTTGGAGTAGCACTGGCGCTAAAGTTCATAGAAGTCTGTCAGCATTACGAAGATAGTAGTGCTTGTCGTCCGGACCATGGTGATGACGTAGATGGTCCGAGGGGCCGTGTCCCTTGTGTGCAGAAGGAACTGTTGGTCAAAAGTCTTGTCGCACTGCCCCTGGACATATGATCCGTCGGTCTCTCAAACATTTGACTGGTTACCACTAGTGCTCATGTTGTACTTTCCGACACGAGTGTCTTGGCGATGTACAGTTCTCTAGTATTCACAGTAAAACACTTCACAGCCCGTGCTAGGAAGTATGTTTTTTCCTACGTGGTCCAGAGAGGCGTGTGTGTGTGTGTACAAAGCAGGTAGAGGTAGGTTGACCGAGTAACAGGCTGCAACACATGGAAAGGGACGATGGTGTGATCTAGGATAGAGGAAAACTGACGTTTCTCGTCAACAGGTAGTGTGTGCGCGTGTATGTACATGTGTGTGCACATTTGTATATACATATGTGTGCACGTGTGAGTGTATTTACATATGTGTGTACGTGCGTCCCTGCGAGAGCGGCCGGAATAGGTGGAAGAGCGTATCGCTCCTCCCATCTTCGCTAGAGTAGGACGACAGGCTGAAGGCTGTTCAAACTGGTATCCGTCGAATCGCTCTCCTGACTCGTCTGTCGAGACGGAGGGCTGCGAGACGATCCAGTTACGAAGTAGGAATCAGTTTTGCTTCTCTGCAACTGATAGCCACACTCTGTGGCGCCACTCGACCACTGACGCTCTCCCCGGCGCTCTCTCCCTGAAGAGTTAGGACTATGCATGTGTTTGTGGAACCGTCTGTTTATATGGGGACTCCGGGGAGTCTCTATCACGGTGGGGGTTCGGACAGGACTTTGAGCGTGTCTGCTGAGTTGTGGACTGCCTGATTCTCCTTTTGTTTTCCGCGAGGAGTTCCGCTGGACAATGCAAGGGCTGTTGTCACGCCCGCGGTGTTGTGATGTCTCAAGGACAGGAGAGGCTTTGGCACCATTGAATCCAGTTTGGTCTTGCGCGTGTGTGGTCTGCTGGGGTTGATGGTGGAGGTGGCCGTTCCTTACTCTGCTGTCTTGAGTCGAGTTAGGAATGGTGTCTGACACCTGCTTTGAAGCTTTTGCTTGTACCAGCTTAATCGTTATGGCAGTAAGTTCCTCATACTGTTTTCGCATTGCTTCTGCTCTTTTATTTTGTTCTTGTGAAGATTGTAGAGGTCGAGCGGAGCGCCGTGCTTGAGGTTCTTGGTCTCCGATATATTCTCTTTGTAAGGGATCATCCTTGGCTCGCTCCTCGTCTTCGCCAAGATTTCTGGAGGACAGTGAACGCTCCAGCCACTCGTGTATTCGCTGTCTCTTAGCGATTCGATCCACCGTGGTCTCAATTCCATGCGCCTTCAAGGTACGCAGCACCCGATCCTTCTCCCTGGGACAAGAATGCGCAGAGAAGGTCGAGTAGCAGACACTCTGACCGTCGACGTCTCCAATATCACGTCGTGGGAGTTTAAGGAGCCACTTGTCGTCCATATACTTGTACACTTCGCGCACCGACGCCCGCTTCTCCGGCTTAGGCTCCAAGAGGCGCTTAAAGAGTCTCAAGAGCCGAGAGGTGAAGTTGGTGAAGCGCTTGGGAGTACGCAGCGTACGACGCTTGCGCCAGTTGATGTAGTCAGCGTAGTTGGGGTCCGTCAGGTCTGCCTTCTGCCACGGCAGCTGACCCGTCAGCAACACGTAGATGAGAATGCCCAGCTGCCACACGTCCTGCGGGAAGAGTCTGGGTGAGACCGGTCTTAAATGAACATTAAGAGAAAGCATAACTGCCTGTTATAAAGTATTATTATTATGATGGATGAAGACAAAGACCTCATAGCTCTCACAAGTACAAACACAATGTTTTTGTGTATGTGTATGTGTATAATAGTGAACAATATTAGTAGCATAGTTTAAAATGTAACATTAATAATAACAGTTTAGAAGATAGCAATAATAGCAGCATTTTTATAAACAGGGTATGATAATATTTGTATTACAATAATGATAAGACAGTTTTATCAATACAAGATGAGTGAGTGTGGCACTGGATTGTTCCTGATACACGGTGTGGTGCTCGGCCACACTGAAGAGTTCAGTCCACTGGCTCACAGAGCCAGTGGACTGTCTGGAGACGCTGGGAGAGAGAGAGAGAGAGAGAGAGAGAGAGAGAGAGAGAGAGAGAGAGAGAGAGAGAGAGAGAGAGAGAGAGAGAGAGAGAGAGAGAGAGAAGGGGGAAGGGGTAGGTGTCATAACCACACCTAACTTGGTAGTGAAGACCCGGTGGGAACTCTGGTCATTTCCTTAAAAGTGTTGATGCTACCATAACAAAAGATCACAACATCCAGTCAAGATATCTGCCGGACCTGGCGACAGGTCTTAAGACTCGCGTCGGCCTTAAGCCTAGTACTAGGCCAGTGCAAGGTTTAGGACCAGAACTAGACAATTCCCAGCAAATTACACTTCAAGTGTTCCCGAAAGCCTCGTCTACTGCAGTTGTTTTATAAAGCTGAAGACTGAAGCTTAGCGTTTTGTGAGGTAAACTGTTAGGCATGATAATTATGAGAAGAAAGTACTACACCTATAGAACACTTGGAAGGGATATGAGGACGAGAATTTGGAACAATGAGATTGAATAAAATAGTGTTCAAGCATTTGAGTCCTGCAAGAAGCGAGGCCGTCGCTGTACCGATGTGAGGTACTTTGTTGCAAAGGTTGATTATTCATTGGAAGATTTATGCCTTCTACTTGTCGCCAGGTCTGCAAGATAGCATGGCTGACTTGAGGGTGTGTCGTCTTGTTTGTGAAACACTATATAATGATATGATCAAGAGTTTACAATTCCAAAATCATAAATTTTGATCACACAGACCTGGTTGACACAATTTTGATTTCCTGGCATTTGAATCGATATAATTTATGGATGATCTTGGTCGTCCTGCGTAGAATTCTTTCTGGGGAAGCAAAGTCTTCTTGATGGGCAGTCTTTCTCTTCGTTTTACTAGAGGGGCTTCATGTGTTATATCATCTTCCTCAGGACACATTCAGAAGAGTATACAGTACACTCATTCTATAGTCCGGAGACCAAAACAGAACAGCATAATCTGAATGGGACCTAACAAGGATTAGATAAAACTGAAGGAAAACACTGGATACTTATAACTAATAATTATATAAATCTCGGTATTCTGTCTCCTATGTCTATCATTAATACATTGAAATTTGTTGGCATAAATTCCTTACTAATCATGACCCTCAGATTATTCGGATTTCAACTAATTTCTAGCAACTATAATATGATCTCTGGATGAGGAACCCTACCTTTGCCTACTGTATACTGCAGTCATGCAACGATATTATCGGCCGTTCTCTTTGATGTCAACAGCAAATTTGCTAATTTTGTTGCTCAATCCTGCGTTTACGTCGTTTATATATGTATGGTAAACAGCGAAAGTCCCAGGACATAGTCTTGTGTCATTACACTTTATTTAATTTTAATAAACGAAACATTCAAGGAAATGTGAAATTAGTTAGGTAGGCCTATGCTTTAAATCGAAAGAGACTTGCGCAAAGGATAAAACAATGCAGGACATAGGAGAGAGGGAGCATGGTAGTGCAGGGAGGTTACCTGTGAGGTATCGGCGTGGAAGCCTTCGTTTTGAACGGCATCCACGATCTCAGGCGGAGCATAAGGCAGCCAGACGGTTCTCTTCTTCAGCAGTGTCCCCTTCTTGCGCGTGGATCCGAAGTCGCATAGCTTGACGTGGCTGAAGTCGCTTTTAAAGATCAAAATGTTGTCCATGTTCATGTCTCGGTGCACCAGGTCCTTGGAGTGCATGAAGTCAAGAGCGGAGGCCAGCTGGAGAGCGATTCTTTTGGTATTGATCTCCCCGAGGCCCACATCGCAGAGGTTGGTAGTAAGGTCCCCGAACGGTGCGTACTCTTGGGCGAAAACATAGTACTCGCCCGCCTCGAAGGCTACGTCGTAAGCGTTGAGTATGTTGAGGTGCGGGCTGAGGTAGTAGTTGTAGTGGAACTCTCTGAAGAAGTCGAGACGGGAGGTGGAGTCCCTGTGCATGGCCTTCAGAACCACCTCATGTCGAGTCCTGCGGTGCTCCACTAGCAACAAGCGTCCCCGCCAACCTTCTTGAATCACGTGGAGGACTTCATACTCGTCTTCCAGCTGGATCTGAAAGAAAATATAAACATATTCAGGCAAGACGGCAAGGAACCTCAGTGATGTAAACATAAATATAACAAATTAAATTTCTTCAACCCGTGTTCAGTCTAAACATATACTGGCACTAGAGTAGGTACTCGGTGCTTGGGTTTCTTGTCCGTTTTTTCTCCCTTCCATTCTTCCTCCCACCCATTCTCCTATTCTCCCATTCTCTCTCCCAGTAGGCAAAACATGTTCGAGAGTTTTGAATTAATAAGAATTATCGAAGTTGAATTGACAATGAATCGACGTTATCATAGTCGAAATTAAATTTCTTCCCTTATTATGCACCCCATACCCATCCCATGGGCGGTGGTGGAAAGGGTTACAGACGCACATAATTGGTTCAGGAACTGAACCCCCTAGTTCATTTATCTAAGCAAGTGACAATCTTTTGAAGCTAGTTATATAATTATTAATGTTATATACACAAATACATTATATATATATATATATATATATATATAATGTATTTGTGTATATAACATTAATAATCTTTAATTAATAATCTTTAATTAATCTTTAATTCATTAATAGTATATAACATTAATATATATATATATATATATATATATATATATATATATATATATATATATATATACACATCATATACACATCTATAATCTTTTCATATCACAAGTAATTCAACAAGAGGCTCGCTACAGTCACTCTACAAGGCACTTTACATCTATAGTGAGTCACACAGTTACTAGTCTTGCTCCACACCCACCCAACTGGGCGGCAGCTTTATAAGCATGTGCAGGCTGCACCTGCAGTAAGCAAATTTTGGATACTTCGCTAAGATTCCTGGCAGCACATCGTCGAAAGCAGACGAGAATTCGGTTGGGAAGCACACTACGGATAATAAAGCCCACATTTCATAGTTCACACTAATCGTCGGTTATCTCAATAAGAGCCAACTCTACTTTAGGAACGGATATGGGGATCGACTCCTACCACTCTATAACACTCACCAAATCTCACTCTCTGGCTCCTCATAGAGCTATCTCGCCCCCTGGCTCCCCACAAGACAATCATAATCGAGATAAATGTACAAATGTGCGGTATTTCCAGCCAGTTCTCCTCGAGGACAACGCTTCTCTGACGTCTGGTGATGTCTGGCGGCGTTAGGTGGCGCTTCGCGGCGTCTGATGGAATGTTTCAGCGTGTGCTGTAGTGTGGCGTCGTGTGGCGGTGTGTGGCGGCGTGTGGCGGCGTGCGGCGGCGTGTGGCGTCGTGTGGCGGCGTGTGGCGGCGTGTGGCGGCGTGTAGCGGCATGTGACGGCGTGTGGCGGCGTGTGGCGACGTGTGGCGGCGTTTGGCGGCGTGTGGCGGCGTATGGCGGCGTGTGGCGGCGTTTGGCGGCGTGTGGCGTCGTGTGGCGGCGTGTGGCGGCGTGCGGCGGCGTGTGGCGTCGTGTGACGGCGTGTAGCGGCGTGTGGCGGCGTTTGGCGGCGTGTGGCGGCGTATGGCGGCGTGTGGCGTCGTGTAGCGGCGTGTAGCGGAGTGTGACGGCGTGTAGCGGCGTGTGGCGGCGTGTGGCGGCGTGTGGCGTCGTGTGACGGCGTGTGGCGTCGTGTAGCGGCGTGTGACGGCGTGTGGCGGCGTGTGGCGGCGTGTGGCGGCGTGTGGCGGCGTGTAGCGTCGTGTAGCGGCGTGTGGCGGCGTGTAGCGGCGTGTGACAGCGTGTGGCGTCGTGTAGCGGCGTGTGGCGGCGTGTGGCGTCGTTTAGCGGCGTTTATCGGCTTCGCGTGGGACGGTGTGTGTGTGGCGGCATGAATGACTCTCTAACCTCCCAACTCCCCCCCCCCCCCTCATCCCCCAACATGCCCCCCCTTCCCTGCTACAATACTGCCATGCACCACAATTCTGTCTAGTCACGAGAGATTACTATTCTCCCCTCTTCCACTACCCCCACCACTCTTCAGTCATGTAAGTGATTCATTAACAGTAATCCTCTCCACCCTCTTAACCAGCCGCCATTCATTCATTCTCATAATCTGTCTCTATCTATCCGCCTCCACCTCCTCCCACCCGTTGGGAATGATTCGTCATGTGTCTCGCTTGCAAGGTTGTGGGGGTTGAACATGCTCTCTTCCTCCCCACCCCCACCTCCTCCTCATCCTCCTACGCTCTCTGATCAATGAATGATTGGATTTGCACTATGTACCTTTCTCCCACCCCCAACCCTCCCTGGCAGTATCTGCCACCCTTGTCTTTTTCCCTTGTTTTACTCTACCCCTTTTTCTCTGACTCTCTCATCTTCATGTCACTACCCCATCTATATTATTGACGTATACTGGAGGTAGGGGGGAGTCCTTTCTCTCTCTGGTCATTATCAATCATCATGATCCCTCCCAATTCTGCACTCCTCATTTCCTCCTCTCATCCGTACCTCACTTCTCTCTCTTCCCCTCCCTCACCTCTCACTCCCCTACCTCTCCCTCACCCTTGGCTACTATAGAGAGAGAGGGGCGCATGACACTGGGTAGTGCCTGGCCGCGTTCGCGATCAATAACAAGCCATGCACTCGCCTCCTGGGCTCAGCCAACCCCACCTTTGTGATCAGACTGCACAAGGCCAATCATTGCTATCTAAGCCTGCTTATATCACATGACGTTTGTAAAGATTATTGACTCAATGTTGCCAATATTTCTCTGTGGATTTTCCGCATAAAATGATCAGTGTTTTGTGATCGTCAATTGCATATATATATATATATATATATATATATATATATATATATATATATATATATATATATATATATATATATATATATATATATATTACTGTCTACCTGTCTACGACTGTTCTGGCTCTATGTATTCTCGTAATATGTTCCTTATTCCAAAGTGGCGCCAGGTCGGCACGGCCGCCCAACTCTTCAATGGTGCATCCTTATGAGGTCGACCCGGTCACTGCCGGGTTTCCCATCTAGTAAATTTATGAACAAATAGAAGGGGTATCTGGCAGTGCCTGCATCTGTCTTCCGTTCTCTCTCACTTCCCCTCTTTCTCTCCCACCTACATGGCGTAGGTGGGAGAGAAAGAGGGGTATGGAGATATTTTTAAGTTAAAGAAGGCTTCTATAGATTGTAATGTTGAATTAACAGTTTTAAAGCTTGGAAATATAACGAGTGATATACGATCAAATTGTATATTATACTTCCATAATGCCCAATGCCATTAACAGATTTAATTACCTGTACATACATTTTGACTCTAACGGGAATTGAACCCGGAACCCCAAACTTAATAGACGGATTTTATAACCGCTGTGCCATGGCCATCACACTCATACAGATTCAAGAACTATCATTGAAACCAAGAAACAAAAGCAGTTACCTGACAACACTCAGATGTGAAGGTCGTCGGATACTTATCAACTGGGTGCCAAGTCATGTAGGAATATCAGGGAATATATGTACGTTGCAGATGAAGGTGCAAAATTTGCATAACAATGAGAAGGAATGTAGATATTTACATTCCAGAGAGTGTAGCATTGATTAGGAAAATATTTAGAGATAGATTAATGGAGAGGCTGTATATACAGTGACCGTAACGCAGCAGACGTAACACCAGGATCTACGTGTTGGTACAAGAATTTAATCAACTATGAATCACTTATTTTAATGAAAAAGATATAGAAAACAGAAGTGAACTTACATCCCATCAGATGAAGAACTTACATCCCATCAGATGAAGAACTTACATCCCATCAGATGAAGAACTTACATCCCATCAGATGAAGAACTTACATCCCATCAGATGAAGAACTTACATCCCATCAGATGAAGAACTTACATCCCATCAGATGAAGAACTTACATCCCATCAGATGAAGAACTTACATCCCATCAGATGAAGAACTTACATCCCATCAGATGAAGAACTTACATCCCATCAGATGAAGAACTTACATCCCATCAGATGAAGAACTTACATACCTTCAGAAGTGAACTTACATCCCGTCATTTCCCATGAACATGGGTATCCGTGTGCATGGAAAATAGGCTTACAAGTTCCAAAAGATGAGGAAGAATGTCAGCACTGTGGAGAAATGCCCGACTCACCACTGGAACATTATCTCATACAATGCACAGTAACAAACGAAATAAGGTGTCAACAGAGATTTATCAATGCAGAAAAAGTGACTTAACTCATTGGGCATAATAATCCTACTGAAGTCAACCTTAGAGTCATAAATACTCATCCACCGCCTAAGATAGAAACGAGTAACACTTAGTGGGCCAGTAAGGTAACACTTAGTGGGCCAGTAAGGTAACACTTAGTGGGCCAGTAAGAGGCTTTGGGCCCAGGCAGGAAGATCCCTGCAAAAAAAAACAACAACAAATAAACGAACAATCAAACAACCATATATACATTAATTTTCTACGTTCATAATACATACATTTTCCAGGAAACACTGTGGGCAATGATATATGAATTTATGACTATTTTCAAAATGTTTGATATAATGCTTGAATGAAAATGAACTTATTTCAAAGCTCATTTTAGATATTTTTTCACTGTACCAGTTTCTCTTTAAAATTAATATGCACACACCCACATATACACAGGCATAGAAGAGGGTCAGAAAAATACTATCTGAATGTTGTTGTTGCTGTTTTAGATTTAGCTACTCTGAACGAAATGTCCTTGTAGCACGGGCTATAGTACTATTTAAAATATTGAGATAACAGCAGAGGAAGTAATGAGGCAACTATCTTGAGGTTATCTTGAGATGATTTCGGGGCTTAGTGTCCCCGCGGCTCGGTTCTCGACCAGGCCTCCAACCCCAGGAAGCAGCCCGTGACAGCTGACTAACTTCCAGGTAGCTATTTACTGCTAGGTAACAGGGGCATCAGGATGAAAGAAACTCTGCCCATTGTTTCTCGCCGGCGCCTGGGATCAAACCCGGGACCAAAAGATCACGCGTCCAGTGTTTTGTCCGCTCAGCCACCGG